ATTTGAGAACGATCGGAGTTCATTTGACCTCTGAACCCTGGCGAGGAAATTAACCTGAACTCAGGCGGGGCCCACTTTTTATGTCCCATAGTTAAGACAAAGCCCTAACCTGAACTCTGGCAGAGTTCACCCACCCCCGTGGGATAGGGGCCACCGGTACTGTTTTCGCTCCGCGGTAACTGCCACCCGCATTTTCGGTTCAAGCTCAAGGATGTTTGCCGCTAAGCGATCGCGTCGGTTGGCGATTGATTCTTCATCGGATGTGATCTCGTCTTCGGTGTCACACGCGGCCAACAGAACTTGTCGTCTGTGCCTCTTGCGGGGCCGGAGCATCCGTCCAGAATGTCGCAAGACCTCATATTCATCCAGGGCTTGGATCATTCGCATGCATAAGTCTTGCGCCACGGTGCCTTTAGCCTTGCGCTGGGCTTTCAACAACGACTCATCTCCAATTCTGATACCAAAGCGAAAGACAGTCTGCGGGGCTTTTCTCTTCCACGCTGGGGCATCGGGATTCTGGGAAAACTGATCGGCGATCTGTAACAATTTCTCATAGAATTCCCCTTCAGGCAGCCTAACCAGATCCATCTCCGGTTCCATGGCGTTCTCCATGTACTGAGATTCGCCAGACGAGCGGCCCCAGCCAGTCGTTGGATGGTGTTTGATATATTCGGCAGGGAAAGGGTCACCCCCTCGCGACACACCATACCATTGCCTGTAGTGTTCGTACAATCCGGCATTGAAGTTAGACCACCATACCTCCTGTCCTGTATCCTTAGACCTGCGCATAAATCCATTGCTATGTGGGTATGGAAGTAACCAGTGGCTTTGGAGGAATGAAGTCCTTAAGACTTTCTTCCACTCCCGCGCTCTATTCTTGCCCAGAATTTGGTGGAGAGCCTCGAAGCTTTGCTGGTATACCATACGATATGGCTTGTCCTTCCACCCCTTCCGATCAAAACGGCCATCTTTCCACTCCCATAGCCAAGCGAAGATAGTGTCCACGCTCTTTACCGCGATCCGACGCTGATCTAGAAGCTGTAACGGTTGGGCGCCCTCGATAAATACGCCGCTGATGCTGTCATAGCTAAGGGGAACCTCTCCTGCTAGAGCCCGAGAAGCATGGTCCGGGTGTAACAGTCGTTTGACCTGTAGAAACACGTCCTTACGAAACACACAAAGAGACAGTTGTCGTAGGAAGTCCGCGAGAAGATCGAGGCAAGGAGGAATGGAGCTAAATTCTTCCATCCAGCGGTGGGCCTGGTGCACCCGTAGGAAGTCTAGACGAACGTCTCGGATCTGCGCGTACCGTGCGTGGAACGCCGCCTGCATCGAAGGGCTGTTAAACATCATATATTGCGCGGACGGTTGTCGGAAGGTCATCGTATCCCAGTTGAGCTTATCCAGAAACCAGGCATATCCATATTTCTCCATGCTGCTTTGGAATCCGAGACCTTCACACCGGCGAAGGCCGTCCGTCCGCCGAGCATCAGGCTGGAACCAGACATCCCGCCAGCAGCCGGACACCCGCTGTAGAAGGCCACCCGCATAGGAAAATTGCAGGCAGCGCAGAAACATCATCATCACCCGAGTATGTTCCCACGTAACAAAATGGCGGTCATTGATGCTATAGACAGTCTCAAACCCCACGCAGAACTTGTTGATATTCCAGTGGAACCAGAAGAGGAGAGTGGAGGTAGGGAGGGAGTAAAAAGGCTCAACTTCAGACGAAATCCCTGGAAGTTGTGCCTGGTGAAGGTTGCGCTCTCGGAATTCCTGATCGATCATATAGAACAGACGGAGGGAGATGCGGTGCTCTTCGCGAAGACCAAATACTTTCATATAAGATCCTTGCAAGGCAGCGTGGCACCGCTGTTTCATGTTCAGATATGCCCGGATCAACGCGATTGGGTCATGGCTGAGACCGCCCCCGACATACTGCCAGGTCTTACGAAGCTGAGGATCTAGTGCCAAGGTTTCTAGGGCCGGATTAGAAAAGGGATAAGCATCCCCTGCCGCAAAGACCTCCTTAACACTGGAATAAAACTGCGTGTAGAGGAGACCGGCCTGCCGCTGCGGTGAGGATGGACGCGTTTCTAATGTGAGGCTGCCAGTATCGTGGAGCAGACTAATGGGATAAAACTGCTGCTTTGGACGTGAGGATCCAGGAGGATGCTGCTGCCCGATCCACTCGGTATACGACTCTAGGCAACATCGCCGCCAGAGGATGGTCTGTGGCACCACTGGGCTTGCACGGAGCTCCCCGTCCGAATGGAGCCTAGATGCGTGAAGTCCAACACCACCAACCCGTGAGGGCCCAGTAGGACAGGTCTCTTTCCCAATGTCGATGTAGAATTGATCGGAGAGATAAGACTCGTCGATCGTGTTACCCCAATGCTGGGCAAACTCCTGCATCATACCGTTCCACGTATTTGCTTTGGTCAATGTCTTTAGGTTTTTACCCTGGACCAGGATAGTCACGTCTAGGAAGTGCTGGAACCCAGCACGCTGAACAGTCTCTAAGATATTCGCCCATACAAGCGGGAGTGCATCTGGTGGTAGGAAATAAAATAGACGCTGCTCTCGAGCTACCGGATCCACTCGCCGGGAGCGCATCTCGACTCCCCGGGCCGTGGCATTGAACCGGCTGTGATCAAAGCTAGAAGGATAGTGCTGGACTAGAGATCCCTCGCAGTGCTGGTAGATCGCAGGCAGGAGGACTTGATCCATCCAGACCCGAAAGTCATCATCCCGGAGCCGGCTGGACTGCTGCTCCTCCCGGTATAGTCGCGGAAACAGAAAGTAGAGAGAAATATCTTCAAATCCAATCAACCGCCCGAAGGTATAATGCGGGATGTTATGTACTGGTTGTTGGACGTGGTGGGTGCGGCCATTGCTTCCAGTATGGTGTACACGAAGGGGATCAAGGTGGAGACTCGAGTGAAGATCAGAGACGGGCATCTGAGTTGGGTTCCACCGCACGCCAAGTTTCGCTACCGCGAGGCTCTCCGCAAACCCCACGATACTATCAATGTCAAAGGTGACCCCGGTCGGGCGTTCTCTTTGATGATCCACAGCGAGGCAAATATGGGCGGGAGGAGCGTCAGGCGTGACTGAACTAATCCCGGTATAAATCTCACGCTTTCGTTCTGCACTAGTCTGTCCTGCTAGGTTGTCCTCGCGTCTGGCAATGGTCGTATCGCTGAGAACATCCGGAAAGCCCCCGTCGACCTGAACCTGGTCTATATATTCTCCTAAGCTGATATGCTCGGCGTGCTTGAGTTCGTGCTCACTCTCCTGCTGCGTATGGCACTGGTAGCAGCAACCATGGTGTTGCTGGAGCTGATCAGCAAGTAGTCGGGCGAAGTCGCACATGACATTGGCCACGTTAGGTTCTAGTGTTTCCGGTTGTGCAGATGCCAAACGTTGTAGAGGCGGATCCACCTGCAACGAAGTCTCTGTGGTTTCTAACCTGGGGCTACGCTGATCAGGCCATGTTGGTTGGGTTTCCGGAGATATCGCCCGAAATGGCTCATCAGTTAGGTCAGTGGGCGGAGCTAACGGCCACTCATCGCTTGTAGGCGGGTTGTTATCTGTAGATAAGTCTAGTGGTCTAAGTCCTAGGCTGAGGGGCGGTAGGAGCTGCTCAATGTCCGTAGGAATCGTTAGTTCGCCGGGGGGAAAGTAGGTTGGCAAAGCTTCATCGACATAAACGGATGCTGGTATTGTAGTGGGATAATACCGGTCGAATTCTATCGCACGCTCCACAGCACGACCAGATTGTCGCTGGTTTCGCTGTGCTATGATCTTAGCCTCTTGTCTTTGCTCGGCGGATGCATACTTCCGAGGCCGCCCTCGTTTGCGCGTAGGGGCTCGAGGGGAGTCGGGCGCCATAATACTAAAGAAGAACTAGAGTAAGAGCGATGGTAAGCAGATATCGAGCTTACTAGAGTCGAGCCCCAAAATAAGGGGTCAATGACATAAGCATGGAGGGCGGTTCTGATCTATCGAGGCGGTTTATGATCCCTCATATAAATATTGCTTATGGTCCCAAATAGGCTTAGTTTTGAGGAAATAAATCAAAAAGGGTTTAGTTTTGAGGACAAAAACATGAAGCACGATTATGTAACCGTTTTCCCTTCAAAGCTCCAAAAATGGCCAACTTCGATGGGTTGTAACTCCGTGACCGTATAAGTTAAAAGAATTCTGATTGAAGAAATAAAGTGGACTAAGCCCACTGCTCCGTATTGGGGCTTTATTGAGTTAAAAAAGGGCTATGTGGTTGTTGGTCGACTTCCGTTTTCTGCTACTGGTAGCTACCCCCGTGGGATAGGGGATATGTCAAATGGTCTATTATAACTGACCAAAATTTGAGAGCTGTTAGAGGTCATTTGAACCCTGAACCCTAGCGAGGAAATTTACCTGAACCCTTGCGGGACCCACTTTTTATGTACCATTATCTCCCATAGTGAAGGGACCGCCAAGACCTGAACTCTAGTAGAGTTCACCACCCCCCGTGGGATAGAGTTCACCCACCCCCGTGGGATAGAAGGGTTTCATAAGCAGCTTACAAAGTCGTCTTAAAAATTACCTCACTCAATATCAAATTTTTCTCTGAATCAGACCGGTCCCGAAGTAAGCGCCTTATTTCAGCAAAAGTCAACAGACTGATTAGCGAGTTGTGATTTGTCAGCGCGATCTAAGAAAGTGCAAAGGGCATTGGGATGTAGCGTTGGTTCGGCTGTAGGCTGCGCCAAAACCAGTATATGGGTTCCAAGGTTATGACCCTAAAGCCAAACTGACACCCGACTGGCAAAGGGAAAATTACCCAAATAGGACAATGACCTGCCCCACTTGATTGACGTGACCTTTCGATGCAGTTGCGGAAAGTATTTAAGACGGTGGACAGTCCTGGTCCTCGATCTGGGCTGTACCATAATACAAGCCATTCTATCACGCTCACAGCTACCTCCTGGCAAGTAATTAAGTCTTGTCTAATCATGATTGTCCTTACAGGTATGAAAATCTATGGAATGCTCTCTTTCGAACAATGAGTAGCCAGGGTCTCCAGGTTCTACTGGCGGTCTAGGCCGCGTCGCACTCCAGACCCTCCTCTCAGAGAAGCTGGTCCAGATCGCGGGGCTGCGAATTTCGTCCTACAATACGGCTGCTATCCCGGCCGCCGTCCGTGAAACCGGGATTGAGATCCGCAGGGGCAACCTGTATGAACCGTCGACACTGGTGGAGTCGTACTCCGGCGCGGAGGTGTTGTTCTTGGTGTCGTTCCTTTCCATGGGCGAGGAACGCTACAAGTTGCACCGAAACGCCATCGATGCCGCGAAAGCCGCAGGCGTTCGGCATATCATCTACACCTCGCTCTCATTTTGCGGTGGAGCCGAGGGCAACACCAGCGTTGCGCAGGTCGTGCAGGCCCACCTCCTAACGGAACGCTATCTAAAGGATAGCGGGCTTACCTACACGATCCTCCGTATGGCGTGTTACTTCCACCTATGGAATAACTACGCCGATTTTCTGAATCTGGATGCCGCTCCCAACGTCGCCCAGGAAGCTGTGATGCCCAACGACGGCCCCGATCATTTGGCGGACAGGGCTGAGCTGGGAGAGGCCACCGCAAAGGTCATCGCGAACTGGGTATGTGTGATTTTGCACGCACGGAAGAACTGGCTGTGGGCTGACCCTATTGTAGCAAAACTACATCAACAAGACCCTAAATTTCGCTGGACCCGGGCTCTTGACTGGCGTCGACATCATCAAGAAGTACATAAAGCATACCGGCAGGAAGGTCAACGTTCGCGTCTTGCCTGTTGAAGAAGCCATCGCGTGGCACGTCAAGAATGGCAGTGTGCCACCGGAGCAAGCCAGCTTCCTTGATAACTGGGCGAGCTGGCACACTGCCAATTCTCTTGGCGAAAAGGCCTTCCTTGACCCTACCTTCGAACAGCTGCTAGGCCGAAAGCCTAAGACGATTGATGACCTGACTGATGATCTTTTCTCCCCATCAAACGCCCTCGACACTAAGGACCTGGTGGGAATTTAACTAGTAGACATGAAGCAACCGTAGGTGAGAGCTAGCACTCATCCTCGGTAGAACTCCACAGCCCACGTTCAACGACGTGCCTATTAGCAAAATACGAATCACACCAAACAGGCGACTCACCCGTATGCAATTTAGAGATGTAACAAAACTAATTGCCAAATTCATATGTAATGCGACTGATAAGATCTACAAGTAAGCGTAGCCTCGGCCAGAGGAAACTATCGTCGAAGCTTCGTATCAATATTCGTAGCCGGGCGTCTTGTGCAGCAGAAATCAGTAACCGGGATCCTGGAAATAGATTTGGCGTTTCCAGAAACTAGACCCAGTTCCCAGAAGTTGAGTGCAATTTCCTAGTGCCTACGCAGGTCTTAGGAACCTGCAATATACCCACCCTCTGGAGTGGGACCCAAGATCGGGTTAGCGAATCGCTATGAGGCGGATACTGATAGAGTGATAAGGGTACATTGCTGCTTCAAAGAAATTTCCTGCCACCTAGAGGGTTCGAACGTGCGACCATCCATTAACGGCAAACCGGTCGTCCCCAAAAAATAATTAGATTTGTTCTGTTTAGAGTGTCCCATAGTAGAGGTACCAACTCGTGACCGTTAGTCTTAGACCCGTCCTTACTCTATGACCCAAGAAAGGATTTTCTTGGGCTTGTGCAATCAAAGTCACGGAAAAAGTGGAATACATCGACCATGGAGATATATGCGGTTGTTGTCCGGGGTTGATCTTGTTATTGAATATGCATGCAAGCCGTATGATTTTAGAAATATATTTTGGGATCAGTGTTAGAAGGCCGCACGGTAACTGCACGATTGAGTATACTGTATCGTGGCATGTCGCAGATGAAATTGACCGACATCATATACAAGACAGGACAAATATAAGTCAACTAGAAAGTCAGGTAATGGGTCAAGCTCGAAATCTCAAAAAGGTGATTGATATCTCTTGGCTGAACGTCCATTTTGAAAGAATCTGCCACGAGAAATCCAGCCGGAGGAAGATCGTGAAAAGGTGCTTAGATTGGATGATGGATTGAGGGGAATCTGGTCGAAGCGAAAAGGCTTAGGGTTTCTGCCAACACAAATAATAGCCAACTCAGAGAAGAGAAATGTCACCCGCCGTAGCTGAAAGATTATTGAAAGTTCGGCAACCCCCTCTAGGATCGATCTATACTGTGTCGTTGAAACATCACTTCATCTGGACCGCTTAGTATATTTGTATACATTGATGCTTTTTCTCTTGACATGTTCAAATTAGTCAACAGCCAAGCGATTTGTGTCTTCGCCGTTCTGCCTTCCCTTCCCAGGCGGTAAACTACAGGATTAACAAACTGTCAGAAAGCTTGAATAGTACTGCGTGATTTACATTTACGGGCCTATTTGACCAGGGGGAACCAATTGAATAGAATCAATATTGATTGATCCAAGAAATGATCAAAGAGGGTAGAAACCGTGGATACGTTAATCATTTGTATTTCCAATTCCTGACAGAGAAGAGGTGGGAACTGCTGCGATACTCAGAGTAAACTGGTCCAAGTTGTTGCAGTTGCCCAACATTACATACAAACCCCATAAAATATAAAACACCAGAATAATCAATAAGAGGAGCCTGCAAGTAACTCTCCGCCTTCACGGACATTAGTAAATACAATATTTTGTGGGAGTCCTCGGCAGTAGAACAAGACTGATTCCTCAACAAAGGCCGAAACAATTATGGTAAATTGTCCGTGCTACCATCAACACCATCTGAATACTTTAGCTCACTGCAAAGCGACTTCGAGCGCGAAGCATCGAACCCCAATTCCAGAGACAGACGAGAAGGACGCAGCAGATGAGGACAAGGAATCCCAGTAAACTTTACCCCCAGTGGATACCAAGGTTGATGAACATGGGTCTAGAGAACATGATAGCCCCGGCTGCGAGACTCGACCGCGCAAAATCATTTGCGGCAAACAAGGGCGCTGCATACTTTGGATAGGTGAATGCCAAGTATAGGAACATGCAGACTATAATTGCAAAAGTCCCAACAATACTGAAAGTTAGCCCTACTATAGTTGCAATCCAATGTACGCTGGGACGAGCTGTCCAACCTATGCAACAGTTAGCACGGTCTTCAGAAGGAGCGGGCATATAATACCGAAGATGAATAGACCAATTGGCAACCAAAAACAAGCGAATAAAGCAGGTACTAGGCGCTTTTCAGGTTCCCGAAGCGCGGAAACGCCAAGGCGCATGACCGGCTTCACCACAAAAAAATGCCAGTGAAAGATCACAAGACCTCCTGCTGCGGCCAATCCAGGAAGCACTCCAATAAATGGCAAGCTAGATACACTGAAACTGAATCTATAAATTCCTTGGTATACCAGTGGGAATGATTCGAAGAACGAGTAAGAGATACCATAGACGAGACTCGTATAGATCGTGGAGTAGAGCACAGCCGGGTCCAGAATGTTGATCTCGGTCGGCTTAATCAAAGCATCATAGACGACCTGACGAGTAGTGAGCTGGGCTTGGTCAATTTCAGCTTGGGATTTGAATGTAGTATTTCCAGTCAGCTTTCGCAGCCGTCTTGCACGATAATAGAGGATCGTCGATGATGATGTCTCAGGCAAGGAAAAAAATAGAATGCCACAGATTGGCCCGCTGAGCCACAGCATTTCCCATGAAACCCAACGCCAGTTCTCAGCAGTGGCGCTGAAGTTCCCAATTATGGGGCCTAAAGCAGGGGCAAGAACAGCTGTAATTTGGGTTTAATTAACCAATGGACCCATAGGATATAGAGGTATCATGAAAATAAGGCTTACTAGCACCTGCCCAGATGACAAGAAGATATTGGCACTTGAATGAGTGGAAACTGTATGAACACACCTGAGTCTCGATTTCGTGGCCAGAATTTGTGTAGTAGATTGACTTACTATATCTCCAAATTTTGCCCCTCCAGTAGCAAGGCATGGAGATCCTATAAAAGGGGGATTAGTATATGATATTTTCCTTTCGGAATGTATACAAACCGAAGAAACCAGTCAGGAATCGGAGGACTAGAAGGCCGCCGAAGTTCTCCACCAGTGCAGTTGGTATCCATAGTACCGCAAATATGATGACCGTGATCACATAGGGCGGATTTCGACCCACGGCTGGAATCCTAACAATGATATCAGCCAAATCATATGAGAGGTTTAGAAGGATTGGCAGACGTACTCGCTGATAGGAGAGAAGACCATCGCGCCAGCTCCATCTGCCATTCAATTAGATGTAATCAACTAAATAGATGGATTTCAGAAATGATCTATCTATACTTACACGCAAAAACATACAATGCCAGGCCTAGAGAGGATGCCTCAATACTGACACCGAATTTCTCAATGATCTGAGGGACTCCGCCGATATAAATGGAAGAGCCAAGGTAGACAGCAAACGAATAAATGTTTTAGTCGTAGGATGTAAGTACCACGCACGACTGATGAGCATTCTCGCAGGGGCAGAGACAACATACCAAATTAAAAATGCCACAAACGCTTTCTTAGCCCTGCCCCAGTTCTGAGGGTTGTCTGGATCGTCTGCAACAGACAGTATTTAGATCAGGGCTATGGGATATCTCGCTCTTCAGAGATTCTCACCTGTTGTGTACCAGTCTACTAATATTATACCTTGTGCAGTTTTAGTAGGCTCGATGACTAGAGTACGCTCTTTTCCGAGCGTGTGCAGACTTTGCTGGGTAACTAGTCGCTCGATTGGGTTCGTCTCCAATGCATCCTCCAAGTCCTCACTCTCAGTACCGATCTCAGTTGGGTGCAGATGGCCGAAATTCGAATCTGCTCAGTTATTTGCGGTAGTGCTGGTCGAAAGGTGTTGAGATGTGCCGCCACGGCAATCCAAGTCTGATGAAGAAATAGGTAGATTCCTTGTGTCTGGCTTGTCCGTCTCCTGTAAATAATGGGGATGTTGAAACCCTTTCTGCTCTTCACTATACTGTAGATATTTATTTTTTGTTACATATCGGACAATCTGCCCGAAGATGGAATCCCGTATGAGGTCGAACATTGCGGGTCTTCGGATGGCGAATGAGCGGTCCAATAGCGGGCTCTACTAGAGAGAAAAGTTTTCGAACAGGAACCTCAATAACATATATTCCGTACCTCGGAGCTCCCATTCAGTTTTCCTGAGCTACCTAGCTAGACTTAAGGGGGCTTTATAGTTTCACATTCTTGCCACCAAAGAATAGTAGTATGCTGATGACGTCTCCATGTCGAGATGAAATTGTCAGCCCATAAATTCTTTTTGGCAGCAACTCCAATAAACTAATTTACTAGGCAAGTTGGATTGGTTAGGGGGTCATCGAGTAAATTAATCAAAAAAATGGAGACTTTGTGAGATGATGAATGTCCTTAAACAGGTAAAGACGAAATTTAAGTTAAAGCCACAATTCCAAAATGGACCTGGCTAACAATCAGAGATCGGCATTGGTCTGCGTCTGAGTAGGACGTGGCTTCCCAGCAAAATCTTGGGATCATCGACGCATAGATATCAAGGTCAAGACCCAAAAGCCAAACCGACACCCGACCGACCGGTATAGTGAAAATTGCCCAAATAGGGCAATGATCAGCCCCACTTCGTCGTGGTGGAGCCTGATAAGAGAACCTGAATTATTGCAGAGGAAAGAAAATTTCTAGAAATTTGATAGACTTATCTTAAGGAGACAGCTTCACTTCGTCGATTCATTTCCGTAATCTTTCATTGGGGGCAGGGTCACCAGGTTTCGTTGAGCCTTGATTTTGAACTGCAATACTTTCAACAGTGAGTAAGTATACGCCAGCGTCGGTACAGGCACGCCTAGAGCCTGTGCTTCCCTAACAACCTCCCCAACAATGACTTCCATTTCTATAAAATTACCCTTAAAAGCGTCAGAATGAGATCAATCGAGGTTGCTAAGTGAGACTTGCCTTTTCAATATCCTGCTGCATACTTGGTCTGAAATACGCATCGAGCGCATCGCCGTTCAACGAGTCATCTTCCTGACTCGGAGACAGTTTATGACCCGCAGACCGAGCAACGCTTTTGACTTCAAGCATGATGGGGAGCAGAAGCTCCGATATAGCGGAACCGGAGAAGCGGATTTTGGAAGTATCCATTCCAGTAATGGCGCAAAGAGAATTGTACGATGCGTTGTAAACCAATTTGCGCCATCTCATGAATTCTACTTCCTCGGTATATTGTGCCGTTGCCTTCCCGCTCGCGCTATAGAGATTGGCAAACTCTTTCGCAGCCGCGAGCTCGCAATCGCGCTGTACATTTGGGTTTCTGAATGCGCCAATAATCAAGGTATCATGGTCCTGGTGGAAGATTTCGCCGGGCTTAAGCTCGGACGAGTTCATGCGCGAGATACCCGATATAACCACATTGGAAGGGAAACGGGCGATGATAGGCTTCTCAATATTGATACCATTCTGAACCAGGACGATATTCGTGTGGCCGGCGGTGATTGCAGGCGCTATGATTTCAGCCACCGTTGGAGGAATGTCGGGAATATTCTTCGTACAGACAACGACAAAGTCAAATGGAGTAACTGAGCCATCCTGTACATTTAGCACGCTTTTGGAGACTATTCGGGGTTTGTCAGCCTCAAATGCAGCTGTTAGAGTAGTAGGCATCGCTCGTTGCTTACTGGATGTTGGCCTCCAATTGGAGATTTCTCCATGGTCGCATGACCATATCTTGAAGCCTTGTTCGCTGACCAAGTCATAATTTGACCTTAGCACTCCTGTCACTGCTGCGAGACCCCCTATCTCCAAATTGTATGCTGTGATGGTGCCGATTCCCCCAAATCCAACCACCAGGATGTTGGACTTGTTCACTGATCTCATTGTAAGTTATATGTAGCAACTATGATTTTCCTTGAGGAAGACAAGCACAGGATATGGGTGCAATATAAGCCCTATTGTTTCATCTAAACTAATTTTAAACTCGATCGCTCGCGTTCCAGACACACGGAAACTATTTCGGTAACCCATATCCCTGATAATGACCGAGGGGGCTTTCTCCAGTCCGCAATCGACCTTATCAAGTTTAATGCTACAAAATCGAGATCCAAATTGAATTCAATTCGTTGGAATTCGCGAGCTTCGAACAGTTCGAAAATTTTTGCGGAGCTGTAACCAGTGAACACGCTGGATGAACTCATAGTTGGCTTGGCGATCAGCACAACCCCTCTTTCCCCCAATCTTAAGAAGCCGGTCTATCTCCGGTTTGTGACCGGAATGAAATTTCCTATCTGGATCAGATTGGAAGTAACCCACTCTCATCCCCCAGCTCAGATTCCCACTGAACTAGACGAAAGTTGGTACTAATGGTGACTTACCCATAGAGTACAGTATGTAGAGCCAGATGCAGGTGTGCCTGCGAGTAATTGCATATTTCAACATCGGGTGCAGATAAGACAACGGCACACGTTGGTGCCTCCCAGAGAGGGCCGGATCCATCGCCCTAGGCTTCAGGTCCCAGGCATAGTAATCTAGATAAGATGCTGTCTATCAAAGCACAAACCGCTATCTTTCACTGATGTCGGTTGAGTTGATAGAGCAGCCACATAAAAGTTGATTACTTGGCGTGTGCCGCCAGACATAGCAACATATAGACGGCTTATGACCGTCCCCTCAGTGATATAAATATAAATACTCGATCTCTGCGAATTATTGTTTGTCAATTCATATCCCTGATACTCCTTTTCGCCGTCGCTCACCATGGCGAACTCAGCGGTAAATGACGACAGCAAAGCCTCTCCATCCCTCGAACTCGCCAACGTCACCAGCCATACTGACGATAGAGGTCAGACTGATGGGCTTGACGATGCGTATTTACACGCTTCAACATCTACAAAGATTTACAGGGGTGTCCTGTTCCAGATGATCCTGTTCGGCGCGTAAGTCCATATCATACTATCTTCAGAATCATGCTCATGGAATAACTTTGCACATAGCCTCTCGTTCGTTGGCCCAGCCATGTCCGACGCAATATCCAACCTCGGAGGTGGCGGTCTCTCCACCCCATATCTGGGTAACTTGGCGAACTCGCTCGACTACGCGGCTTCGTGTTTAATAGCTCTCTTCGGAGGCCCATTGATAAACAAGTTTGGTATCAAGTGGTCCTGCATGATTGCTGCTGTGACGATGCCTCTTGCAGGGTCTTCTTACTATGTCAGTGCAAAGTACAGTGTAGATTGGTACCTGCTGTTCTCAAAGGTGAGGATAACTCATGCTGCTCTCCAAGGCCCTTCTAGGCCTAATAATTTTATAGCTGCTCGGGGGATTCACTTCGGCCTTCCTCTACGTCGCTGAGACGACGGCAATGCTGTCATACCCGAAGCAAGATGACAGGGGTTTCTACTTGGGTAAATAACCCCCGATCCTTACGGACGAGACATGGATGCTCACGATTTGGCTTAGGTATGTGGTCTGCCATGCGAAGCTCGGGCAGCGTCATGGGCGGTGCAATTAACTTTTCCACGAACTACTCCAAATCTTCCGAAGGAGGCATTGCGTGGTCTACGTACCTTATTTTTGTGGGCTTCGGTGAGTTCTCTGTGCATACATGTCAATGATGTAGCTGCTGAACATGCGAATACGCAGAATGTACCGGTGTGATCTGGGCTTTCCTTCTGTCACCAACCCAGCGTGTTCGACGTCGCGATGGTTCCAAAATTGCCATGTCCAGTAGCATCAGCTGGAAGCAGGAATTTGCTGCCCTATTCAAGCATCTACAGCGCAGAAAAGTTAGTATACTTGTATGAAGAATTGCTCCAGTCAATGACTAATGCGGAACCTCAGACATGGCTTCTTTTCTTGCCAGCTTTCTACTCGTTCTTCTACGGCGGAACCATGGGCACCTACCTCTCGCTACACTTCTCAGTGCGAGCGCGCGCCTTGTCGTCTCTGATTATCCGTTAGTACCTTTGGTTGCACAATCGGTAAAAGTTTCTAATCCGTATTTTAGCATCGGTCACCATCCCGATAGTCATCGCCTATGGGAAGCTGTTGGACTTCTCGCGCTGGTCCCAACCTAAGCGAGCATGGGTTGCTTTCGCCCTCTGGGCCGTTCCTCAGGCCGCCTGCTTCATCTGGATCGGCATAGAATACAGCGGGTTTGGGGCCGCGACACTGGGATTAGATTATGAACAGTAAGTTTTTCATTCGCATGCTCCGTGGTTGAGATACTAACGTATTTGGCTTCAAAGAGATAGTGGAAGATGGGCTGTGGCTTACGTTCCCTATCTGATCATCTTCGTAACCGGCTATTGGACCCAACTCTGTTTGTACTGGATCCTTGGCACTTTCTCTACTGACATCGGATCTTCCTCCCGAACGGGTGGCTTGTTCCGTGCATTCGAGACGGCCGGCCAGGCTGTCTCGTACGCCATTAACTCGACCTCTAGAGCCGACCCTATAATACCCTTCTATGTCAACTTTGCCATCTTGATTATTACTGTTCCCTGCATGGTACTCCTGATCCGAATGGTGCCAGAGACCCCATATAGCACGGACATCGACGCAGGTAATGCCGTGGTGGTTAAGGGTATACCAGCCAAGGACCAGAAGTAAGCCATCTGAGATGACTGAGGATTGTATGGTCGAGCATGTTTATAAAGGCAGCTTCAGCACTCCATGATTTCCATTGTGAATATACAGTCAATTCGCTTATAGCACAGCCTACCATCCAGCAGAATCTATGTGCTATAACGTCTATAATCGTACAAAGCCCACTAACCACCTGAGGGTAGGCCCCAATAGAAATTCCCAGATCAGAGCAAATTCTTACCGACATATTAAATTGGTATAAACCCAATCGTAACAACCCCCTTATAGCTATATAGAAACCATTATTTACGTCTCGAGGTATCAAAGTAGCTTCCTGCGCAACCTGGTCTAATTCCCTCGCCAATTACGCCTGTAGCCGTACGAGCTTCTCGGAATTCCTTTCCTTACGCGACACTATCTTGCGATTAGTATCTGCGGAACGAAACACTATCGGATCCGCTTCAAGAATAGTTCTGCAGTTTATTGGGGCTTTTGCAATAGCTCTACGATCGAGAGACTTCTTAACGTCTCCCTCGCAGATTTCAAGTTGCTGGGCCAAGAGCGTATTGGCATCCGTAGATCGCTAAATATGGCATCCTACACAGTGATATAGATAGTCTACTTCTTGAAGGTCCTGAACTAGCTTCTCATTTAGTCGTGGCACGCGCTCAGTTGTATTCGTTGGTGAAATCGTTCGCTGAACTTGGGAACTCAGGCGCTGGTGACGGCGTATTAATTGACCAAGCTTTCTTTGTATTCATTAGATGAATTTCACGAGTATCTAGACATGAAAACAAATACTCGAAGTGGCAACTTAAGTGACGGAAATAGGACCTCGTTGCTTTTTGAGCCTGTTAATCCTTTCTACGGTCACCAATCATATCTCATAACCATGCTTTGAAATGGTTCTTTCGAAAAGTCCCAAGTAAGAAATACAAATCGGTACCAGTTATATTACGGCACGATGGGCATAGATTCTACGTTGACTGGCACTAGCGACCGGCTTTGGGGACCGGCTTTGGCGACCGGCTTTGGCGACCGGCTTTGGCGACCGGCTTTAGCGGCCTGTTCTGCAACCGGTCCAGATAACATGAAGGAATAGGCACTTGGTAGCCGGACTACTTTTGATCAGCGGACTAACACCGTTTGAACCCGATTATCAGTCTGGTCGCAAAGTCAGTGCGGCAACATTCTAACTCTCTTCCGTTAACTTATCGCCATAATGGTTCTCCCAATCAGTAACCCGACGAAGTCCTTCTGGATCGAGGAGGCCAGCTCTGCTCTCCGAGATTTTCGATCGACCAAAGATTTACCAAAGGAGACAGATGTCATAATCATAGGGAGTGGATATGCCGGTGCAACAACGGCATACTGGCTTAACAAGGCAAGGGAGCTACATGCCCTAGACTCTTGAGGAATGTTCTAAACAAAACTCCTAGTACACGGAAAACGATGCCCAAAAGCCCCGAATTCTCATGCTAGAGGCTCGAGATATTTGCGGGTCCGCGACAGGTCGCAATGGTAGGGGTTTCCTACGGTCCTTGATTGCAGCTTGGGCGTTGTCGGAACTAACAAAGGGTTAACTCAGGAGGGCAGCTGAGGCCGCATGCCTATTCGCGCTATCCGGCATGGTCTGCTAGATTCGGGCCCGATGGAGCGATGGGGCTCATCAATCACGAAATGGCGCACCTTTTAGCTTTTCAGGATCTTCTGGCCGAAGAGGACATAGCTGAGGAAGTGTGCTTTCGTCTTGGTGAGACATTTGATGCAGCCATGTCGGATGAAGCCTGGGTACGACTGAAAGGCGCGTACGAAGCAATGAAGAATGACCATGGGGAGGACAACGAGGTGGTCAGGGTTTGCAGGCTAATTGAAGACACCAAGGCAGCTGAGGAATTCACCCAGATGAAGGCGTGCCTGGGGGCAGTGGTGCATCCCGCCGGTCAAGTGTGAGTTCTCTGGCTAGATCCTCTTGCCTATATCCTTTCATTTGAAGGTGACTGACTTTTCACAGATGGCCATACAAGTTTGTTCATGCCCTGCTCCGCATAGTACTCAAAGCAGGTAGTTTGAACCTCCAAGCACATACGCCAGCTGAGAGTGTCTCACAGCGAGACGACCACGGTTGGATCACTGTCAAGACTGCGAGAAGTGATGTACGAACGAAAACCGTGGTGCATGCGACAAATCGATGGGCTTCTCACCTCTTACCGGAGTTCGGGAATCTCATCTTTGGAAGTAGAGCGACTTTGGCATCCATCAAAGCACCAGAAGGTTTCATCAAACACACAGGTGCCCAACATTGGGACAGTATCGTGAATGTCTGTGGACTCCCAAAGCCGTGGCAGACAATAAGTTGAGAAACTAACGGTTCTAGAATTATCATCTTCAACTTCCACCACCTTACAACAGCATCATTGTTGGCGGAGCAAGATCTCTTCTTGTACACTCTCCTCAAGATTGTTCCCCGAACGACGAAGAGGATAAACAATTCGAGGGTGCTTCGGAATTCTTCCAATCGTGGCCTGAGTTGGACGTGGTGGGATGGCCTGGTAACCATCCAGCAGAGTTAGCAAAGAACGTTGACGAGGGTGGCTGTTGGTCGGGTGGTAGGCCTCCCTGTAATTCTCCAGGAGTTGGAAGCATGTACTGACAAATCTGACAGTTGAATCGATGAGTATCGACGCATTTCCTTTCGTCGGTGATATTCCAAATCGGGATGGACACTTTGTTACGGCTGGCTTTTCAGGTCACGGTACGTGTTGCCTGTGTGAGGTCGACTGTTTTGTCAAACTGACATATAGTGCTCAAGGCATGCCCCGTATTCTACTCTCTGCCGCCCACATCACACCACTGATTTTGGATGCCTTGAACATCAAGTACACTCCTCCCTCCCTCGTTGCAGCATACCCGCCTCTACCCAAACCATTCCAGGCAACGGCCGAACGAATCAGTTTTCTCCAAAAGGTAAATTCTGCCGCCATTTTCGAAAAGAACTCCAAAGACTGTCTAGAAAGTGCAAAGAAACCCTTTTGTAACAAAATCCCCGGTCGCCCGAGGTCTTAGGACAGATGGCGGATCATGGATGGGTAACAGGCTTGTCGTTAGAGAGCTGAAATTCCCTCTTTAGATCTAGACTCAAAACCCGAGGGCACGAAATGTACTTCAACACGAGAATTGTACTGTTCAAGCCAACTCAGTAGTAAATCGTAGACGGGAATAACAAGAGCCCTGTCCGAATGTGAATTTGTGGAAAAGGCAGGAGTCACACAAGTCTTTGAAATACGTTTCAAGAAGCCTTGAATTCAACAGCAATACTCTGTTCCACTAAATGCTTTTAGGGTAAAAGACTATCTCGTCCGTTGTGTCACGCATGACATTAAGACAACTTAGGGGAATTTGCTAGATAGTAAAATGGGGATGGCACGATGGCTGTCTGGCATAGCAGACGGGTCCATATCAATGGAGAGAGAAGACAAATAACCACTCCCACGATTGGTTCGAGCGTAGAGAGCGATCTCTATAGGTGGCGATGCGTACTGGATTTGGTACTATATCATGAATGAAGAATCTGGTGAAGAACTGTACTCATATTGGGATGATGATGGATGATGTTAATATCTCTCCCGAGAGAAGACTGCATCTCCCCTGAGGCATTTGTGACACCTCAGGCCACTAATATGGTACTGACACTGGTTCCACCACTACAGTAGGTAAATACCGAGCATCTATAAACCTAGGATATGGGATGAAGCCCTGAGAAGTCATTTGCAAAAAGGACATGCAGGCCATCCCACCACATTGCCTTAAAATCCATACGCTTTGTTGAAAGGCACCACGGCTTTCTTTCAAGCCTCCCGCTCGCTCACAGCCTCCCACCATATATGCACACTGGGTCTCTAGAAGATGAGATCCTGAAAGCCTAGGCCTACGAGCAAGTGCAGGAGAGGCATATAGAATACATCGGCCAGGGAGAACTGATCCCCAGCCATGTAACGCTGTCTCGACAAAATGACATCCAGTATGTCAAGTTTGGGTTCCAGACTCGCCAAACCACGAAAGGTCTCGTTTTCAGGAACAGGTGTTTGAGTAAATCTACACTTTCGCAATTAGAGGAATCCTCTGGACCGGTTCTCGCGACTCAAACCCAGATAGTCACTTACTTAGCGATGACATGCTTGAGGATTAACGGCTCAACAAGATGATCGAACTGAGTTAGCTCTGCCGATACAGCTTGCGCAAACAGCCCAATAGCGCCAGGATTTGTCGCTTCTGGAATCAGCGACTCCCCGGAGGTCTTCCATTTCGCGGCCAAATACACAGCGATGGCACGGGATTCTAGATAAAAAGGGCATCAGAAAACTGATCAAAATGCCATATCTGGGACAAAGTGTAAAGATTGCATTTACCGGACAAAGTCAAATCCCCATCGATCAACACCGGGAGCTTGCCATAGGGATTCTTGGCCAAATATTCCGGTTTCTAGGAAGGCAAATGTCAGACAATTCATTCTCAAGAACGCAGGAAGTTAGGGTGACCAACTTTCTGATCCCCATTCGCGACGTTTATATCGATCAACTCGACATCATGAATCCCTTTCTCGAAGAGGACGTGACGTACGCGCAAAGTATTCCAAGATGTAGCAGCGCCGATAAGTTGAAGAACCATATTTGTGGAAATAACGACCAAATTCAAATGGACAACAATAATTAAACGGGCTGCTTGATTTTGATCTTGACAATGGCAATTTCAGAGGCGGGGCACTAGTGCAGCCTTTATAGGCATTTCGCATCCACATACTACTGCAGCGTATTTCTAATAGGCATGGACAAAGTCACGATGTCCAAACGGACAAGCTTACTCTATTTTACTACTGACGTCAACGATTCTAGATGTCAGACCTGTGGATTAACAATTGTGATGCTTGAATTGTGATGTTTGCCACGACAAGGAAAGTTACCCGAAGGGGAAGTAATTCAAGCCACGACCCACGCACGACCCACCAATCGCAAATGGCGAATCAGAAGCGAAAATGTTTAAGAGCCAATAAAGTTAATCCACTTCCCGATGAAACAATACATTTGCCTCAAATGATCTTGGCTGCAAACAATATGTCAATTTCAAAGCACGCAACATTATGAATCCATCAGAATGTGTCATAGGAAACGGCTTTAATGCACCAAGCTGATTTCAAAGCACGCCAGTATGCAAACATTAAGTTGATCTCAAAGGTCCGGTAAAGAATAGAGAGATTTAGAAGCTATAAATTGACCTCTAAACCGGCTAGTCAATGGATAGACAAGATCCCACCAGATCAGTGAAAGTCTTATATCCTCATTTGAAGTCACTTCTTTAAGTTACCTTTTCTTCATCCTCTCTTACGGACTTCCAACAAGATGGTGGCCAGCGATCGCCTCGTCCTCACCGGTGCTACCGGCTTCCTTGGGTTCAAAACGCTCAATGTTGCTCTCAAGGCCGGCTACAATGTGTGCATTGTAGTGCAATCCGCCAGTAAGGGTGACAAGGTTCTTGCCGCTCCTTCAGTCAAAGAGCTGAATCCCGGACGAAAGGGAAGTATAGACTTTTGTTACTCGACGGCCACGAAAGTTATTTAACCGCGGAGTTTGATCAAATTTGCGAAAAGAACGATATTATCGCAATTTATATGCCTCCGCACTCGTCTCACCTTTTACAGCCTCTCGATATTAGCTGTTTTGCGGTATTAAAGCGCGCGTATAGTTAGCTTATCGAGTCAAAAATACGGTCTAGAATCAACTATATCGATAAACTAGACTTCCTCGAAGTCTACCCGTCCGCGCGAATCGAGGCATTTAAATCGGAGACTATTAAGAATAGCTTCGCCGCCGCTAGTTTAATGCCTTATAACCCCGGTCGAGGGATCTCGAAGCTCGATATTCGCCTTCGAACCCCGACACCCCCCTCGAGCCGAGGAAGCGAGTGGGAGCCAAAAACGCCGTCGAACTACGTCTAATTACAAAAATAAGCTTCCTCAATTAAAGCTTTGCTAAAACAGCGCTCAAAAGGCCCTCCGAGTCCACTTAATTACGCGATAAATTAGGTCTTAAAAGCCTATCAAATCATAATACAATCGGCAGCTATTCTCGAGAAAGAAGTAAGCGATTTACGCGCTGCAAACGAGACGAAGAAGCGAAGAAGGACTCGATCTACACAGCAAATAGCTTTCGAGGAAGGTCTATCAGTTTTAGAGGCCTCTACCTTAGTCGCACAGCCACAGCAAGCCGTTTTAGCACAAATACCCCGTGAGGCAGAATCGGCTCCCGCACCTTTACAGCCACGTACGAGGGCCTTACCGAAATGCAGTATATGTGGAATTCAGGGTCATAAATTAACTACATGTCTTAATAGAACTCGTTTTCAGCTTATTAAATTTAATGGCGTTTTGGTTGAGATAAATGCATTTAAAATTGATAGGTTGGGTAGGGTGCGCAGCTCACTAGTGAATTACATTAACTTAAGAAACCGAAGTGCCAGGAGTACTTTCACGTCACACACTTCCCAATTCGCTGCCAGTCGACGAAAATTGTCATCATTGCACCAAATCTCATAATTAAGAAAAAGGAAATTGTTGGAATTTAGTATGTCTTCCTCTTCTTGCACGCAAGGTAATTTTCAATGTGGGTTCCTGGCTTTAGGCCAAGACGATTTCGTCATACGTCCACTCCCCCTTTTGGCTAACTCCGATGTGGCTTTTGCATATACCAACGGAGCTCCTGCGTGAGATTATAATATATGTCTTATCCGATGGTGATTTCGAGAGCTTGGCATTGGCATGCAAAACGTGCCATGCACTTTGCCTTCCGTTCATTCGGCACTATAACAAACTCAGCAAACTCCGCAAGCATTATGAGAAGTTCGAGTACTACAAGCTGGGTCCTCGACAAAGGTTTCCGAAAGATAGGCTATGTTGGCTTCTATGGTACCCAGACAACATCAGCTCGGCGTTCAACTTGATTGCGCGCATTGCTGCGGAGCCTGCTATAGCCCGTTATATTGAACAGGCCTAATTTGACCAAGACTGCCAATGTACAAAAGGCGCACGCCGGGAAATGATAACTAGAAGCGCCCCAGCCAACGAAACCCCCGGTGAAGGTCGTGAGGAAGCTGTGATCAGTCTTCTTGCAAATTCTTCCGATCTCAAGCGAGCCGGCCTTGACTGGAAGGAATACTATGCCGCAATCGAGGAGGACTTGAACACGGGGCAGTACTCGCAACACTGTACCACGTTTGTCTTGACTCTTCTTCCAAATCTCCGGCGGCTCCGGCTACCTGAACAGTGGAATTACGGAGCATTTGCGGCATCCGATCAACTTCTCGACACCGTGGTTCAAAAGTCTAGACTACCAGGCAGCAAGTCTAGTCTTTCTCAAGTCACTCTCCTGGAAGCAAATGAACGTGAAATGTCTACTGAATTCGATATAGACATGGCAGCTCCTTTCCTAACCTTGCCATACCTCCAATCTTTTGAAGCTCAGAGGTGCAAAAGTGCGAACAACTATAGAAACACTGCTGGTAAATATGCAGCCCTTGAAAATGTTATTTTTCGTGACACTCATCTTGATGAAATGGCTGTTGGGAACTTCGTTCAACACACTCCAAATCTCAAGAGCTTCGTGTACAGTTATTCAGGAAATCCGGGGGTCTGGGATATATGCAAGATGCTCAAGGATATTGAGCGGGGGTTGGGAGTAACCTGGAGGAGCTTTACATGCTCTACGAGTCAAAGAGCACTATGGTTGAAGACACGGGAGAGGAAATGAACGACTCTTTTGCTCCTGGAGAAGCATCTTTGCATGGCTTTAAGAGGTTACGAAGGCTCCAATTACCCCTTAAAATTGCAGTGTGCAATCACAATGCCGCTACGGCAGACCGTCTCGCTTCATTGATCGATCTTGTACCCGCTTCTGTCTCGCATCTTTCTTTCGTCTCATATGGAACGGACGACGAGGCAAAGGCCCTTCAAATTTTGTTTCGTGAATTTTCGAGCAGCCAGGTGCCATATTTCCAAGAGCTTCATCTGTTCATACCTGGGAATGCGACTGAGTTGTATAAACAGAGTTGGGCCAAAGTGTCCGAGGATAAAAAGGCGGGCATTTTGTTAGTGCATGAAGAGTATGATGGTCTAGCCGTTTGGCTGGACCGAAATGATTCGGTTTATTCGGATGATGTTTGACCGTTCTCTGTTTCTATGTGAGACTATTTACCTTCATTGGGTTGGAAAAATGACTATTAAATCTTTTAGACCAGAAAGGCTAAGGTGTGTACGCCGTTACCAGCGCATGCGTAGCTCGATTTCAATCTCCATACTATCACTCAGTCTCGGATTTAACTAGTTATCGTTCATAAAAGATGCATGTCTTGGGCTTCCACCTGCATGCCTATAGCTGGATAAGTAATTAGTTATCCTCAAGGTCTCTGGTTCTTATCTTCAGCTCAATCCAACCTCGGGGAACGCACACAGAAAAATTCTAGTCCCAGCCTAACTATTAAAACAATATCAAGTAAAAGGTCGTTCATAGCCATAAGGACCTTTATAGTGCGGCCACAATGCCTGTTCCTATACTATAGTCTGTCAATGTGTCGCTATTGGCTGGACCCATGAGTTTAGTCACATCCACCTTTGTAATACGCCAATCGGTAGACTTCACACTGTGTTATAAGCATATGCGATATGTCTATTGATTCACGAAGGGGGTTCATGTAAGGGGGGATCCAATACCGGCCAAGGGGCCAGGGCTTAGAGAGCAGCCCTGTCAGGAACGGTCCCGATTGTAAGTCTACGGCTATATACGGCATATCTATATCTACTGATGTATGGTAGGTAGGATCAACCTATTCACTTAAGCCTTAAAATAGTAATCCGAGCATTAAGTAAGTTGGGTTGTGCTAAAATGGACTACATAAAAACCAACAATTTTCCAGTGGTTTCACTTCCTCAGAAGAGTAATCAAAACCCTCGAGATTGACGGGCGCGAATGTTCCTTGGGCCATTCTTGAAGGCCCATAAGACGCGATACAGCTATCCGTGCTACGTGAATACCATAGCTTGTGTCCACACAAGTGCGCCGTGGAGTCTCGACAAAAGGGCCGACTAGGGCGAGATTGACGACTGATTTTGGGGTAATGCAAGGGCGATCTTCGAAGGACCTGGTCAATAATGTTGAGCTCATCCTCGGCATCGCGCGTGGAATGGTAATAGAACGCTGTAGAACTTCTGTGGCCACTTCACCAGGGAGATCCAGATGATGTAGGATCTCGGACATGATTTCTGCACCGGAGCAAAACAACATACTCTTTCTGATATGTTCGCCTTCATTTTCGGGAAAGAGCGCAAACCCCCAGAGGACACGGACGTCTCGCGACTGCTGAGCAAACACGGGCTGGACAGGGAGACAAAGCCTCATGCCCCAGCCACTTTTCTTCATAAGAATAATTGCACCAGCCTGAGATTGGCATTGCGATAGAGATTGAAGATATTCGACAAATCCGATGTGCTCTGTTGTGATAGTGAAGGATTCTAATATAGATTCGGATTTGCGTGTGCAGAAAGTGTAAGGATTGCCATAATCGGGGTATTTGTTGCCAGCTTCTAACCATAGTGCCCAGTTCGCGTCGAGGTGATCTCTCGCTTCAATTGAAAGCCAAGCTGGCGGGAGATCATTCGTTCCAATTGCAGATCCCGAGACCGTTGAGCCCGGTGTAGCAATGACGATGTCGCTGTATCCTAGAAATTTTTTGAACTCAAGTCCGTGCTGAGAAACGGCTAGGCGACTGATTGTATGACGGTTTTGGTCAACCGTAGTCTCGATATTCCGAATTTTGATGCCGAACTGAAAGTCCACGCCTTGACTCTGGAGAAAGAAATAAATGGGAAGATATATTGCCTCGTACTGATAATGACCTGTGAGATCTAGGCAGCTCAAAATGCTTAAGCTGTAGAAGTCAGATAAATATTGCCTAACAGCACGCCTAAATTCTGTGGCACTGTGCCAGGGCTGAAAACCGAATCTTATAGATTCACATTTCTAAAGTTAACCAGGGTATTAATGCGTTAGGCAGTGCAGTTACTTACTGAGTTGACCAGATTGTCCAAAATGTACTTTCAAAGAAGCTTTCCCGAAAGAAACTACGGATATCCTTTTTTTGCAGGCTTTTCTCCCCTTTCAGAAGAAGCCGCATCATATGTATTCTGTGGCTCCAGCCTATGTTCAGCGACTTCGTGGGTAGGTGTTTGAAGGCTCCGCCATTTTGAGCGATAAAACAGGTACCACCTTTTCTGTTCATCGCGAGATTTTCCTCCTCTTCTTGGATGTCATCAAGATAGGAGCGGCCTTCCGCCACTGCGGATGGAATCATATCGAGAACCTCTCTCAACTCTGATCCAACGGGAACAGGAAGGCATTCCGCAAATTGGTCGTATCCTGCATGCGCACTACCTTGTTGATGTACTGCTTGCTGTAAGGACAAGTGTTCATCTAGGATATGCACAGCAGAAGGACGTAAATGAGCAAGCTTTATCAGATAAACTGCGGATGCTAGAGACGCAGTTCCACTTCCGAGGATCCAGGCCTCAGTTGCTCCTGGTAAGCGTCGGTCGTATCGTGCTGAACTATCCATAAAGTGGCTGTAGGCGAAGTAGATTCGAGTGTCGTGGAAGACTAGTGCAATGTACACATATCGGACATTATAAAGAACATCGCGCATGAGTCAGTCCCACCGCAATCGACGAAGTCACAAGATGGTGGCGATACGTGACGTTCGGGTCCGTCAGTCATAGAAGTCTAAACATTGTCTTGACTGTAGCCACTGGGCAGTTAGGAAGAAAACCATGGTTCGCTTCCACATGCAAGGGTCATCTTGGGTAAAAGGAATCAGGGCATAGTAGACAAGCGACAAATGCTGAAAATATTGAAAGTTGCGTAATTTCAGAAAATTCATGTTAAGGCGAACTTAACGTTATCTCAATTGATACCAACAGCTTAGTGCGAAGCGGTTCCGTGACGTCATCATCAACATTTGTCACAGTCTCCAGTCACATGTATACAACAACATCACTACTAAACTAAGAAAGTCCCGTTTTCGAGGAATGACAACCTCGCTGTTTGTGTGATTCAAGACATACTAAGATGTACTTTGATCGATGTTATCCTCGCCAGCAACCCAACCAAAAAACTCTGAGACGTTCGACGCCTAACAGATGTACCGGGCCACCGCCTCAGTACCCCTATTCTCTTCAGAAAGACATTTGAAGATATAGTGTAACAAATATCCTTTTTACGAGTGGTGAGTGACAGTCAGTCAAAAATTAAGAACTTTTAAAGGGCACGGTTCTTAACTTCGTCTATTACGCTGCTGGTTCAATTCGGCAGAGGTTGTTTTTGTTCGGATGTTAGGAAATACCAGAGATTCAGAGGTAGCATAGCGGTTTTATTAGTATTCTATGTTCCACTAGTTTAGCTCGCAGTAAGTCACTCTTTCGATTTTGAATTGCCTATCATACATGCTCTCTCGCTGTCCAATGGGATCCTTCGCCGTAAAAGCCATCATCAGTAGTTTGTGTAACTTCAAATGTCTGCCGGATACCAACTTCCATTTTTCCTGGCAATGTTTGTTGTTGTACAGTCAACCTTTCCACGCTATCACTCGGGCTGGATGAGTGTGGCCAAGAACCATCCAAATCTCTTTGGGTCTCGATATTTGTCACCATGACAGCCAGTTTATCGGGTCTTAACTCGCTTCGCTCATTCGCTCCCATCGAGCCTAATGGTATCGGTCGCTGCCTACTCGCGGCAGTTGGACGCCCAAAAGATTCTTTTGGGAAACCAGCGGAATATGATGGATCTGCGTGTGTACCGAGCCAGTGGCGCAGAAGCGGACGGAGGGTTGCGAGACTGCCAGCAGTAATACCGAGGCCCACTTCCAAGTTTGACCAGTAGGCAATCTGAACGGTAGCATCTTTGGTGAGTTAGCATTCGTTAAAGCAAGAGATCTCAAGGACAAGTGTAGAAAGAGAGCGTACACAAAAAGTCGTCCAAATCATCAAACGTTTTCACAAACGGTATACGAACAATCACGGCGGAGGATGCACTGTGTCAGAGTTTAGTTGCTGTCCAATCCCAAGATCCCAAGATTTGAATAGGAGTGGTTACACACATGCAAGCCATGCTCAAAATTCCGACTACAGCCAGTTTCGTCTGGCGTTTCATATGTAATTTGTGCACAACGAAGATTGGTAGAATACCAACAGTAAAGTCGCACATTGCGGCAAACGCACTGTAAACATATGTCATGGCAACAATGATTTCCATGTTGATACAGGAGCCTTCGCCTTGGATGTTGACGACTGGGTGATGGGCCATCCGAGTCCAGAAGAAGGAAAGTGGCTTGCATTGCAAGAGCATCAGGAACATGAACACCAGGCCAGCAAGGACCGTCATGGTCATGACAGAATAGAGAAGCCATAGATGGACTCGCTTGATGCAGATTCGCATTAGGAAAATGCAAATTGAGATCTTGCAAAAGATAGATGCGAAGCAGAAAGCAATTTCGCAGAACCACCAGTACTATTCACAAACGAGTCAGGGAAGTGTCTTACGAATCATACTCCATGAGTTGAGCTTACCTCCATGGCGGTCACTCGCTCCTCCGGCTCGAGGCTATACCAGTGCCGCCCATTGCCATGCAACCCTGCGCCAATCATAGACCCAGAGAAGAATATATACCAGAACTAACTGGAGGTTAGTAGGCTGCATTTCAAGCTTTCCAAAGGGAACAAGTTACCATGGCCATCACCATAGCACCGTCATCCCATCCAAATGCCTTCACTACCCAGCCGCGGACATAGCATCGTAGTATCACAGCCACACATGCTATCGACATAAATAGGGCTGCGACAACCTTGATCGCCAAGTTCCTTTGGTCCTCATCGCTGCTCATTCTGAGACTCTCATACGCGGCGAGGTTTTGTTTTCCCCTGAATTCAAATCCCAGCCAGGAAAACTTGGAAGCTGGGTAGTGCGGAGTTCCAGAAACCTCTGGGTGCCATTAAAAGATGACACCAAGAGATCGACAGTGCCAAAATGGGTATAGAGTACATATGCACGAGTTTCCCGTAATCATGCTCTCGAAATGCCGGTGTGTGGAGATTTCGCTCTGTCGGAACCTACAGAACCCACTAGCAGCCCAGAAGTATTTTCATACTAGGGAAGGATTTTCTCGCGTGCCGTGCCGAAACTGCAAAATTTCAAGGAGCATTAGGCTAGCGCCCACACCGTTGTGGCTAGTGTGGTTTGGCGTGCGCTACAACCCCACTACACGCGGGACGGCCATTCTCACTGGATGGTAACTGCTCGCTTGCTGGAAATCAGGGGGTTTCCGTGACTACCGAGGCTCAATTCTCATGAGGATACAATTTTTCCAAGAGTCTAGATGTGTTCTGCTGGTTTACCATGCAGAACCGAGTGAGACATGATCGGCTACTCATTTTACCACTCGAAGAGTTGGGCCGAGTTTGGCGACTGACAGTCCGCCTTCAATCATAGTTCCATGTCTCTGAGCTTCGTCAATCGAACTGCTCGCAAAGTAAGCTTAGTGATGTGGTGTTGGCAGGATCTTGTTTCCCCTGGGATATCCCTCTCTCTTATGCAATTATTATACCAGATGTGGTATATATACCACCACTGCGTAACATCCGGCGGATGAATGTTTTTTTGGTATCAGCATTTGCTTTTTTATATCTTGTCACGCGATATATTCATACTGTTGTTCAGCATTGCCTAAGGCTTTATCATCTCCGGAGTGCGAAACCCATTGTGTTACATAGATATCCACCACGTGGTCTCATATGAGGGCCTAAGAAGGGTTTCTAGAACTCGCGAAGGCGACAGCGTCCACGATATCTTCGAATAGTAAATCTAGGCTGTCAAGTTGCTTTTCATTACACCTGCTGTTGTATGACTTTTTTTAGCGCTGACAAGAACTCAAGGCAATTCAACATCTGTGGGACTCAACCGCATGAGCCAACCCTTAATCGGTTGGCGATACTCAAGGAACTACAAATGAGCTATCATGTTAGACAGATTTTTGATATCTATCTCTTGACCAACCATGCTGTAAAGGATCCCTAACTGGAGTTGACTAGCCACCTCGCCAGGAGACTTTTTTACCCGTGCCGAGGCACTAGGTCTTCCTGTCTCCATTGAGCGCACTGTATTTCGGGAGAAAGGTTATATTCTCTTTCCACGAGCTTACTAGAGCCTCAGTGAAGGATATGGCTGATTTTATGCTCTTCCAGAGCCTCTCTATTACGCTGCCCTGAAAACAATGTCTAACCCTGAATATCAATCATTTGTGTCCGGAACTGAATATCTTCTCGGTGCTGCGCTTTGTTCGGTGAAAGTTAACGTGAATTATTCTGTATTTCTGGACCCTATTATTTATTATACACCCATGATTCGGTCTAGATGCGGATTGCGTGGTTTACTTCCTTGGAACTGCTACGCTGGACTAAATACAGTTATTCACAATTGAGGATTTGTGGAACTAGCTGTTGTTGTGCGCGTATTGAGCCGATGACAAATGCACCTTCCATCGAGTACCAACTTATACTAAGTGCAACGGTCTCTACGGTGGTACTTGAGCGTATCTGTCTAGCTACCTAAGTACGTACTTCAATTGGGTGTAACTACCTACGATCTACGCTTCACATAGCTTTAGCGTGTCTTCAGGGTCCGCTGTAGGTGTCAGTCCGTCTCATCGTACTGTTCATCAGGTCCGACGGTCAACATCGCTTCGATATGCGGAGTATATTTTGACTAGTTTAGAAAATTTGTCACTGATAGCAGATTGTTTTCCCTTTACTCCTCTAATCCAAACTATAACATCCTACGTGGAATTTACTTTGCACCCTATATTGTTGCCCCGCTGTGGCGGATCTTGGAATACGGGAAACAAATCAACGCTCAGATAAGAACATTTATGGGTAGAACAGTATAAAATAGCCCATGTTAGAATAGTTGCTCAGCAAGGAAACTCTTATCTAGCAAGTTTTTGTCCACTCAGTCTTTGCCTACTCAGTCTTTGTCTCCTGAGCCTCTCATCTTCACCAACATAACTTGGTTAGATAGACGCGGATTGACACCAGCCCCGGTCACTCACTTCGCTCTAGAAGACGCGACCGACTATAGTGCTGCCCAAAGACTTAATTCATGGCTTAGTAGTATTGATAGAGTCAAAGGTGACGAATTGCGACGATCTGCACTCTCCTTACGGATTTAATGCCAATAACTTCTATCAGAACAAGGCGCGAGCATCACAGAACGCAATTCTAGCGCCTATGATTGAGCATTTATGAGCTTCACGAGTCACCCGAGTTCCGTACCTGACAATACAAATGATCTATTATGCAGCCAAACCCTCCAATGTGACCCGCGTGGCTTACACATTCCACTGTAATGAGTGTCAGATATATAGACAGATATTTTATTATTCACCGTGATATCTAAAAAGAGGATATGACACTCGCAGATAGTAATGAGGCCGAATGGGTCTTTTGGTGTCAAAATCAGAGACTGGCTCAGGCTAGACGAACTATATCTTTTTTCCTTTTTAAAAATAAAAAGAAGAAAAAGGGCGAGAAAAACACCAGTAAACCCATTCAAAAGCATGAACACTTCACTTCACGTTGTCGCATCGAACCCGAATGTTTACCTAACCCCTTGATTTGGAGTAAAGAAGGGATACAGGATCCAATGATATAATGTGTTGGTCGGGGCGGAGAGATGAGATCACCGCCCGCAAAAAACCACTCTGCATTCTCGTTATGTTTCCATCGCAAATATGTTGTCCGGAGCCAGTTATAAGTCTCTGATAACGGGATTGTTAGCATTCTATGGCTTCCTTATTTTATTTTGGATAAATAAAAGAGAGGGCCCGGAGCCAAGAGAGTTTGATCGCCACACAGGGATTACATCAGAACCTCCCCTGGTAACCCCTGATCAGGCAGTCAAAAACAGGACCTTAGGGGTATGTACTGGAACTGATTCTTTTTGGAATTTTGATATTGACCATAGGCAATAGTTCGAGCATATATTTGTAATTGGGCTCAGTGATCGGACGGATAAGCGCGATACAATCACCTTGGTGTCTTCGTTTCTAGGGGTAGACGTGGAGTGGATTGAAGGTGTCAAACAAGATGACATCAACCCCAAAGCCTACCCATCCGTATGTTTCAAGACCCGATAAAATTGTCAAAATCACTCATTCGTTGCACAGAAACCTGGACATCATCTCCTCGACCGACCAAATACTCTCGGCTCGTGGCGTGCTCATATGAACGCATTACAAACGTATGCAAATTCCACCCATCAATGCTCTATTTTACCCGCTAATTTTTTTCAATGCATGACATAGGATGATCGCCCGAGGTTATAGCAGTGCTCTTATTCTCGAGGATGATTCTGATTGGGATGTGACATTCAAAGATCAAATGGTGGAATTTGCTCGCGGAACACGTGCTATTTCAACAAAGCAAGATAACCCACTCTCGCCTTATGGTGATTCTTGGGATCTTCTATGGTTAGGACATTGTTCCTCGCGTGCTAAGAAGGGGCCTTATTGGAAGATACCCAATGATCCTACTGTCGCACCTTTACAGTATAGGACTGGATTCAAACATCCGAGTATGATTGAGGATTCCGATGCGGCCTTTTCACGCTACATATATTCGGCTGAGGACTTACTGTGCAGTTACGGCATTGCATGGACATTCAACGCAGCGCGTAATGCCCTTGCCCGTATGTCCATGCTTGAACTTGATGTGACCGCTGCCGATGTGGGATTTCATATTGCCTGTAACGGTGGACTTAGATGTCTGACATCGGAACCAGCTTTGATTGGAAGCTATCGGCGAGCAGGACCTCCACAGGCAGACTCGGACATAGAGGTATTTGATTCGACGGAATGGCACGAGGCTGGATCTGGACACATCGTCTGGAGCTCTGCTCTTAACGCTTTGCGGTTAGCGGCAGGGTTACCAGTGAAGGCACAGTGGCCAGAGGTTACTCCGCCGGAAATTGATCCAATCAAGCTCAAAATACCCAAGGGCCACTTGGAACATCTCTCCTGATGTGCGCATATTGTCATTTGTTCTCAAATTGAACGCTAGTAATTTCATTTCTCCTTGTTCTGATTTGGAAACTAGATGCCTTCTTTTTCTCGTGGGGGACAGGCGTATTATCACATGACCTCGCAGGTACATAAGGTGTGCGACAATACTGAGCGTTAAAGTGCTGGAGGATCTTGCTTGGGTTTACTAGATTCTCAATGTATCAATAGAAATAAATGTCGAGGCGGAATCATCTTTTTATCTAGCTAAAGTGAAAGACAGAAAGAAAGAGATAACGAACGAAAGAGTAAGATATTGGAGGGCAAAGCGTATCCTACCAACACGAGCGTGGGGGAGGAACCCAACATGGCGCCAACGTTGTTTCTTTCCGCTCAAATAAGGTTATTTCGCAACAAGAACAGCGACAGACCAGGCGGGCATTGTGAACGAGAGCTTGCCTTCCTTCATCTCCAGCATGGTAGATTTCTTTTAGAAATGTGTTAATGAAAACCAGTCACTTGACTCTTGAATACAAATTTCGGATAGTTCTTCTTTACCTCGAACGGGAAGCCGTAGAGATGCGGACTGGAGGGATTCCCTTCAGTAGAAACTTGAAGTTAAATCCAGTGTGAATTCCCTAAGAATAGGACCAAAATGGATGCAATACCCAGGGAGGATAGTGCGTGTGCAGCCAGCATACTTTACTTGAATGAAAACAAAGTAAACTTTCAGAAGATGGTTCAATGTTCATGAGGATTTCGCATTATTACACTTCTTGGCAAGTCGAATTCAACCGAGCGTAACCCAACCTGATATGAACACCCATGAGAGACGTGGCTGTAGTCAAAACAAGAAATACCTCCAACCATATGAGTTCGGACTCGGACTACAACATGGCTTCATTAGTAACTGTTCTTCTCATACTTCCAAGAAGGTGAGCAATTAATCGCGCAGCGGTTCAGTCCCTGGTCGGGAAGATATCAGAATGGAGGAACGCTAGTATCCCCGGTCGGATATAAGGCAAAGAAAAGGCAAATGTTTTTCGTCTTGTTATAGGCCTCCTCGCATTACTTGACTGTAACTTAGGGCTCTGTACACCTGCAGTATCACGGAATGATACCGGTTCTCCCCGCTCATTCCGACTCTCGGAAATAATTCCGAGCTTCCGATCAACAACCTTCTATAAATATTGAACTCTCCCAAACAAGGAGTTTGATATCCAAAGCAATTATGTCTCACCCCCTCTCTATCCTCTCAGCAGCGGAGACCAACTTGGCCCGTGATGTGGTCAAGGCCGCACACCCGAATGTTGTCATCGACTTCCGAGAGATCTTCCTAGAGGAACCACCAAAAGCGCTACTCTTGGAGTTCCTGGCAGTCGAACATGCTGGTCGACTCAGCCCAACGACCCCGAGGCCTCCACGTCTCGCTTTATGTCAGTATGATGTGATTGGGTCAGACCGCATCCCTCAGTTTCACGAATCAGTGGTCGATGTCGTCTCGCAGTCGCGCGTCAAGCACACGGTGGTGGGGAAGCAGCATCATGCCAGTTTGACACTGTGAGAAACACCATAGCAATGGGACAAGAATCCAGACTAATCATCCAAAAGTAACGAGTTCGATGTTCTTGTTGAGCAGTGCATGAAGTCTCCCTTGTTCCAGGAGGCCCTCTCAGATTTCACCTTGCCCGAAGGCTTCGAGGTCGTGATCGAGCCGTGGCCCTATGGTGGATTGGATCATACAGATGAAAACCGCCGCTACTTCCAGGCCCTATGCTTTGCCCAAGACAAGCGAACTGGAAACGAGGACTCCAATTTCTACTCGTTCCCTTTGCCTGTTATACCGGTGATGGACGCTTTGACGCAACAGATTATCCGCGTTGATCGACCTGCCACCGGTGGAAAAGGGGAGGGGCTTCTCGAGCAAACTTTCCAGCAGGACATCATTGGCCACTGCAAGCCTTCGGAATATGTTCCAGAGCTGATGCCCGACGGTACCCGCAAGGATCTTAAGCCCCTCAATGTTGTTCAGCCCGAGGGTCCCTCTTTCCGGGTTACAAACGAATCTCTCGTTGAATGGCAGAAGTGGCGGTTCCGTGTCGCTTTCAATCCTCGAGAGGGAGCGACCATTCACGATGTGTCTTATGACGGTCGCAGTGTGATGCACCGACTGGCAGTAAGCGAAATGGTACGAATATTTATCTTTGCCAGTGAGCTCAGCGCTAACTTTTCCCTTCAGACGGTACCCTACGCCGATCCCCGACCCCCCTTCCATCGGAAGCAGGCCTTTGACTTTGGCGATGGAGGTGGTGGTAACATGGCAAATAACCTATCCCTCGGTTGCGACTGTCTTGGAGTTATTAAATACTTTGATGCTATCATCACCCAACCAGATGGTACTGCGCAGACCCTCCCCAACGCGATCTGTCTTCACGAACAGGATAATGGAATCGGCTGGAAGCACTCCAACTGGCGCACTGGGCGGGCAGTTGTCACCAGGCATCGGGAGTTAGTTATCCAGTTCATCATCACACTGGCCAACTATGAATACATTTTTGCCTATAAGTTCGATCAGTCTGCAGGTATCACTGTCGAGGCCCGCGCCACAGGTATTTTGAACGTGGTCAATATCGATGCTGGCAAGGTCAGTGACTACGGCAATGTGGTCAGTGGGGGCGTTCTCGCCCAGAATCACCAGCACATCTTCAATGTGCGAATTGATCCAGCAGTTGATGGCACAAACAACTCAGTAATCGTCGAGGAATCTCACCCCGTCCCGATGAACTCAGTCACTAACCCCAACGGGAATTTCTACGAAGTCACTAAGCAGACAGTGGAACGTTCTTCTTGGATAGATGCTGCTCCTCAGTTCAACCGAACTATCAAGATGGTCAACCCCCACAAAACGAATCCCATCAGTGGAAACCCTGTGGGCTACAAATTCATTCCTCTGGCAACCCAGATGTTGTTGGCCGACCCAGAATCAGTGCAGGCACGCCGAGCTCAATTTGCTCAACACCACGTTTGGGTCACCAAGCATCGTGACGGAGAGCTCTACGCTGGTGGGCGCTACACATTGCAGAGCCAGACAGAGATTGAAGGTGTTGCAGATGCAGTTCGCCGTGGTGATTCTGTTGTCGATACCGATGTGGTAGTTTGGAACTCCTTTGGCATTACCCACAATCCCCGTGTCGAGGACTGGCCAGTGATGTAAGTGTTTCTTTTGTCCTTAGTTGAACCGAACTAATGATTCCAGGCCCGTGGAGATTTTCCAACTCATGATCCGGCCTGCAGACTTCTTCGTGGCCAATCCGTCGCTCGATGTGCCATCCAACAAGAATGGATCGTCTCGCTTAGCAGACGCGGAATGCTGCCGTAAATCGCACATTTAAAGTGGAATGTTCAACTGTAATTTAGCCTTATTGGGATTTACTTCTACCATGTTAAGTCTATGGAGATGCTTGTAGTAATGTGAGGAAGTTTATGCCGAGCTTTCTCTGCGTATTGTTTGTACATTGCGGAAATGAGAATATTATAGAATAACCAGGAGCTATCCAAATCCAAAGTTACAGTCCGTACAGTCTTGCACATATCTAATTATTGCACATATTTGGCTCCCTATAGTTGACTCGCCTTCCCCGAGACAAGCCGGTCCACAGCTCGGAATCTCGGCTCTGGGCGAACATTTCCCGGAAGTTCCGCAGTCAGTTCCGAGTTTCCTCTTTCTTTAGCTTCACATCTCACCATGCTCGCTGACTCTGAGGATTCGTTGCGAAGAAAGAGAGCCAAATATACTCAAATTGCCTGGTGTGTCCACCCTTGTCTCTTTCCCCGCCTCTTTTCTCGCGTACTGATCATGTCAGCAACGAATGCAAGAGACGCAAATTGAAATGTAGCGGTGGTTCTGTCTGCGCGCGATGCTCTCGTGATCAAATCTCGTGTGTCTATGCCACAGCTCGTCCTGGTGGATCGGCCCAAACTGAGCTCAAAGATGACCAGTACGTCCCCAAACTTCCCAAAATCCAGGACGCATTGACTAACAGCTCCCAGAGCCACTACGAGATTCCGAGGTGTGGACCGACAGTTGGAAACTCTGCGCCAGGAAATGCGGACACTTTCCGCTCGCCTCCATGAACTTGAATCGAGCAGTCCTGCTTCGTCGAAGCCGTCAGGGACCCCGGCCGCGGGCGGTCTGCATCGCATCTTGAATGCCCCCAAGTCACCAACTTATGTCGGTCCCACAAGTGCAGAGTTCGGTCTTAATCGTCCTCAATCCTATTCCCCGGGTGGCGAAGAGGCTATTGATGGTCATGACGAATTACACCTGTCAACGGCTGCGCCGAGCCCTGCACCATCCGATCGAGGCGAAGATGTCGCCACTGGGGATCCTCTGAGAAGCTTAGGCCCAGATGAGACTCTCCGGTTGGTGCAGGTATATGAGGACACGGTTGGTGTCATGTACCCCTGTGTCGACTTGGAGAGCGTGCGTGCGTATGTGTTGGAATACTATCGCTCCAATTCAACCACCGGACTCTCCGAATCGCTGGCGCACGTCGCCCATGATGATTGGTTCTCTGCAAGAGATGCCCAGGTTCTGAAGATCTTGCTGGCGACTGCCTTGCTAGCGGAATCGCACGGTCGCAGTGAACGTGCTGCCCAACTAGCTGACAGCGTCGAAGACCGGTTTGCTAGCAGGTTAAAAGTCGCCGAAGTGGACATGAAAGAACTTCTCATATTGACATTGTTGTCCATCTTCCACTCCTATCGTGACGACGAAGTCATCGCGTGGCGACTGATCGGAATGGCAGTTCGAGGGAGTACAGAACTAGGCCTGCACCGTCAAGACACCTGGCAGAAGACAGGAGGTGTTTTCCCAGGGCAATTGGAGTGGACATGGGCGAGTCGATTGTTCTGGTGCATCTATGTATTGGATCGCAAATGGTCCTTTGGCACTGGTCTCCCATTTGCGATTCAAGATACGGATCTTGATGTAAACCTACCTGAACCTGGCCATTCCACGCCATACCTAACCTGTATGATCTCTTACGCACGTCTAAGCACAAAGATCTGGGGGTTGGTTGTTGGTTGGTCCAATCGCTCACAGGCTGCCACTTTGGATGGTGTCGCCTATTTGGATGCTGAGGTCCAGCAATGGATTCGTTCAATTCCACGCGAACTACGATTTGATCCAAGCTGGCGCTCGCCTGAGGGATCGGAGCATACCGACCGAGCCATGATGCTTCAAGTTCTTCTTGCTCTCCAGGCGAATCAGCTCCGAATTCTTGTCTACCGCCAGAACCTCTTGAGTGGTGAACGAATTGCAGACAACTTGGTGGGCGCGTCAACCGCCGTAGAGACAGCCAAAAGCACTGTGCACATGCTAGATTATTTCAGTCGGGTCTCAAGTATCTATTTCCAGCGTCCGGAGCCCTTCAACTACTTTCTGTTATCAGCCCTTGCGGCCCTCTTCTTGGCTGTTTTACATGCCCCCTCGCGTTTCAGCCACGCCTGCCGACCCGAGTTTTATACGGCTGTGGACATGGTCCGACGCTCGGCAACCCGCGCCCGAACCTCACGGAGATTGCAAAAGATCATACATAGTCTGAAGCGGATTCAGTTGAACCTTCGGTTAGACGATGCTCGCCAATCCGTTCGTCGCGCCACGGGTGCAGAGTCAAAGGATGACACGTCGGAACTCAATTCGCATTCTACCTCGCAGACAAGTTTGCTTTCATCACACACAATCTGGGATACCACTCCCCGGTCTAGCACAGCACAGTCGCCAGGACAGTACACTCCTAGCCTTAACCAAACCTCCGGGATGCCTACCCCTCAGCCCGCATCCACCACCCTCTGGCCAATCTCACCCGGGATAGTAACAGAAACAGAAACAAATGGCTGCGAAGACCTTAGTAGCTTCTTTGAGATTGCAGGCGGATTCTATTTCGACCCCCATACTGATCCGGACGTTCCCATAGATGTGGGCTTGGCTCATTCAAGTGATATACGCTTGCCCAATGCGTTGGATGCTTTTCACGCTGAAGATGAGGCATTGACACGAGTGATGGCTGGGCTACTGTGAGAAGGGGGTGTTGTAAGCATAATGATTTAATTCAAACATTACCTGAAACACAAGTGGACATATCTGGCAATATTCCGGGCGTGCTTCATCTTTCGCTTATTCTTGCCTCCTTTTATCCGACTGAAGAAACGCCTGCTGTTATTTTTGATTTCCCCGGAACTTGGCGTGTCTCGGTTGCATGGTGGCGCCTGTAGCTAGTGTTTGGGAATTCCACCAGTCGGTGCTAGGGATCCTTGTCTTCATGCAATTTCTGAAGTGCTCCAATCGGTCTAACTGGCTTCTCAAAAAATTTCCTATTGCATGACCACAACTTTATCCGCGGGATCTCTCCGTGTCTTGATTCGACAAGGCTCCGGATTCCACGAATTGTGCTTTATGCACGTCTTCGGATGTTTCTATAACTAGCTCCTGGTATCCACCCGTTTATGAGTAAATCACTCTCTGTCCACGTTGCGAAGGATCATTTACAATGCATCTCAGGAGAACTGTCAAGCCAGCAGTCCTGTTTTCAGCCTTGGCGCATGGATATGCAAACCCCGGAACTTGCTCAGGAGCCTGCAATGTGCACGACCCGTCGTTGATCCAAAGATCCTCAGACAAGGTCTATTTTCGGTTTTCTACTGGCAATAAGATCTCATACGCAAAGGCCTCATCCATCTCAGGACCGTGGACGACCGTTGGGTCCATGCTTCCCTCTGGATCGTCAATTGACCTTGACGGCAGTGATGACCTATGGGTAAAACCTTTCGTCCAACGCCTTGCCGCATATATACTAATATTATGTTACTCAGGCCCCCGATGCTCAAGTCGTGAATGGTGCTTACTATGTGTACTACTCTGTTTCGACCTTTGGGTCGCAAAATTCAGCGATTGGATTGGCTACTTCCTCCACCATGGAGTCTGGCTCCTGGACTGATCATGGAAGTACTGGCATCGCCTCATCTTCTTCCAAGGCATACAATGCTATCGATGGTAATCTCTTCAATGATGGCGGTACCTACTACATGAACTTTGGCTCTTTCTGGCATGATATCTATCAAGCACCAATGAATTCCGCCGCCACCAAAGTAGCATCGTCTTCTTACAACGTGGCATATGACTCTTCCGGTACACATGCTGTCGAGGGAGCTTACATGTACAAGTACGGCAGCTACTATTACCTCTTTTACTCTGCTGGCACTTGCTGTGGCTATGACACATCCCGTCCTGCCAGTGGAGCAGAGTACAAGATCAAGGTCTGCAGATCAACTTCAGCTACCAGTGGATTTGTATGTTTTCTATTCCTCTATTGATCCTCGTTTCCTCTGATTAACTTTGTTTCTAGGTCGACAAGACCGGTACTGCCTGTACAAGCGGAGGAGGGACAGTTGTGCTGGAGAGCCACGGCACAGTCTATGGCCCCGGTGGGCAGTAAGTCATTAGCCGATACCTTATGTATGTGAAGTATCTAAACTAACATTTCCCAGGGGTGTGTTTACCGATCCTACTTACGGGCCAGTGCTTTACTATCACTACGTTGATACCACAATTGGCTATGCTGACAGCCAAAAATTGTTTGGATGGAACAAGATTGATTTCTCCAGTGGATGGCCCGTGGTTTAACTTGAACTGTACAAATGTGGTTCTGCTTGGTGACCTTGCCATATCAGCTATTGCGGGGAGCAGAAAGTATGTGCGAGGCTCTTTTAGTTTAAGGACAAGATCAGTCGATTCGAATGATTGTGTTTTTAGCGGAACGCCATATTCAATCACGCTTTGAAGGATCTAAACGCTATGTTCTCAGATACTTTGGTGGGACCATTTAACTTGAGCTACTATGAGCCCATAGTGAATTTCATCGCCATTATGTGGATTATTGTAGCCATTGTCTTCAGCACATTCCCAACAGTGAAGCCGGTCACATCACACAATATTAACAAGTGCATCGTGGTCATGGATATTTAGCGGCGCTGTTTCCTATTATCTGGGCAAAAAGAGGAGGCTCACTGGTCCAATCCTACTCCGATCGCCGATGACAGGGGTAGAAAAAGATACGGAGTGAACTAGAGGTAACCCTTCGCTAACATACATTTTCAACTACCACAATGACCAACGGTCAGACTTTCGATGTGCCACACATGGAGTCTGATTACCAGTAGAGCCTCATGTATTCATCAACAGTTGTTGGGTGTGAGGCCGACAACTTGAGTGTAGATGGCACCACAGATGCGCCGCGTGAACAAACAATCGCCAGTTGACATTCCATACGAGGAATAACCTGGTCCGGAAGGAGGGCTGACAGCCGTGCTTGAAGCTCATCCTCCTTCACTGGGCGGACTTCAATTGGGCGTCCAATATATCTTTGGCAAATATTTATGAGTTTCTCAAAGCTCAAAGTATCACCCGCCATTCCTAGCTCACGGCCACCCCACGGCTCCTTCATATCCAGAGCAGCAACGATAAATTTACCGACATCTCGAATGTCGGTCATTGTGATGTTTGGCATTGTATTATCAGATTGGACAGGAACCTCAACCCATGGCGGGTTGCCGTCTAGATGAACCAGGAACGGACCCTCTTGGAAGCCGGCCAGGGCATCTGTACGTTTCGACTCTGGGCATCCTATTCCGAGATAATTCATGAACATTCCACATGGAAAACGGGCAGCATCAATTTTGCCTTGATCCACCGATGCACGAACAGTGTTCCAGACAGTGTTTTTGATGTCCAACAGGTCAACCATGGTGTGAGCCCATGATGTGAGTGCGAACTCGGATGGAGCAAAGCGCTGACAGCCAGCGGCCTCCGCAGCGTGAAGGAGGTTCACCTGAGCTGTTACCCAGTCGGGCCCTGGGATAAGCAAGACACTGATGACCGCAGCCACATCACTCAACGCAAGTACCAAAGAGGCATGAGACTGATAGTCCACGCATCTGGTTTCAACCTCACCGTTCTGTTTATTGGATTCCTCCTCTCTTGGCGTTTTGCTCTTGCGAGACAGTATAACCGGTGTATAGCGGCCTTCGGTGGCGAGCAAGGCTGATACAATCGAAGATCCTAAGGTCGGACTGGATCCACCGGCGATGGCGACACGCATGATCGACGACCCAGCAGAAGAGACAAGTAAAGTGCTTCTTTCTATATCAGGAGACTTTGAAGCTGTGATATATTTACTGGTACACTGGGCTTGAGTTACAAGGGCGGGGTTCGAACGTATGACGTCACTATCCTCGTATTGTACAAATATCATCTGCAGCATAGAAATTCATTGACCGGGTCTATAGTAAGTTTGGCTCACGAATGAATCACTTATCTTAGCAAACAAACAACGAGCTCCAACCGTATACTATGCCACGTGACCAAGCCTCGAGTCGAGGTCTTGGCGGGGGTTTCGCTTTTCCTCTTCCCTGGATCTTGAGCGCCACATATTTACCCATTTAATACGCTTCTCGGGCCAATGGCTGCACTGCTATGATCGACTCGGACATTCCTCGATATTGCGGAGACCTCGATACGGTAATTTGCCCCCACTTTCTCTTATTTCAATGACGGGAAAACGCAAGTCCCGAGGACGGGGTCTTCGAGCCACTACCGGCTGGTATGCATATCCCCAGATTCTGTTAACGTCGCTCACACGCATCCTACTTTAGTCTTATTTGCAAGCGACGCCATGTGAAATGCGACGAAGTATGATCCCCTGCATGAGCTGACCCCTCACATCTAACCGTCTCAGGCACAGCCACAGTGTAGCCCTTGCGTAAAAGGCAATCGACCTTGTGTATATGCGCCCAGAGAGACAGCCCACAGTATCTCAAGGCATGGGCACTTGACTCAATCCCGGACGGGCAAGACCCCTCCAGAGAATGATCCTGTTCGGCCCCATGTACATGCTCCGTTGCAAATACTTGTTGATGTCTGTGATCAAGAGAAGACTTCGCAACAAGAGAGGCACCACCCTGATCTACAAGTCTCTCATGCTTCTCCTCTCACCGTGAGAGGCGATCCTGAGCCTTCTGGTCCAAGTTTACCAGCCTATCCAAGCTCCGATTCACCACATATTCTTGCTCCGTCGCCCGGGACCGACATCTCGGTCACCTCAACCCGGGCAGCGCCTCTAAGCTGGTTTGAGCTGCTAGCTAGAGATGCTGCAAATTCAGATACAGGCTTTCTGCTATCGCCTCTGCAACGCTCTCCAGATGTACGGTCAGTCGAGGACAAAACGGATCCACGCAACAGTGCAAACTTACGGCCACGCAGCTGGAGAGAGCGAGAGAGCTTTCAAGCAGCGGCTTTCCCAAGGGTCACTGGAATAGAACGACAAATTGCTCCACACACAACTGAAGAGGAATCTTCCCTACATAATGACTCTCCCTCATGGACGACCGCTTTTCCTATCCCCTTGTCAGAGCTTGAGCGCCGCATATTTACCCATTTTGTGCGCTTCTCAAGCCAATGGCTGGACTTCTATGATCCGCTTAGGCATTTTTCGACTACCGTGCCACAATTTGCATTACGGAGCCCTGGCTTGATGAGAGCGTTGCTAGCTTTCACGGCCCGCCACATATCCCTTGGTTCTTCCATGCCGGGGCCTTTCGGCACTGTTGACTCTCTTGGGCCAGATGACAGACGGCCTTCGCAGTCTAAAAGCCCCAACAACATATTCACGGTTGACCGCAATGTAGCTGTACAGTATTACTACGAAACTCTGCGTTGTCTGAACAAAGCAATGCCACATCCTTCCTACGCTAGCAGCCACGAGGTAGTTGCAACGGCGCTCCTGATTAGCGCCTATGAGATGATCGACGGATCTAATCAGGACTGGGAGCGGCATCTCAAGGGGATTTTTTGGCTTCAACGATTTCAAGACAATGATGGAGAGTCGGGTGGATTACGCCAGGCTGTTTGGTGGGCTTGGCTAAGGCAGGATGTTTGGGTCGCTATGAGGGAACGTCGTCGGGTGTTTAGCTTTTGGCAACCAAAGAAGCCCTTATCGATGCTATCCGCTCCCGAACTAGCCACCCGGGCGACGTGGCTTCTTGGACGATGTGTAAACTACGCATCCAAAGACGAGCAAGACACAGTGGAGTTTCCTCGGCGTCTTGAACGCGGCAGTGAATTGCTTTATCTTTTACAGCAGCGGCACGACTATCTACCTCCGGAATATAGTCCCCTTCCTAGCGTTTCTGGCCTTCCTGGCGTTTCTGGGATGCAGATATTTCCTCCAATTTGGGTTCACCCATCGCCCTATGCAGCTTCGCTACAAGTCCACAGCCTTTCCCGTATCTTGGTGATCCTTCACCGTCCTTCCTCGGGAGGCCTTGAAGACTATCGAGCGGCCCAAAAGCTGCTGACATTATCTGTCAACACTATATGTGGCATTGCACGAACAGTGGATGTTGGCGACAGCGCGGCCCGCCTTGTCTCTCTGCAGTGCGTCTTTGGAGGTAAGTCTGTTTTTCAGATACAGCATGCTTGCTAACCTAACTACGGACATTCGCCAGCGGGTATGTGTGTTTATACGCCCCATGAACGGCTGGCACTCTTAGATCTCCTTGACTCTCATCAGAGGGGCTTGCGTTGGCCTATAACATCGTTGCGGAAAGAACTTGAGCTGGAATATGCCAAGGATGAATATTCTGAATTCGCCAGATAAAGTCCGTGCCACCTGGACTGTACACAAATTTTGAAATGTCCCAGCAGATTATCCTACGTTGCTTGGTTTGCCATCCAAGTTGACCTGTCTATGACTTCATTGCAGTGGATCCTTGAGAGAATCTTCGCGTTCTTTCCGCTTTCCCCGAAACCTTTACGGTTGAAAATCCTGATAGTATTCATCCAGATAGGCTCGATGCGTCACTGAATCTTCATATACCTATATCCACTGATCGCTGGGTATTATAAAATAGTCGCGCATGTGTGCCGCATCTCGCTTCAGTATCAATGGACACTCACTGGATCGCGAGGTCCTAGATTTCTTAGCGCGCAGCCAGTTCATTTTCGCGAGATTTGTCCCTTTTATAGAAGGACAAGCAGTCTTCTTAACGTAGTTGGTTATCTACGAGACAATAATTATCATAGTCATAGTCTTCTTTTCGAAAATACAAATCTACAAGATAAACTAAATTCACTTACAAGAGGGTCCAACGGCGACTTGGAAAAAGGCTCATGTGGAAAACAAAGTAAAAAAGGCAAAATTGTGATAGAGTACGATTATCTCAGGAACCTGTACATGGGCGGTGCAAGTGTACATACCTTTCAGATCTCCGAAGCGTGACTGAATTCAACATGGCGTTGCGCGGAAAACAAGGCATTGAAACTTTAAGTAAATTAAACAGTCCTTTATTGTCTTTCGATTAGTCCTCTCTCACCGACGAGTCTGGCGACGAAACCAAATATGCAGCGAACTGAAAACGACAACCCCTAATGCTAGCATGGCGGAGATTACGGCGAATCCCATGAGATACTTTGGACCATCGCTATCAGGAAAGAGATACTGTTATACTGTCAGTGTTCGGCCTTCAAACCGGAGGGCTTTCACACATACCGACCCATAAATCTGTGCCAGATTTCCTAAGGCGTTGACCAAAGCCAGGCTAACACCCCGGGCCTCTGGGTTCATTCCAGCAAAGGCAGAAGAGGCGTATGCCAAGGTACCTCCGTTTGTGGCCCAGAGTCCCGCGGCCATTAGTACCAAAAGGACATATCGAGCTGTGAAGTTATAAACAGCACAAACTGTCATTGAACAAGCCAACGAAAAGGCCAGCCAGACTGCAATGACCATTCCACGCCATGTCGGAATCTTGTCACTGAAATAAGCAGTAACTCCGGTACATACGAATGCCACTCCGTAGATTGGGACGGTCAGAAAATTGACTTTCTCCGTTGACGCATGTCCAAAAAGTCCCTTGACTAACGTAGGATAAAAGTATGAAAGAGTACTAGATCCGACGATAACCTTTTGATAATCGTAGTCAGCAAATGAGAAACCAGGAACGGATAGGAATAAAGCGAAGCTCACCATGTAACCTATTGTAAATGCCCAAGTACGCCAGTCCTTCACCGACACCACAATGGCCTGCCAGTGCGTCAATCGCTCGCTGTCTTCTGTGATCGCTGTAACGTTCTCAGTGGCTAAACGAGTCACTGCGATCTCCCTCTCACGCGCCGAAAGTCGCCTTGAGGTGGCTGGAAAGTCAGGCAGGATGAACAAAGATATCAACGCGACACCTATGGTCGCAGCGCCCTCCACAATAAACAGCCATCGCCATCCACGTATTCCATGGACTCCCTCGAGATTGTCGACAATGACGGCAGCCAAAATCCCACCAAACGCACCAGATAATATCGCCGCAGAGATATACACCCCAAATCTTTTGGACTGTTCTGTACGCTTATACCACGATGAGAGTACTAACAACACACCAGGTGCAAACCCTGCTTCAACACACCCGATCATCACCCGAAGGGCAACAAGATGCTTGATATCCTTGACCGCTGCCATCACACAGGTCAGTGCCCCCCAAATCACCATTATTGCTGGGAGGAATATCGATGGACGGGAGCGACTTAAGACAAGGCTGTTTGGATTAACTCATTAGTGTGAATCAGGGTAGATCCATTAATGGGTAACTGACTTGCTCGGGACTTCAAACACCACATATCCAACAAAGAATACCACCAATGCCGTGGAATATTGATTTGAGGTAAGATTGAGGTCTGTTTCCATTCCTGAAATCTTTGCGTTGCCAATACTAAGGGTGGTGTTGTCAGTTTCTTATTACGAATGCTATTGGAGAAATAGCAGATACTTCGTGCGATCCATGTAGGAAAGAAGATACATGATCCAAATCGTAGGAAGTAGAGTGAGGTCTATTTTCCGGATCAGTGCTCTCTCTTCCTCAAGAGAGAAGGATGGTGCATCGTGCACGCTGGCATGTTCAATTTGTTCGGACCCGGCTTTCGCCATGTCTTTCATGTCCGAGGAATTCATCGAAGTCGATTTCATTGGGACTGAAAGATTACTGTATAAAAAGAGCGAGTAAAAACTCTCGGCGTTACTTGCGCGGACCCCATGATATTTATGTAGTCAGGGTTCCAATCCCTGTTCACTATTGGATATCTTGAGCCTCTATGGTCGCATGCAATATAACTAGTTGATAGTGTCCACCTCAAAATACTCCACAAACCTTGTTTCTGCCTCGTGCCGAGCTCGTAACGAGGACGAAAATCCGGGGTCTTGGGTCGACTAAAACTTGCACATGAATTTGCTCGTTATAGGTAAGTGCCCATATCTCGTAATACGCATGATTATGTCCTTTGATATTTCTCAAAGTGCTTTTCGCCAATCCAAGTGCCTACGGGGAGTACCACACGGCCCAACCTTTGTCCGTTCAATCGAGGAATCCATTTGCGGAGCTAAGACGCCTCGAGCCGAAGTACTGTACATGTCAATCGCCACATCTTTTAAGATGCAGGCTAAGGGAGGGGTGGACACCGCATGTGCAGTGTCAGTTGCTCACTTTGCTCTGTTATTAAAGACGCTCGATCTCATCGTATGTCTTTTTTCTCACTTGTCTAGATAACGTGTTCTACTTCATATCCCCATTATGCCCCCCGTTGCAACAGAAAATGTCGCGCCAGACGCCACTAAGTCTGATACGTCCGCGCCATACCTGAGCACCCTGCCCGCCAATGATTTCAGCTGGCAGATTACTCTGACACAAAAAGTTGTCGCCATCACTGGTGCCAATCGCGGCATTGGCCTCGGTATTGCCGAAGTCTGTTTGGCAAACTCGGCGAAAAATGTGTACTCATTCGATCTGATGGAGCCGGGAGAGGAATTTGCCACTCTGCAGAAGCATTACCCAAACTTTCAGTTTATACAAACCGATGTCACATCAGAGGAAAGTGTGGAGAAAGCTATCAATCACGTCGTTGAAGCGACGGGTCGCATTGACGGGCTGGTGGCTAACGCGGGCATGACCAAACATCAGCCCGCCCTCAAATTTGAGCGCCCCGAATTGGAACAGTTGTTCAATCTCAATGTGAGTATCCCTGTTTAATTGGCTAGTCAATTATCTGATTCGTGGCTAGGTATTTGGAGCCTACTTCTGTGCGCAAATCGCCGCTCGCAAGTTTATTGAGCTCGGGATTAAGGGCTCTATTGTAATGACATCGAGTATGACTTCTTATCGGCCTAACCGTGTAAGTATGAGACATATCTGTGGCTAGTTATATCAAGTTGACTGACCGTGTTTCCCTAGGCCGCCCCCTCTGCGCCATATGGAGCAACTAAGGCTGCCGGTAAGTGCTTCATGAAATTATTCACAAAACTATCACTCACGACATATCGTCCCTGCTTTAGTTCGAAACATGTGTCATACCCTTGCAATGGAGTGGAGCAAGCACGGAATTCGCGTCAACAGCATCTCCCCAGGATTTGTACGAACTGCCATGACCTATTACGTGGAGACCGCCCCAGACTGGGATCTCAAGATGCAATACTATGGTGGTATGCCACGCTTGGCTGATCCACGAGAGCTGGGTGGGGCCTATGTGTACCTACTGAGCGATGCGAGTTCCTATACCAGTGGTATTGACATTCCAATCGCGGGTATTGTTGGCGCCTGGTGAACATTTTTGGTTGCATTGAATGCGAATACCTACAATTCTGTCTCGTATTTCTCCATCCCTCCATTTCTAAAATAAGTATTTGCTCGTGACTTTACACCTACTCGTAGAATTTCGAGAATATATAAATTGTCCTTTTCGGTCGTTTCTCTCTCTGTCTCATGCTTTGTTTTGTAGTGGATTTGCGTTTTCTTTTTCACTACATCTGTTTCTAGCCCTCCTTAGCATTAGATGCATAAGCATGAATCTATGTAGGGACATGTGTCCATTTATGGTCATATTATCACATCTTTCAACTTGTAGCAAGAAAAGATGTCAACAGTATTAAACCACAGAGCTGCCGGACAAGCCAATATGCTAAATAGATGCGGTAGCGTATTCTCGTTCATCTATATGCTCCCATAATGGACTTTTCTCTAATACTTCACGCCACGCACCTCGGCGACATCCGACTCGGCCGAATCATGCCTAAGGCAGAAACTAATTGCCTTTTTCAATTTGGATATTTCCTGCTGTTGTGCAGATTTACGACTGTTTGCAATCTTGTAACCTTGTGCAAGAAACCAAATTATATGGCAAAATTAGCTGATACGACCTCTCGCAGAAGAGGCCCGGCGAAATACAACGTTGGGTGGAGACGCGTTGTACGGAATTTTAGTCCATCGTATGTCCCTCGGCCATGGTGGCTTTTTTTCCCCTTTTTTTGCAGCTAATATATGCATCTCTGTTCTAAAGATGGTTTGCGGTGACGATGGGTACAGGTATCGTGTCGGTGTTGATGAACTCGGTGCCTTTTGATACTTCAGTGCTTTACTACTTCTCCATTGTCTTTTTCGTGCTCAACCTAATATTGTTTTTGTTGGCGTCTATCACTTCCATCGTTCGGTATACTTTGTATCCTGAGATATGGCTCGTGATGATTCAGGACCCAACCAACTCACTGTTCCTAGCGACGATCCCAATGGGCTTTGCCACACTCATTGAGATGTGGGTTTTTGTCTGTGTGCCGCTATGGGGAGAATGGAGTGTAACCGTCGCGTGGGCTTGTTGGATGTTGGATGTGGTAGCGGCAGCTTCTGTTACCCTGTCGCTGTCCTTTATTCTGTCTGCATCTGTCTCGAAATTTGAAATGGATAACATGCTAACCCCGCTGCAGAATATCCCAACGCTATATCACCTCGCTCGATCGGATCACTGCACTCCAACTTTTGCCAATTGCAGCAACTATTGTGGCAGCTGGTGCTGGTGCAGAAATTGCTCATATTTTACCAAACAAACAACACGCGTTGGGAACCTTACTCGTGTCTTTTATCCTGTGGGGTATGGGCACTCCTTTGGCAATTATGGTATTAGTGATCTACTATCAGCGGCTGGCAGTACACAAGCTTCCATCCAGAGGAATGATCGTGAGTTGCTTTCTGCCCCTGGGGCCTCTTGGCTTTGGTGGTTTTGGGTAAGCGTGATGCCTTTAGACCCCTGAGATGCCTGCTAATACGCCACTAGCATCATTTATATGGGTAAAGTGGCACGGGTGCTGTTGCAGGATCCCCAAATATTAGACCCCATCGCGGGCCGGATGGCATATGTCTTGGGCGTTTTCACATCCCTGTTGATGTGGAGCTTTGGCTTGGTCTGGCTCGTATTTGCCCTAGCCACAGTTTTGTACAGCTCTCCTTTTCCTTTCAATATGGGCTGGTGGGGATTTACGTTTCCTTTGGGGGTTTATGCGGCGAACACAATGGAGTTGGGTATTGAGCTGGATCTCATGTTTTTCAAGGTTTTTGGAACCGTATGTGTCCCTCGCTTTCCCTTGCTTCAACCAGAACCATAACAAACAATAACTGACTCAATTAAAAGGCTTTGAGTGGTGCTGTTTTGCTACTCTGGACAGTAGTGGCATCACGGACAGCATATGGAGCATGGCGCGGTACTCTGTTTTGTGCTCCGTGTTTACAAAACCTGGCGCTCAAGGAAGAAGGGGCTGAGCGGGATGACGATCGGCACGCATAGGAATCATTAGCTGAGTTCGACTTGTTTATTTTATCTTATACAAAGTGCAACCAATACCATGCGTGTTATGCATCGCATCGGATGACCCCGCAGAGTCCGAGATAGCAGCGCCATAGTCACAAACCAGGCAATACTAGCCGATGTCGATGTCCCGATAGGATAGGCTGTGCATCGGACTAAATACCTCGTTATTTTGCCAAGAAGTAAGCAGAACAATCACCTGTTCAGCTTGCTTTCGTGTTTGCTTTCCCATCTTTCTCCGACTTGGTATCTCTCAAGGACGGACGCTTGTTTTTATCGATTTCATATTGCGCATATACTCCTCGGCAACGTCGTAGAGGTTTCGAGAATGGTAAGGATTTGTTATATCTCTATATTGATAGAGACAAGGCTAAAAGATTAATATAGGATCCGGGGGAGTATGAGTTTCCTTTCTTACAGGAGGTCTTCTCTCCGATCGAGTCACACAAGGTCGAGTATGAACATCCCCGACTGATTCAATTTATGAAAATATTCTGAACCTATTTTTCTCTTCAGCTTTGTCTTCGTTCATGGCTTGAATCCCCGGGGCCGGAGTGATCATCCGTTTGAAACATGGACCCATGCCAATGGAAAATTCTGGCCGACAGACTTCCTTGCCCAAGATATTCCATATGCTCGAGTCTTTGTCTATGGCTATAATTCAAGCATCACCCACCCTCAGACTATGTCCACGGCAAGCATCAAGGACCACGCTAATACCCTTCTGAATCTTCTTGATATGGAACGAACTCCCCAGATGGTAAAGCAAAGCTCCGCCAAGCAGTACTATACCCGGCATCTGATTCATATCTCAGGGCACAATTCCACCAAAGGTGATCTTTATTGGACATAGTTTGGGTGGTTTGGTGATCAAACAGGTCAGTTCATGCTCCTCCTCCTTTCTGGCGTATCATTTAACTGACACGTACTCATTGTTTCAGGCCCTTCTCAATGCCAAAGAAGACCCGAAATATACGGCTATTCGCTCGGCAACCTCCGGGCTTGTTTTCTTCGGGACTCCTCATCGTGGCGCCAAAGCTGTTGAACTAGGGAAGATTGCAGCCCGGGTGGCCCGATTTGTCTCGAAAGGCCACGCCAGCAATGATCTGCTCGACTGTCTGGAGCATAATTCACTCTTCACAAGACAGATGACCGATAGGTTCCGGCATCAATTAGAGGATTATCGTGTTGTCAGTTTTATCGAAGGAAAGGAAGTGCAATTAGGCGGAGCAGGTCCGGCATCCATCAGCCATGTGAGTATTTCCCCTGTACCGTTTTACACCAAATAAATACTCATACTGGGACTTGAAGCTAGTTGTGGATGAGGAGTCTGCGGTGCTTGGGCTATCTGGTCTCCGTGAAACCCAGCTGAAGCTCGATGCAGATCACTCGCAGATGTGCAAAGTCGGCACCCGAGGGCCTATGTACCGCTTGATTAAGGGGAATATCAAACAGTTGGTCGACCAGGCACTGTTGTCAGAACATGGCTTCATTCCACAGCCTGTGCCGCAAAGTGCTGGACCCAGTCCACCGCCGATACCACCGCGCATACACTCTAATAGTAGCACGCCATATCAAACGCAAGGGCGGCTACCTCCGGCAACTCAAAGGGTAACCGGAGTCATGTTCACTGCCTCTGACAATGACCCACGATCTATTCGCTCCGCGGAACTTAAGAATCTTGCTCGATGGGATGAGGCTCGAACCGTTGAGTATGAGATTTTCCAAGAGCATTTGCGCACCCTCGGACCAGACCACTTCAGCACATTATCAGTGGCATATAACTTAGCACTCGTTGAGCTGGAGACGCACTACTTGGCGAAGGCCCATGAATGGTGTCAATGGGTGTCTGATAATGTCCAACGCGTATTTGGGGGCAAGCATCCCCTTGCGATGAAGACTGAAAGTCTGATCGCGGAAGTTCTGTGTCAACAAGGCAAGCATCAAGAGGCAGAGTCAGTTTGTGCGAACGTGCTAGCTCGTCAACAAATCAATATCGGCGAGGAGCACTTGGATACCTGCGACACTCGCCGCCGACTGGCGGGGGCGTATCATTCCCTAGGCCGTCGGGAAAACGCCGTTATGGCCGCTGAAAAGCTCACAGAAACTCTTAAGCGCCTTCTTGGGGAAACTCATATTCGTGTATTTGCTTCAGCGCTGGATACCTTGGAATACATCATTAGCAACCAATCCGGTGACAGAAATACGCTAATCACTATGCGGTTCCAGCCCGATGTACAGCAGGCCGTGGAAATGCTAGGGCAGATCTATGATGAGCTTCGTTTAGGGCTAGGCCCTGGACATCCGTATTCCATTCGCGCTCTGTGTCTCTATGGCCGCGGGCAGAGCATTGTGCAGCAGGGTATGGAAGCATCGGAAACCCTTCGCAGGGCCCTTGCCAGCGCGGAAGAGACGTTGGGACCCGATCACCCACTGACGATGGATATCGTGGGAAATATTGGTGTTATGTACGCCGTGCAGGGAGGCTTCCAAGTCACGCTCGGCAACAACCGTGTGGAAGAAGCCATTCCCTGGTTGATACGATATCTGAACTGGGTCGAACACCGCAGAGGAAAGGAAAATCCTGAAGCACAAGCCTCGTTGGAACTGCTGGCTACTTTGCACTTCAATGCCAGGGAGTACGAGCCTGCCCAGAAATATTTCGAACGCCTCGTTATAGCATACCGAGGCAACCCGACAGCACTCGAGCGTATCAATAATCAGCTTCAGTTGTGTCGTGCGAATACCATGCTCACCCGTCGAAGCCTTGGGTCGGGTTTAGGAGGATTTCTCTCCTCTTTGCAAAGATACTGACCCGGTTCATTGAAGTACGTATCGATCTATACTCGGGTACTACATTCAGCAAATGCTTGCAATGTTACATGGGCGAAATTTATGATTTCAGTTTAGATGTATCATCAAGCATGTTCAGTCATAGTATCGTGTATTTCCAATGTTCCGGCGAGGGGTATCATTATGTTGTCTGAAGTCCATTCATTTGAGTTCATGGTGAAACTTCGCAAGTAGAAACGCCGATCGATATAGTCCGTTTAGTTGGAGAACTTTTCGGGGACGTGCTTGCTATAGAGTGTATCAGCACTGCCTTCGGTCATGATGTTGTCAGCTTCACCACTTACCCAGTGGCCTTCTCGAACTGCTCGCGGCCGGTGTCGGTGATCTTCTCGTTGGTTGAGCGCATCTTCGCGGGGTCAACCTTGCCGCCGCCGAACTTCTTCTCAGCTCCACTGAGGGCTGTTATTGTCAGCTTGGATCTCATGCAAATTTTGTATAGTGAAGCTCACCCTTGTCAGCATAGTCCTCTTGGCCTGCGGAATCGGAGTTGGAGCTCGAGTGGGAGCCTTTGCCGCCGAGCTTGGAAGCGAGTCCAGAAATTTTATCCATGGTGAATGATTATGTGTGTAATGTATAAAGATTCAAAAGGTTAAAATCTCTGAGATGAGCAAAATGACCTTTTTATAGGGCTTGCGGAACTCTCCGATCGAAGATCCATCATGGCGCATGCATATATAGAATGCGTCATCGTGCTCGGATCATAGGGGTTTGCCCCGCAGAGGATATCATTGGTATCTCGTGCTGAATCGAGATAGGCTGAAATAGATCTCAGCATAAGTGGTTGAGGAGGTCTGAGGTCATATGGAGATCCTCATCTAGAATCTCTTGGTGAGATCATATAATGATGTCATCTATGACTGCCTTACAGGTCAAGCAAATAATAAGGCAACAAGGCAGCCACTTCAGGCATGAAAAAGCGATAAGGCATTAAGGCAGAAAGGCAAACACGGCACTTCCCGAAATGCCAGATGCAGGGGATCTGTTTTCTCTGGACTAGGATCCCCATGGAATATGTTCGTGATGTGGCATACTTCAAACCTATAACGCTCGATTCAAAAACTGAGTCAGTTCGCGACCTTCTCGGGCTGAGCTATCCCGAACTTGCCTGCCTCCCCGCGCTTTCACAAGAACAGGGTCTCCCTTTGACCAAACGGGGGATGATAGCCTCGCTTTGCTCCGCCTGCTCCCCCGTGGGGTTTCTTAGTTCTCGGAGTTGTGCCGATGAGTTGTGCCGATGCGCCCGATGCTGTATATATCACAATGGTGTCCTCTCATCACACGCAGTCTCCAGTATCAATCCGACATGTCTACAGTAAAGCCGGCAGAGGAACAAATCGAATTTCAGATGAAATCAGATAATAAGGGACATGCTGTTGAACAAGATGTTCTCTACCAGGCCTATACGTCCAAAAGTCCGGAATGGCATCACACTATGACCCGGCGTCTGCTTCGCAAGGTCGACTTTCATCTCCTGCCCTTTCTTATCTTGATGTATCTTTTGAACTTTTTGGACCGCAAGTATGTGCAATATTCAGCGTACTAAGTGGCATAACGTCATATTGAAACTAATGGCTGTCTAAGCAACTTATCGCAAGCTCGTCTAGGCTCGTTAGAGAAAGACCTAGGAATGGAAGGCACCGATTACAACCTCGCAACGAGTATCTTGTTTGTTGGCTATCTCTTGATGCAGTTGCCTTCCAACTTGCTCCTGACTCGTGTTCGACCTTCGTTGTTCTTGGGAATTGCAATGGCCATTTGGTATGAGATCTTCGAGCTGCTTATATTACCAATACTTATTTCCCTCACAGGGGTGTGATTTCCGCTTGTCAGGCAGCCATTCAGTCATTTTCAGGACTTATTGTCACGCGATTCTTCCTCGGATTTGTCGAGGCGCCTTTCTTTCCCGGCGCCGTCATGTTAATGTGAGAGTTCATTCATATAATTTCATGGATCGTTGTTCACTTTTATAATAGGTCCAGTTGGTATACCCGACAGGAGGTACTTCAGCATCCCTTCGGTAGCTACTGAGAATATAAGCTAACTGGGTCAAAGTTGAGCCACCGCATTGCCTGGTTTTACTCAGGAAGCTCATTGGCAAATGCCTTCGGCGGTCTCATCGGAGCGGGCGTCCTGGGTAATCTCGATGGCGCGCAAGGAATCGCCGGTTGGAGATGGTTGTTCGTCATCGAGGGTTGTATCACGGTTGGCATATCTCTTCTCGCTACGTGAGTATTGTCTGCATTAATCTTCTCTTTTATTGATCTGACCCTCTGTAGTACCTTTCTCCCAAACTATCCTGCTTCTACCTCCTGGTTGGATGAAGAAGAACAAGCTTATGCTCAATGGCGTCTGATGCACGATGCCGGTGAGGCTGATGAGGTTGGTTCAACCAGTATCAAAGAGGCTTTGGCTCTAGTCTTTGCAGACAAGCGCATCTACCTCTTCATTTTACTTCAACATACTTCGCTCCTGTCGCAGAATTTCCAATACTTCTTCCCAACCATTGTGCAGACACTTGGATACGGCAATATTGAGACTCTTCTCATCACTGCGCCCGTATGGATTGCCACATTCCTAATCTCGCTGCTCGTGACATGGAGTTCAGGCAAATCAAATGACCGCAGTCTACATATTATAGCCTTGATGATCGTCAGTGTGGTTGGAGGCGTCATAATTACTGCGAGTAATAACATCGGTGCCAAGTTCTTTGCTATGTTCCTGTAAGTTGTCGAGCTTCAATCCCCTTCGCAAGTCTGACCTGTCCAGGATGCCCATGGGGGCCGTCTCGGCATATCAGATCATCATTGCCTGGGTGGCTAATTCCTTCCCTCGGCCACTGGTCAAACGATCAGCTGCAATCGCTATTGCGAATATGATCGGGAACACGGCTTCAATTTACGGCAGTTATATGTGGCCATCTTCTTCGGGGCCTAGATACATCCCTGGGGGTAGTGCGACCGCTGCGATAGCACTTTTCGTCGCCTTGGTGGCACTCGTCATTCGCCTTGTCCATATACATATGAACAAGCGATTGGATGAGACTGATACATCGCAGGATCTTCGTTCCTCTGATCCAAACGACCTGGAAACGCGTGCTATTGGATTCCGGTATATTCTGTGATCTGCACACAATATGGAAGAGTGTGGCTTTACATAGTATATGAAAATAACATAGAGGTCGTATGATACATTAGTTTTAATACTCCGATCTATATCAACTGCAGCGGGATATTTGTAGCTTCGTCCGGAGCGGGGCTAGCGGAACCGCGCTCGCCATCACAACCCAATGAAAGATTATTGCCCTTGACACGCTTGGCTCCCTTGACTCTTTGTGAGTCACAGTCGTAATTCACATATTCTATCTCCAGCGTCGACCCAGATTCGATGCCAGTGCCTTTACAGGCGAAAGAATAGAGCTTTGTCAATTTTATGACCCGCATCTTCACAATGGTATGCTTGATCATTCCTTCATTCTGTCTCTGGGACATGCTTACCTAGACACAGTCTGGCACATCTTTCACTTCCATTCCTATTCTGGATTTCGCGCAAACATTGTCCCCGTCCACCAAGCCTGCCTTTTTGGGAAGCCTTCGTGAGGCTCTGGTAAATGTCGGCTTCTTCTATCTTCGAAATGCACCCGTGCCAGCTCAAATGCAAGAAGATTTTACTAAGATAGCCCTTGATCTTTTTGATTTGCCGCTCGAGAAAAAGCTGGAGATTGAAATGGTAAACAGTCCACACTTCTTGGGCTACTCTAGGCTTGGAGCAGAAATCACGGCGTTAAAGCCTGACTATCGCGAACAATTTGATGTCAGTGAGAGCTCTAGCGTTTGTTCAATGCTTTAACGCGCATCTGACTATGTTACTAGTTCGCAACCGAACTCCCCGCGCCTGGTCCAAGTGAGCCATTATATAAAAGCATTGTTGGACCAAACCAGGTGATTAAAACCTCTATGTTGGTACATTTTCTTTCTTATAAACTGACATCCATTATCCTCGGCTTAGTGGCCCGATGAGACTGCGATCCCTGGATTTCGACAAGCACTCGAGACCTACTTGTCTGAAGTGAGCAGACTGGCAGAGTTATTTCCGACGCTCATTGCCGAAGCACTGGACCTCCCGCCAACTGCATTGAACCAAGTTTTTGACAATCCGCAGCAACATAAGCTAAAATTGATCAAATATCCTCCGCCACCTGCGTCCAGTCCTGAGGAATCTAGCTTTCAAGGAGTTGGCCCCCATAAAGATTCGGGATTTCTCACTTTCCTGTTACAGGGAACAGCTCATCACGGCCTCGAAGTACAAAACAAGACTGGAACATGGATTCCTGCTCCCCCAGTGCCAGGAACATTGGTGATCAATATTGGACGCTCCCTGGAGGCATTAACCGGAGGGATCTGCACGGCTACTACTCACCGCGTCAGTTTACGGCGGGAGAATTTTCAAGATAGTGAAGGTGGCTCTTTAGGGCCGAGGTTCTCCTTTCCGGTCTTCCAGGGTGTGAGTCTTGATCTTTCCGACAAGGTTTCCCTGGAAATCCCAGAGCATATTCGCGCGCTTGTCAAGGATGACAAGGTCAAGTCAGATGCAGAGGCAACATTCAACGAGATGTTCCGTGGGAGCATTGGTGAGGGCACACTCATAGCGCGAGTCACTAGTCATCAAGATGTTGGGCAGCGATGGTATCCAGAGGTATTAGCCAAAGCATTGAAGGGGCAGAAAGAATTTCGAGAATAGGGATAATTTAGCTTTCGCCATAACCTAGTCTCTATCCTTGACTACTCTGATGTGTCCAATTCAATTTCTACGTTCGATTGTACTTTTTTTGTTGTCTGCAGATCAGATATCAACGTTGTATGAGAGAGTCGCAGTGCGGGGTGCACGCAAGGGACGCAACCTCGGGGTTAGCCGTCCCATCTTATAAATAGTTATATATACACCTTGAATGCTTTTCATCTTACACTTAGTGTCTATTCTATGGCAGTTATGCACTGGATTAAGATGCTGCTCTGGTTCTGTGCAGCAACTGCCAGCGCCCGTTCCACGCAGCCCACGCAGGGCATTTCTGACCTTGTTAAACGTCGACTTCCAAATCACCTTCAGAGCTTCCAGTTTACACTGGATGTCATCCATGATACAGACGATAAATATGACTCTTATGTTGTCAGCAGTGGCTCAAATGGCACAGTCTTGGTCAAGGGCAATTCCCTGAGCGCATTGTCTTCGGGGTAGGAGCCCTCTGAAGTTTTATGTTGACAAAGCTAACTTATACACCAGTTTGCACCATTATCTCACCGATGTTGCTCACGTTGACATCTACTGGTTCATTGGCAGCCGACTGGACGTCGTCCCGTCCAAGCTGCCTCATCTTGCCAAGCCTATTCACGGCTCTAGCACAGTTCCGTGGAGGTATCATTTTAATACAGGTACATTGCGTATGCTGTCGGGATATTGCATGCTTTACTGACAGAAGATAGTCACCTTCTCTTATACCACAGCTTTCTGGGCCTGGGAAGACTGGGAGTTACAGTTGGACTGGATGGCTCTTCGTGGGGTGAATCTTCCGCTTGCTTGGGTTGGCCAAGAGAAGATCCTCGTAGAAGTGTTCCGTGAGATCGGTCTCAGCGATGCAGAGATTGCTACTTTTTTCAGTGGTCCAGCGTTCCAAGCCTGGAATCGCTTTGGCAACATTCAAGGTTCTTGGCACGGGGATCTTCCCCAGACATGGATCGATGAGCAGTTCGACTTACAGAAAAGGATCATTCACCGCATGGTGGAACTTGGAATGACGCCTGTTCTACCATGCTTTACTGGCTTTGTTCCTGCGAATATCAGTCGTGTTCTACCAGATGCTAACGTGGCTCGTGGTTCGCGTTGGGGAGGTTTTCCGATTCAATATACGAACGACACGTTCCTCGAGCCCTTTGACGATCATTTTGCAGAACTACAAAGCAGCTTCATTAGCAAGCAGCAGGCAGCCTACGGGAATGTCAGTCACATCTACACTCTTGATCAGTACAACGAGAACGATCCCTACTCCGGTGACGTGGACTATCTGCGTAATGTTACTAGCAACACTTGGCGAAGTTTGAAACAGGCCGACCCGGATGCCATATGGATGATGCAAGGTTGGCTCTTCTATGCCAACTCCGACTTTTGGACCAACGAACGAGTGGAGGCATATTTGTCTGGTGTGGAGTCCAACGAGGATATGCTGATCCTGGATTTGTTTTCGGAATCGATTCCCCAGTGGCGGCGAACAAATTCATACTATGGCAAGCCTTGGATCTGGTGCCAGTTGCACAACTTTGGAGGCAGCATGGGCCTATATGGGCAAATCCAAAACATCACACAGAATGCTTCGGAAGCACGAATAGAGTCCCCGTCCATGGTCGGCTATGGCCTCAGCCCTGAAGGTCAAGAGGGTAACGAGATTGTATATGACCTACTTCTTGATCAGGCGTGGTCTTCGACTCCGTTGGATACCAAAGTGTACTTTCACAAATGGGTGACAAGCCGATATGCTGGCCAGAATTCCATTCCCCAGGACCTCTACACCGCTTGGGACTTGATGCGACAGACAGTGTACAATAACACCAACCTCACTACACTCTCTGTCGCCAAGTCCATTATTGACATTCAACCTGATCTTTGGAACTTGGCCAATGTCGCCGGCACACATGGCACAACGGTCAACTACCACCCATCGGTCCTTGTCCATGCATGGCAACTCATGTATCAGGCAACAAAGGCAGAACCGGCGTTGTGGTCCAATCCGGCGTATCAGCATGACATGGTTGATGTGACACGCCAAGTCCTGGACAATGCTTTCATCCCAATGTACTCAGATCTGATAGATCTGTACAACAGCTCTCAGTCCACGCAGCCGAAATTCGCACAACAAGGAAAGAAAATAGTTCAACTTTTGACAGACCTCGACTCGGTCCTTCTCACCAATAAAAGCTTCCGCCTTTCGACCTGGATAGATGCGGCGCGGACCTGGGCACGAGGCAACACATCCCAGGCATCAATGCTTGAATACAATGCTCGCAATCAAATTACTCTTTGGGGGCCAAATGGGGAGATCACCGACTATGCCTCCAAACAATGGGGGGCCTGGTCTCTTCATATTATGTGCCACGTTGGCGCATGTTTGTCGAATACCTGGAATCAACCCCAACCACGTCTTATAATAAAACTGAATTGAAAGCCAACCTAAGGGTCTTTGAGTTACAGTGGCAAGACGAGACTTGGTCTGCGTCCGAGCCCACTGGGGACGAGATTGACTTGGAGAAAGTGCTGAAACAGGTTTCGCGGAACTGGCCATCTATTTTTGGGCTGAAGTGATGGCTCTCTGAGTGAGTTTCAAGAACATTGTTATGTACATTCCGTGATAATCCGCGATCACCTTGCAATAGAAGTGAAATATAATAGTTGGATAGATGTACTTCTATAAGTCATAAGCCTCCCCGCATGTCACCTTATCGCGTGCTTACAAATGGGACATCCGCCATCTCCGGTCATATTTATTATCAACTACATTCCTGTTCACTTGCTATGCACTTGTGTAGCTCTTCGAAATGATGCGACCGTCAGAGCAGACGCCATTGATCTCTAACCAACATGAAGCCCGAGCCTTGGGCGTTCAGAGGGGACTGGTAATCCTAGTCTTGATGGGCGTGCTTATCTTTATTCAGGGTTCGCTTCTTTTTATGGCAATTCAAGTGCAATGAGCTGATGGCGAGCAGCAACCAATATGTCGATGATGACCACGGCTCAATCCAACATTGCGGCTGATTTGGATGCCTTCGCCGAAGCATCGTGGTTTACTTCGGCATATATGGTATGGCACTACAACCATCAAGTATAACACATCTAATACTTAATTCCAAGATTGCTATGTCTAGCATTACGCCCCTCGCCGGACGACTCTCCCAGATATTCACCCCGCGTCTATATGTGGTCTTCTCGACTACACTGCTCGCGTTTGGGCTTTTCATCAGTGCCGCGGCGCCGACTCTGGCTGTGTTTCTTCTCGGGAGGGCCGTGGCGGGCTGCGGCAGTGGTGGATTGATGAGCACATCCATTATCCTGGTTCTAGATATGGTCAGCAAGAAGCGACGTGGGCTATGCATTGGCTTGATTAATTGCGGGTATACCACAGGTGTCGCGTCAGGTGCGGTCATTGCTGGGCTTCTGGCTCCTACATTGGGATGGGTGCGTTGAAAACTCTCGCATCTGGTCCAAGATTTCTAACAAGCAATTTCAGCGAGTGATATTCTGGGTTCAGGCCCCAATTGCCTTGTTGTTAGGACCATTGCTGTTCTTTGCAATCCCCAGACCTTCTAGCGACGATGCAAATCCATTCAAACCGGAATATTTGCTTCCTAATTTGGCGCGGGTGGACTACGTAGGCGCCATGACGCTGGTATGGCAACTTATCCCATCATCATTATGCCAGCCTCTAACGTGTCTCTAGACAATCTCGGTCGTTCTTCTTTTGACCAGTCTTGCATCCCCACAAATAATTGTCTGGCCTATCTTGGTTTCTCTGCCGTTCTTTGGGCTGTTTGTGGTTGCCGAGTCTCGATGGACTACTGAACCCATAATCCCAGTCAAAATCTTGAGAGCTCGCGGAGTGATGTTCACATGTCTTGCAGGTCTAGGTCTCATGATGGCCCGGTGGTCTATCCTGTTCTTCACGCCCGTGTATGCCATGGCTGTTCGAGGATGGTCACCAGCATCCGCCGGGCTGTTCCTGATCCCCACAAACGCTGGTTTTGGCCTCGGGGGTCTGCTTGTCGGGTGGTTGCATATCCGTCAAACGGGGAGCTATTATATGTAAGTCTCATTGATCGCCATTGGAATAGTCGATCTAATGTCCTTGTTACAGCTCCTCTCTCATTATCTTTGTTGGTTTCGCTCTCGCTTCGTTTGTGCTCTCCTTTCTATCAACGCCAGAATCTCCGGTGGCCTTGTATTTCAGTGTAATCTTCCTGAACGGGCTCTTTGCCGGCGCATTGATGAATTACACACTGTCGCATCTGCTGCACCTCACTAGTCCATCTGTGCATTATATTGTCACTGCTCTGTTGGCAATGTCTCGTGGATTTGCAGGAAGCTTCGGATCTGCGGTGGGAGGAGGTTACTTCGCTCGAATCCTTAAACCCTCTCTCGAGGCTGGTTTTGCTGCTCATGGCTTGCCACCGCAGCCTGAGCTGGTGCGAGAATTGCTTGGTAGCCCGGCCACAGTTATGCGCCTCACTGGTACGGAGCGTCTCGTCGCTACTGAAAGCTATGAGCATGCTGTGCAGATGCTGTTTCTGGCGGGAAGTATTTTGGCGTTAGTTTCGACTGTTGTCCAAGCTGGGGTTGGATGGACGCCAGAGACTGATAAGGGGAATGGGGACTCAGAGGTCCAAGATTAAGTGTTGTCAGATTATATTGTTTACGATTCTCAAGGTCAAATATTCCAAGACAAAAAGCGACCCCTAATACGGCCCGATTATTTTGGCAAATGACCGTTTCGGCCCCACTGCGAATTCCATTTCTTGCTTTTCTTGGACAGACAGCCGTCCCCAGCCGAGAGGGACGTGATACTATCAAAGGAAAGACTTCAAAATATCGCAGAGGATATCTAGGAGGAGCAAGAAATCTAGGGACCCTTCAGCGGGGAACCTCGTCTACGGCAGTTTATAGCGAATTCAGCCAGCATTAGAACCTAATATAGGTATTAGCTAGTAACAAAAATATGGCGGTTCTACTGATAAAGTATTAGTCTCTACACGAAAGCTTCGAATCGAGTATACCGGTTTATATTGTGTTTCCGTACTGCTTTGGCATCTCTTTTTCACCTCTTTATTATCTACCGTCGAGTGTTTTAGGTTATGCCTGGTTGTAAACAGTATTATATGAAGGTATGGACGTAAAAAGATAAAAAAATTTTCATGTCCTATAGCTATACAGTCGATATTAAAGTAATAAGCCGTTGTAATCATAGGAGGTGTAATAGGCGGTGAACCTTTTATCTAGGCTGCTGGGCTATGAACTGCCATACCAGTCGGAGCTCCCTCGCCTTTCTGGCCTCTGCTTCCTTCACATCCTCATTGCCCATCATGCCCCGCGCAGTCCGAGGTCAGTATCCGCTTCATATTTATTTCTCTGCTCGTCACACTCTGGACTAACATCATGCTCCTTCACAGGTTTGTTGATAGAGTGCGATCCCTCCATCAAGGCCATGATCCTGAAGTACGATGAAGAGCGACACGATTACATAGTGGAGGATTTGGATGATGAGAACCATTTGGTCATCAAAGAGAGCCAGCTGGAGAACCTCAAGGTTCGCCTGGATCAGGTATCTTAGGAATCCTTCGCTGTTCAGCAACTGTTATTCACACATTGGACAGGACCTTGATGAGAAGATCATGCAGCTGGATGAATCCGAATCCGAATGATTGAATACTTCACAAGGTATATCGACGAAATCCCACTCGAGCACTACCATGGCGCTCCATGCCAAATGACTCGGTCCACACTGTTTCGATGACTTGTGCCTAGCGAGACACTATCCTAGGAGCAAAACACCATCCACCTTTCCACACGTACTCCGCTCTGTTGCCGTCTACTGCTTCTCGCACAAATCGCGTCATATGGCAGATGCCGTCCGAATGTCACCCAGACAATCCCAATCGTTCAGTGCAATGATGGTACCCGACGTCCTGGCGTCCTTGTCCCGCCCGACCGGTGACATTTCTATCCAAAAATATCACTCTTGAACCGATAAAACAATGTTATATGCAACAAGGCTTCTTCATTCTGGGAGGAGTGAGAAAACTGGCTTGTTTGGGGTCAATGATGGTGGCAAAGCATCTCACTTCGCAATGTGATGTTCTAGTGTATTCTAGCTTGTTCCAGACTGCATAGGAATGAATGAATAGCATGGAACCATGGATGTTCCATGCTTGCCACTCTACCGCTGCTCTTTTGTCGACCAAAGGGATGTGTAACCCCGGATATCCATGTCACGTGATCGAATTCTGGAGAAGCATCCAGCAAGTTGGAGAAGTGGCGAGCAACCACTGGCACTTCCTGGTTTATTCGGTCATACTGTCGCACCTTCTAGATTCTGCCGAACAATGCAAGTGTCTGGAGGGGAACTGTGGTATATAAGGCTGCTGTCTGTCCAGCTCTTCATCATCAGACTCATCTTCCAAGCTCACCTTCAAAGCTAATCTACTGCCTTCAACTACTTTCCATACAACCTTTTTCTAAAACAATCTCTCCATACAACATGTCTCTCTTCCGTGCCAGCTTCCCAGGCTCTGGGGACTTCGCCCCCCTTTTCCGTCTCTTGGACGACTACGATACTCATCGCTCTACTCGCAGCCAGCCCTCTGCTCGCTCGTTCTCCCCTCGCTTTGACGTCCGTGAAAGCAAGGATGCCTACCACCTCGACGGCGAGCTTCCTGGCATCGCCCAAAGGACATTGAGATCGAGTTCTCCGACCCTCAGACTCTGGTCGTAAAGGGCCACATTGAGCGCGACTACAACACTTCCAACCGCCAAGCCCAGGTTGAGGATGAGGAAGCTGAGCAGACTGGTGCTGAACCCACCCACCGCTTCTGGGCTAGCGAGCGCGCGATCGGCGAGTTCCAGCGCACCTTCTCCTTCCCGACTCGCGTTGACCAGGACAATGTCAAGGCCAATCTAAAGAATGGCATCTTGTCAGTCCAGGTGCCTAAGGCCACTGTTTCCACCACCAAGAAGATCACCATTGAGTAAACGGTCAGCCTACACCGTTTCGGCGCATCTCTCGCTTGACGTTTGCACACGAGCCACGAATGTTGTTTGCTATTTTCACCACTTGATCGCGTTCAAGGGGATTCGAGCACCTCTAGTCCCCTAGTTCCGTTGTGTCATCCCTTTTCATATGTATTAGTCTAGCTTAATCCACTGTCTTAATTAGTGTCTCAAATACTACCAACGTTCTTTTTGATATCCGAACATCTTATTGCTGGACCTCGGCACGTGAAGGGCCTGCAAATCGTAGAATTGTAGATTTTAGATTCATTTCTAATGAAAATTTCAGCTATTATCGAAGCTGAAAATTTGTAATGAGCATTTGAATGTATAGTAGAACTCGAATCAACTGTGACTATGTCGGTGACATCAGATGTTCCCCAGACTTGCCGAGGTCCGCTGGAGCTACCCGCGTTGTTATACTCCTCTCTTCCCACTCACTCTAATTCATACAACTTCCACCATGGCCGAGTACAATTTCGAATATTTTACTGTTCGGTTTCCGACTGACCATCAATATGTGGCTCATGTGGAGATCAACCGTCCAGATAGGCTGAACGCCTTCGTTGAAGCGTGGGTGTTGACCCAATCCTCGCGACTTGACTAACTTACCGTGATAGGATGTGGTTAAATTTGGCCCAGATCTTCAACAAGCTATCTTCGGATCCCTCAGTCCGTTCCATCGTCCTCAGCGGAGCCGGGGAGAAGGCATTCACCGCCGGGTTAGACGTCAAAGCAGCTTCTGAGGGTCTGCTGTCGTCGGAGACGAAGAATGACCCTGCCCGCAAGGCTGCACTCCTTCGGCGCCACATTGCCGAGTTCCAGGACTGTATCACCGCAGTTGAACGTTGCGAGAAGCCAGTGGTAGTTGCTCTCCACGGCTTCTCCTTGGGACTTGCCATCGACCTGGCCACCGCCACAGACGTGCGTGTCTGTGCAAAGGACACCCGATTTGCGGTCAAGGAAGTGGATATCGGACTTGCAGCGGACATCGGTACCCTCAGTCGACTGCCCAAGGTGGTTGGCAATTACGGGTGGGTAAAGGAGGTCGCTCTGACTGCGCGCGAGTTCGGCGCCGAGGAAGCCCTACGTGTGGGATTTGTGAATGCCGTATACGATAATCGTCAGGCCACCATCGCGGCTGCATTCAAAATGGCCTCTCTGATTGCCAAGAAGAGCCCGGTGGCGGTGCAGGGCACGAAGGAGATTTTGAACTACTCGCGTGACCACTCTGTGCAAGACGGACTGCGCTATACCAGCGTGTGGAACAGTGCTGCTTTGCAGACACAGGATGTATCGGCGGCACTATTATCGGGGTTGAAGAAGCGGACCCCGACATTCGAGAAGCTATGACGATCGTCTGCTCTATCCACTGTATATAGTCCAAAGGTTCTAGGCACTTCAAGCCATCAGTCTCATGATTATCCCGTGTCTTGGCCAAGGAATCAATCTGAAATGCAGCCAACTCCACATATGCAAGAAATCCCGAGATCCCGGGAATAGAACAAGGCAACTCTCAAGGCCCTGAAAAATGCGAGCTTCACAGTAATTCTCCAAGGAGGCTATCAAACGTCGAATTCCTATCTTTTGTGCTATATCCTACGGGGGTTTAGTCGTAATTGAGCTCGGTTCTATCAAGGATCTACGGCAGAATAAATATATCATCGTCTGCCTACTATAGTGTCGAATACTTTGATTAGGTACTGTACCTTAGTGAGATATTCGTCCAAGTACTTGGCCAGATGCGTATTTGAATGCCCGCTGATGCGAAAGGAACATATAAAGAGCTTGTAAAGTTTACTTCTTTTCTTCCTTTTCCTCGCCTTTTCCATTAATACTCGAAGGACCGAAGCCACTACAGATACCCTAGTTACAGCCCCATCGCCCATTGTTTGAACATCGGAGAAAAACAGGCACCTTTCTTGAAAAATCTTCTCAAAACACTTTGACTCCTTTTCCCTCTTTCCCCAATTCATTAACCATTCCAACTTCATTATGTATTGATACAGAGGTGGTGACCGTGGAAAGGACCATGACATTTCCAGTGTCACTGTCTCCTCTATGGCTATTCGACTACTTGATATTCATCAAACTTCCTTGGCCAGAAATAGCTGATACCACAGAATAGGGAGACGCGGAGAGGGAGGGTTTGAGCACCATTATCGTACCTTCGAAACGATGAAGAGGCCAAGGCGCGTGCATAGTCTCCCCGCAAACTGCCACGGCCGGGGGCACTGCTAGCTGCATATTATTGATGGCTGCAATACTAGGAGTATTATTTTCCCATAGATGCAGTTTCCATGAATCGGAGATAATGTCTTGGCCTTGTTTCGTCATTTTCTGTCAGGCCCTGACACCTCCGCTGCCCCGAACGCCATGAAACACAGCGAGCTTCACAGTTCGGACATGTATACCCCGGTGGGAATGTCACTTTTTCCACGTATCTAGTTTGTTGCTTGGCATGGCTATTACTTGGCATGGGTATATAAATTGAATGACCAGACATGATCCTAAGTAATATCACACTGAATACCCTCTTTATAGTCTGCTAATCGCCATGAAGACCGCTGCTCTGCTTTCTGCCCTTGTGCCCAGTGCGCTGGGTACAACCATCTACCTCGCTGGTGACTCGACCATGGCAAAGGGTGGTACCGGATCTGGCACTGCTGGTATGGATTTCCTTTGCCCTCCAAGAAAGAACCATACTGAGACGTCTAGGTTGGGGTGAATACGTGAAGCCGTATACCTCCCTCACTGTTGCCAATCAAGCTGTAGCTGGCCGTAGCGCCCGATCATATACACGAGAGGGCCGCTTCGATGCTATTGCAGCTGTGGTCCAGTCCGGTGATTGGGTAGTCATTGAATTTGGACATAACGACGGTGGATCGCTGTCGACCACAGACAACGGGCGTACCGATTGCGGCGGCACAGGAAGCGAAACCTGCAGCACAACATACAACGGCGTCGCCGAGACGGTTCTCACCTTCCCAGCCTACCTGGAGAAAGCAGCCAAAACGTTCAAGGCCAAGGGTGCGAACGTGCTCATCTCCAGCCAAACACCCAACAACCCCTGGGAGACTGGCACATTCACCTATTCCCCATCGCGGTTTGTAGAGTATGCCCGGCTGGCGGCTGAAGTGGCGGGAGTCTCCTATGTCGACCATGGAGCGTATGTGGCGGACCGATTTGAGACCCTGGGTCTCACCACCGTTGATTCATACTTCCCCTTGGATCACACACACACCAGCACTGCCGGTGCATCGGCCGTGGCTCAGGCCTTCTTCAAGGCGGTGGTTTGCGGTAATTTTGCGCTGAAGAATTCTCTGACCACCACCTCATTCCCTGGCAGCTGTCTCTAGAGGATGAATGTCAATTAGCATTAGCAGCAATATCAGAAACTTAAGCCAGCCTTATGGATGATAGAACGTAGGCTCTCAGTAGAAATCAACGAAGAAGCAGGGTCAGAGTTTGAAGACTCTCAGTTGTTCACAACAAACATTCAAGAGAAAGGCTAGAGAAAATGCCCAAGCCAATGCGACTCGGTCAATAAATTCGTAGGATCGTAATATGTCCATGGCTAAACAGGTACACTGAAATGCATCAACCGCTAAATGCTAGAAATCATAATCCCTCCAACAAGTTCATTCTTCCAGAATTGACCGGACGATACCTCGCTTCGCGACTCGCTGGTAGTATTGGTTCACATTTGTAAACCGGGTATCGAACGCGCCTTGTGTTTGCATGATCTCCCGAAAAACCGGCCAGAGTGAACAGTCGTCGATGGCGAGCAAGGTACCTCCTAGGTAGTGTTGCCCATCAAGGACACGCTCCCAATCTTCAAAGCCGAACTCAAACGCATGGACTGGATTGTTGGCACGATGTTCGCGCCAGTGCATCAAGAATTGGTCGATTATTGGCAAGTAGTCGCCTCCACGCAATGGACCTGCACCTGGCCGTGTAATCTCGACTCGTTGGGCGAAGAGTGTCAGGATAGCAGAGTCACCAGCGGCCGTTGACCCATCGGAAGCAATGTACAATGGCAAGACCGGTGTCTGATCATTGCGGATACCCTGTTCTCCATAGCCGGTAACCACTTCGTATCGAATGCCGTTTTCTCCCAGGCAAAGTCGTACACGCAAATCAATCACAGAATCTCCGCTGAGTACCAGCTGTGCTGTAGAAGGAGTGACGAAGTTGACTACATCGAAGCCTTCGCCATACACAGCGTCCCAGTCAAACTCGGTAGCACGGTTTTCTTGGCCGAAGGCAGCAATGAGTCGTTCTGTTCCAGCGGCATCTGCATGGATTACCGGGCGCGCTTGGTCTACTGTCTTACTGATAGCTCCTTGGCCCCAAATTGTGTTGGTCGCAGGCTCGATGTAAGTGCCAATCTGCCGGAAAGTAAGGGAAATACGCTGGCCGCCGTATGCTTGCTCGGCAGTAGACTTGATCGAATCAGGCCGTTTGTCTGCCCGGATTCCATGAAGCCATCGCATGTTCGTATTTTGACCCAAAACAAAGAGGGAATTATGAGGAAGAGGTACGCGCTGCGTGGTCCGACCTGATTCCGCCCCTTCTGCAGACTCAGATGCTGAAGCCTTGGTCCGAAGAACCATTACGCGCTCAGCACCTAAACTGACGTTGCAAATGAAAGACCCTCGCACAATATCCAGCGTCTTATCTGAATGTTCTGAGATGCGATCTTGTCCATCACGGTAAAGCTGGATGAGCACATGGTTCAAAGGGTGACCCAGTATGCGCTCAACCGTCGCCCGCACTGCATCCACTGCAGGGGTAAAAGGCCTGAAAGCTGGAGACTCGTCAGCAGGATGCCGATAGATGGGTATCGCTCCATCAGGCTGAGCTTGGCCTTGAACGGCCACCAATCGAGGAACTAGACCCGAGAGATGATACATCTTCTGCCATTCCACCTCCGCCTGGATGCGTTCGAATGCATCCGCTGGCAGATCGATATTGTGCACAATACGCGAGTCACCTTCTCCAATGCCACTTTGGGATGTACTGGGTGTTTCCCCTGGCTTGGAAAACATATCTTGCTGGCGAATATCCGCGTGAGGTCTAGCTCCAGATTCGGGTGTAGGCTCTCGGCGTTTTGGACGACGGATTCGCGCCCGCACTTTCTTCTTCTCTTCCGCTGTGCCCCGCGCCTGCGCGGCAGCGCGCTGTGCGCGGGAACGAGAGGCAAGCTCCGAAAGATTGCACTCGTCCTCTTCTTGTGGATCATCCTTTGGTGTGGTATCATTGGCGTTCCAGGCCTCCAGTCCGTCCATGATGCTCTCAATGCCAGCTGTATTGGCGGATCTCTTCGGCTGCGGTGCGCCTTGGCGAGCAATTGCGTCGGTCTCATCCCAATCTAGCTCCTGGGTGAGCTCCTGCGAGGTTGTACCAGTCGCGCCGAGGATGTCGGCCATGCGCCGCATAGCTTCTTGGTGCCGTTGGAAATCACGGAATCCCAAACAGTTCTCCACCAGGGTCACGGAAAAGCCATTGCGGACAGCATCCAGAGCGGTGGCAAACACGGACACGTTGGACAGCGAGCCACAGAGATATAGTTCAGTGACGAAGCGTGTTCGAAATGACAGTATCAGACCAGGCGACTCCAGGGCAGAGTATCCTGTTTTGTCCATAACAGTATCTTTTTGGGCATCAATGGCGGCAAGGATCGGTGCGGGGAACTGATACCCCGGGGTCTGGGGAGCAACACATAGCGATGGGTCGGCAGACAGGAAGGCCTCTGGATCAATAGGCTCAGGTGAATCACGGTCCGATCCGACTTCAATCACATCAGATGAAGGTAAAGGTTTCCTGCACGGGGGTTCTCGATCCAAAACAATGCGATCTCCAAAGTTCCAATCGGTGATGGCCTGTGGGGTATCAAATTGAGATCGCACCCATACTACATCACCCACGCGACGGAAGGCTGCTGCCAGCTGAGGCAGGGTCTCGAGGATATCAGGCGTGTTGGGGACATGCAACGCTCCGGTTGGCCGAACAAAGTCATTCTGGAAATCGAGCAGCAGCAAGGCCTTGCGGGTCTGGATGGTGGGAAGGTCACCGAATGAGAAGTAACTCATCCTAACATCCTAAGGTGATCCAAGGAAGCTGGCGGACCTCGTGAAAGCCAAGTGGAGGTGGGGAAGTTGACACCTGAGGCAGAAAGAGTCACTAAATACGAAATAGTATGAGGCCTTTTTTCTCACTGTTTAATTCAACCAATAATATATAAATTGAAGATAGCCAATTGAAATTCTATTTGATTATCACACAACATACCCCAGAGTTAGTCTCTTTCTCCGTATATTCAGCTATCTACGCACACTCGGAGCCTTGGCCTCACTCCGGGGAACATCCAGACTACGCCTAATGTGGCCAGGTCGTCCACGGTTGCTGCTGGAAACATGACATAATCTCTGACTCATTCCATCGCCCAATCAGCACCACCGCCGACACCGGCCGGGGAGGTCCTGCACCTCTCCGGGATCACGTGCAGTGACTCGCAGCGATTGCGGCCATCTCCCATTTATAAATCCCAGAGCTTCCCCGGTCTCAATTCTTCTTTTCCTTCTTCACTCTCCACTCTCCTCTCTTCCATATCTTCACAATGGCTTCCCGTGGTCTCCCCCGTGCCCTCCGCCTCGCCCGCGTGGCCGCTCCTCGCTCCGTCGTCACCGCCGCCCTTCCCCGGCCTGCTGTGGCGGCCGCTGCTGCCCTCCCCCGTGTCTCCTCGGTCGTCACCCCCGTCCGTGGTATCAAGACCATTGACTTCGCCGGTGTCAAAGAGGACGTCTATGAGCGTGCCGATTGGCCTCGTGAGAAGCTCCAGGAGTACTTCAAGAACGACACCCTTGCCCTCATCGGCTACGGTTCCCAGGGTCACGGTCAGGGTCTGAACCTCCGTGATCAGGGCCTCAACGTCATCGTTGGTGTCCGCAAGGATGGTGCTTCCTGGAAGGAGGCCATCCAGGACGGCTGGGTCCCCGGCAAGAACCTGTTTGATGTCACCACCGCCATCGAGAAGGGTACCGTCGTCATGAACCTGCTCTCCGATGCCGCCCAGTCTGAGACTTGGCCCACTATCAAGCCCCTCCTCACCAAGGGCAAGACTCTCTACTTCTCCCACGGTTTCTCCCCCGTCTTCAAGGACCTCACCAAGGTCGATGTCCCCAAGGACATTGATGTCATCCTCGTTGCCCCCAAGGGTTCCGGCCGTACCGTCCGCACTCTCTTCCGTGAGGGCCGTGGTATCAACTCCTCCATTGCCGTTTACCAGGACGTCACCGGCCAGGCCAAGGAGCGCGCCATCGCCATGGGTGTCGCTGTCGGCTCCGGCTACCTCTACGAGACCACCTTCGAGAAGGAGGTCTACTCCGACCTCTACGGTGAGCGTGGCTGCCTCATGGGTGGTATCCACGGTATGTTCCTCGCCCAGTACGAGGTTCTCCGTGAGCGTGGCCACAGCCCCTCCGAGGCCTTCAACGAGACCGTTGAGGAGGCCACCCAGTCCCTGTACCCTCTGATCGGTAGTAACGGTATGGACTGGATGTACGCTGCCTGCTCCACCACAGCCCGCCGCGGTGCCATTGACTGGTCCAGCCGCTTCAAGGACACCCTGAAGCCCGTCTTCAACGACCTCTACGACAGCGTCCACAACGGCACTGAGACCCAGCGCTCCCTCGACTACAACTCCCAGAAGGACTACCGTGAGAAGTACGAGAAGGAGATGCAGGAGATCCGGGACCTTGAGATCTGGCGCGCCGGTAAGGCCGTTCGCTCTCTCCGCCCCGAGAACCAGAAATAAGTTAATACTGTGATACCCGTGGGGGTTCAAAAATTATGATGTACTATGAACTGTTCTGTTTGGGTTTCAGATATTCGAAAATATCATTTTGAGGCTATATAAGCCCCCATTTCATCTTTTATCTTTTTATCTTTTCAATCTTATACTTAGCTTGAATACTTTTAGAATGCGTAGAGTCCACGTGCGCAAGTGGAGAAGATCCGGGGTAAGAGTCATCGACGCTTGTACTTCTCTCCTACACATCACCATGACTTCCCCCGCCGTTGCAGCTCAATCGCTCACTCCTGCCGCAGTTCAAGCGGCGTATGATCTCATCCAGCCCTATGTGCACCGGACGCCACTACTGACCTGCAAAACCCTCGACGCCATCGCCTCAACGCCGCAAACCCCGGAGGCGCTTGTCGGAACACCATTTGAAGGCCAGTCCCCCGCTCATCCACACTTCCGGTTCTTCTTTAAATGTGAGAATCTTCAGCGAATTGGAGCCTTTAAAGCACGAGGCGCCTTCCATGCACTGTTGCGCTTGTTGGAGGAGCGCGGGGACGAAGTGAAACAACGCGGGGTGATCACACACAGCTCTGGTATCCTCGAACCTTCTACGGGTACACTTCTATGACCCCAGACTAATTCCTTCTCCTTCCCCTAGGAAACCACGCACAAGCTCTCGCCCTCGCAGCCTCGACCCTGGGCGTCCCTGCGTATATCGTGATGCCGCGGATCAGTACACCGAGCAAGATCGCTGGCACCCAGTCCCATGGCGCAGAAGTGATATTCAGCGGTTCGACAAGTGTAGAACGAGAAGCCGTGGTGGCAGATATCCAGGCAAAGACAAACGCCATTCTAGTACCACCATACGACCACGTCCATATCATTTGCGGGCAGGGTACAACAGCTTTGGAGCTGGAGGCGCAACACACTGAACAAGTCGGGTCCCGAGCTTTAGATGCAGTGATCACACCCATTGGTGGAGGCGGGCTGAACTCCGGTGTTGCGACATGGTTCTCGGACAAGTCGACCCGCGTGTTCGGCGCAGAGCCCACCTTTGAAGGTGCAGATGATTGCCGCCGAGGATTGGAGGCCGGGAAGCGTGTTGAGGCCGTCGGTACCTTGACCATTGCGGATGGATTGCGCACCCCGGTTGGGCTTATCAACTGGGAAGTCATCTCCAATAAGGAACGGGTCGAGGGAGTGTTTGCTGTCACCGAAGAGCAGATCAAAGCAACAATGCGGTTGGTTCTGGAGCGCATGAAGGTTGTTGTTGAGCCGAGTGCAGTTGTTGGATTGGCCGTCTGTCTATTTGATGAGAACTTCCGACGGAGGGTTGAACAGGAGGGTGGAAAGGAAGGGTGGGATGTTGGAGTTGTGTTCAGCGGTGGAAACACCACCGTTGAGGCAATTTCGAAGCTCTTTGGTTGAAGCTACGAGGTTTATAGAACGCGTTCTTGTGGATAGACAGCGTACATAGAATCCATTTGGTCATTCATCAGGCTTGGGTATCTCAACATCAGACTCACGCACGTAAAATGAAAAGCTTCCCCCATTGTTCGCCTCAATGGCTTCCACCACCTGACGGGGCCAGTCAACGCGCCCCCATGCATTGACACAAACCGATACCTTGCCTTGGTGAACCACGCTCTGTCGTAAATGAGCATCCTTGATCGCAGCTTGGGGGGCCATGCTTGGTGGAAATGGACGAACAGATGACCGGTGGACAATTAGACGCAGAGTTGGAAATGTGCCCCAGGGTGCTGGGAGAGCAGGCCGTAACGCAGGAGTCCGTGATTGGGGCCAGTCGTATAGACCAGGACCCGATTGACCATCACTAGATGGAGCCGCACGGGTCCCCGAGATCGTTGTGAACACAATTGCGCACTGAAACAGACCCTGAAGTCGCTTCAGCACCATCGCCAACTCAACATAAAGATCAGACAAGTGGAAGCTCTGGTTCCGCTCGCGCTCGCGATCAACCTCTGCCCGAGGACGCCCAATCTCCTCAATCCGAGCAATTTCGTCGCGGAGCCGATCTTGCCAGATGAAAGCAGTGGCGCTGTCTATGGCGATCATTTGCAGCGCACGTGAGGCGGAACGATGTCTCGAGAGATCAAACAGGTAGGTATCTAGACTGTGTAACGTAGCTAAAAGAGCAGAGGAAGACTGTGGGCGAAAGACATGGACATGCTGCAGCGAAGAGACAAGCAGCGATTCCAACTCATGACCCAGCGTTGCTCCTGCTGGCTGGTCCTTTGCATCAGGGTCGGTTTGTAGCTGTTGCTGCAGTATGATACCTCGAGCCACGACTCGCAATCTCTCGGCGTCAAACCGGTTATCAGTGTCTATGAAAATCACAGCTGACTCCCGGCCACCAAGTGGTAAACCACCATGACTTCGCGGTAAGATTGCGAGTGCAGTCAAATAGTACAAGAGCTGTGACTTCCCTGAGGCTGACAAGCTGCTCGATATCTCCACAACAGGGAGTGGTCGTTTCTTGATGCTCTCAGGGTCCCGGGACAAGGTTGCAGAAGGGTCTGTCTCGTCTGGCAGGTGTACTTCTCCCGGCATTTCGACATGATCGGTTTGAGCTTGGCTATGCAAGAGCATTTCCTCATCTTCAGTAAGGAATTCTCCAAACTGGCCCTGATCACGCTCCCTTCGAGATTGGAGTCGATCACCTAGTAGTGCATTGGGTGGTACAGCGGATTTTTTGGGTGCAAAGATTTCAAGCAGTGCATCTAAAACAGGTACGCCCAATGAATGCGAGTCATGGCTTGCGAGACCAGGATAGAACTGTGTCAATTCAGACAGGATCTTGTAGAAGTCAGCTCACGGTCTAAAAGAAGAGCAGCTATAACGTACCTCATCTAGTCCCTCGTGGTGTACATCTGCTAGCGATTTCTCCCCTAGATAAGCGGCCATAGCTATGGCCCTATCAATGTGGCATCACTGAAAGGGCCAAACTCAAGAATTCCGAGTCAGTCGAGGTTGACCAGAGAGATCTCGGGAAGGATAGCGCGGAGCTCCCGAACTTGAACTTCACTCCGACATAACCTCTGCGCCGCCTCTCTCCAATTCCTTCACCTCCCGCCCCCAATGGCTCCTCTCACTCGTGTCTTCCACACCGAGACTCTCCCCGATCATGTCAATACCGTCCACCGCAATTTCCAAGAGAAACGTCGCAAAGGCGGCCCCGTCGACCTGAAGGAGTGCCCGCTATTCGAAATGACACAATACTCATGCAACCCACCACAAGACGGCATTCCTGAAAAAGGAGTTGTTGTGTGCAAGCCCGTGGTGCGGTTGTTCCGACGGTGAGTGCGTCAGTTCAGTCGGGTGAGAGGAAATGCTGATGATCAGTAGCTGCGCCGGTGGATTGACGGTCGAAACCACATCCTGGGAACCTTTGAGGCAAGCGGAGGAACTGAAGGAGAAACAAGCGAGTACACGGTGACGGGACACTAGCATTGCATCAATACGCATTGGGCGGAGTTGGTTACATGGATTACGATTACTTGCAGGTTTCGAGAATAAGATAACATTGATTAAATGCTTCACTGCCATGGGGTATCGAACAAGCGCCAGCCGTAATGAAAAGAACGCCAATGGGACCTGCGCCCCTGCAATTTACAGACCAGTCATGACCTCAGGTGGTTCCGCACTCGCGGAAGGCTTCGCACTTTCCTCCCCTCGGCGCGTATTCGACGCCGTCCGACGCCAGAGATCCCGCTCGCAGTTGACAATCGGCCCCATCTCCATATTCCATAAAAGCTTGGCCCGGGCCTTGTCGGCATCAGCCGGGTTTCCTGAGTCGATTTCCATGGCGGAGTCGATCAAAGCTACTGCCGCAGATGTAGTATAAGGGTCTTTGTTGAGCTTCTTGGTGAGAGCCTTGGTAGTCTTCTCGAACATCGTTTCCATGCTATCCGTTCTGCGACCCCAGAGTTTCTTGTGATGGCCCGTAGAACCTGTCTGGTTGTCGCGGAATGCGGCGCTTGCCAACTTGCGCAATGCCTCCTCTCCATGTCGCCCATCTTCTGCGGCGCGTTCTCGAATCTTGCGTGGGTCGCCATCTCGTTCGACAAATACCGGGGTGGCAGAGTAGGTGTGCTTGCTGGGAAAGCTGGGGAAGTGTTTTGGGATGTAAGAGCGATTCGCGCGATCGTCCTCACTGCTGAGCGCTGTGAGAGAAGGTAGGCTTGGTGGGAGCACGTCTTCCGTCTCTGGAGAAGGCAATAATGGTGGTGCGGGTATAGAAGATCGAGCAGATTTGAGGGTAGGAAGAAGGTCATCGGGTGTAAGACGGAAACGGGTGAGGGCGTGTTCAAAATCTTGCGGAATAGGTTGTGTTCGCCGGGATGATAGCATGGATTGGCGGGCAAATGTGGAAAATCGTAGCATATCTGCAAAATTCGCGCGGGTCACGTCAGTTGGAGCTTCGAACAACATCCGACGTCAAGTCACGTACACTCTTCTGTCGCACTGCGGAAGCTCGAGAGAGCAGTTGGTTCGGCTAAATTAAACCCGGCATCTTTCAAAGTCATGCCAATAGCACGGTTCATCAATTGGTCGACGTGAGCCTCATCTTGCACAGCTGGCTCGGATGACGGGAGAGTAACAGGCTCCTGCAGACGATGATGGTGATAGTAATGCTTTAGTCGCTTGGGATCGTTGTGGGGGACAGACGACGAGGAGCGCTTGACAGGAGTACCTGAAGCTGCCATAGCCACAGGTTTCCGGAGCTTGATTGAACGGAGGTTGAAGTAGTTCAACCGCCGTCGTGAAGGAGGAGCCATTGGGATGATTTAGGAGGTCACGTGTTAGTGCCTGAGGCGATGATATTTGAGCTTGAGTGATATTGTCGAGTTGATTGAAGTGACGAAAGGTGGGAGGGCATAAGACTGTAGATCTAAATGAATAATTAACGTTGTAACACTCCAATCTTCGCATCATTTTCGACTTGGTCCTTCAACTTGATCAGACCATCGTATAGACTTGATCGACCAATCCGGTCACTCGCTTAGTCCGCTCCGAAGCTTCAACTTCACTTCACAACCGTCCGCTTCTTCTCCCCCCTCTCCTCTCCCCACCACCAACGTTTCAGGGTTCCAACCAGTCAGTCACCTACTGAACGGCACCTCGAGCACTAACTGACGCTATTTATCAGGCACAATGCCCACCGCTATCCCCCCCATCACCGGCGTAAGTGCCCCTTCACTGCAAGGCCGGGTTGACCCGATCGGAGAGCTCGGCTGGTCTAAATGATCGCAATGGTTTGCTGACATACTGTGTCCCTCTACAGATGCTCCGCCGTGGTCTTGTCCTGGACCTGAGCACCGCTTTCGGTGAGTCATGACCCGAATCCGAGTGGCATGATCGAACAACAACTGGAGATCGCGATCCTTCGAGAGCGACTGAGTGGGATCCAAACGCCCAGACGACAGTTGGATCAGGCTCAAGAAGGTCAATAGATACTAACCAGCATTCTTTTACACCAGGTTTCGGTACCACCTTCGGCTACCTCTGGTGGTACGGTAAGTAGAACGCATCCCCGGCTATGCTCAAACCACGCGCTCCCAGGCTCAATGTCTGACAATATTTGCAGGCTTCCACCTTCCCCGTGTCCGTGAGCGCGACACCTACTACGCCCGCCTCGAGGCTGAGCGTGCCGCCCAGCGCGGTTAAATCGGTCGTGAATCGCATCCGGTCGTCTCCCTCCCGCCCATTCGGCGCCAGTCCTTTTCTTTGTCAAAGCGTTTCTAGAAAATTGCCCGTGGATGGGGGCAAACGTTCCGATGTCGCCCATCGGGCTTGGTTGAACGGGTCGTGTACGAAGGGTGGCTAGATTTGAGATCGATTGTACATATACGCCTGTGGACAACCAATTGTTTTTGCCTTTGGACCTTTCCCTCTTACTTGGTGCGAACTTCGGCCTCGGTTCATTGTATGATCAGAGCATGGCATACCGGAGTAAATCCCTCGGAGCCAGCAACCGATCGACTTCCTACGCGCTTAATTTGCCATGAGCGAATTGGATCTATTGTATTCAAATGCTAATTACGCCGGATATATGTACGTGGAAACCAGCGCGCCGCCATGGGATTGCCAAACCATGTTGCCATGTGTAAAGCCGTAGATCATAAATACCATCTCTGTGTGTCTGCAGCGCAACCATTGCCGCCCTGCCAGGCAACTCGGGTCAGTCTGCAAGCTTCATGTCCTGATTTCACCGCATCACCCTGTCAAACGATACGCCTCGGACGGACCCGCCGGCCATGGAATTGCGCACGTTCTTCTTGAAATGTTCGCGGGTGGTGCGGAGATCTTCCGCGGCTTCCTTGTTGAGGGGATCAGAGGCGTTAGGCTCGAGGAAAAGGAACTATAGATTACACACTTGTCAGCCACATGGAATGTCACGGTTATAGCGAAATCAACCAACCTGCATGCCCACAATCACGGCGTTGAGGTTCAAAACGGGCTTCCAGTCCTCTCGTAGAATGTTCAAGCAGACGTTACCATCCAAATCGATATTGGGATGGTAAATCTTCTGTGTGCACTTGACCTTTGGCGGGTCATGGGGGAAGTTCTGGTTAACATTAAAGGTAAAGTTGAAGATTCCACCCTTGTACATGCCCTCATCAGGTTCGATGCTCAAGGTGAAGTTGAGGATGTCGTCGGGATTGGGGAAGTCCATTTTCATTGTGTTTCCGAGAGTGATTTCCGTTAGGTCTATAAAAAGCCGAGTCAGAAATGACATGTTCACAATAGGCATAGTATACCAACTGCGACAGAAGTACGTCTGCTGCGAGGGACATCCACTGACCTTTTTGCACCCGCAACTGCGCGGCGGTGACCTTCTTCTTCTTCTTGCCGGCAGCGCCCTCGGCATTCTCAGCCTGCTGCTGCTGTTGCTTCTATAAGAGCTATCAGCGACATATTCCGAAGTGTGTGTGACATGTCAAAACCACCCTACCATAGACCAGATTTTCAACATCCTGGCTGAAGTCACCACTCCACCTAGTGGAACGGACGGTTTGCGGGAGGTGTGCGAGTTTGGAGAGGAGGCTGCGGTAGCGAGGTGACCTCAGAATCAACGTTCGGAGAGAGAGAAAATCAAAGAAAGCAGCGCAGTCCTGAAGTGATTGAAATGATGCAGAGTTGGACCTGCGGGGGGCTCAGATCAGCAATCGGCTTTATCGCCCTCGGATGCTCTCCGCCTTGGGAGGCCCACATCTATACACGTCTACGGAGTACCACCTGCACTTTCTACAGGGACAATGTGCTCAATATGAAATGGTTGATAATCATAACACCCTTAATGCATCCATTGGCTAGTCCAACAAAAAAATAAAATAGATCACCAGGTTGCGTTTACCATGAGAGACGCAACAGTACATACTGGCTGGCATTGCAAAATCAGAGAATTGGGCATGTTTAGGTAGAATACAGATCACGGTATGAAGAAAAAATAAATGGCATATTGGGCCAGGCAGTCATGAGAAACAAATAAAGCACATTTTGTTGTTTACCGGCGGGCGAAGCAGCACTTGATACCAGTGCGACCCAAGAACCAACAACAACCGATGAAACGGAACAGCGCGACAACGGCATTGGACCACAGAAGAGCCTGGAAGAAGCGGGCTGTACGGTCGGTGGCAGTGTTCTAGGTTCATGTTAGTTAAAATGATCATCGGAAACGTGCCGGGAAAACTTACGGTGAATCCAAACTTGTCGACGGACTCGCTGGTAATGCAAACTGCCATGAGGCCATTACTGAAAATCCAGAGGGTGACGAGGCGAGTACGGAAACTCTTGTATGAGTCTTCCAAGCTCTTCTCGTCGTGTTCCACTGGGGCGACATAGGGCGTTAGAGCGCGCTTGACAGTAGCCTCGAACTGACTGTCAATATCTGCTTGAGGCTTGTCGATTTCCTCAATCACCGCATCTTTACTGCCTTCGTCCTTGGTAACCGTGGCTGATGGCAGCGCATCGGCCTTGTCAGAACCCTTGGTACCCCAGGAGACATCGTGCCAGTTACTGAAAGCGTAGACGTTGAGGATGTTGATGTAGGAGGACTGGACGACCATGTAGGCGGGGAATGAGGTGAACATGTGCCACGGGTCGGCGTACATGAACGAGGCAACGAAGTACAGACCGAAGGTGGCAGCCAAGGCAATGATAATGATACCAGCGCCAGTTGATCCGAAGAAAGAGCTGAGGAAGGCGCCAACGCCGTGAGTTGTGTCGAAGTCCATGGGCGCACCACCGCTGAAGGCGCGGACAACAAGATAAATCGAGTCGACCACAATGTAAAGCTGAATCAGACCAAATACGATAAACGAGGCGAGGTACGAGAACTTGGATCCCTTGGGCCGGTTACCGAGCGCAAGAATGAACTGAAGCAGGAGGAAAGCCAGATATCCATACTTGATTATGGTGTTGATGATAGGAGTCGCGGACTTGCCGAAGGGGAAAGCAGTGTAGTCGTTGTTCTTGCTTGGAGTACCGACCAAGTCGATAATAACGGTGGTGGTCAACCAGTATGAAGCCAGGGAGAACCAGGTGAGGAAAGTGTTGAAGATGTTGTACAACAACTGAATGTGGAGGAAGAACATGCGAATGATGTTGTGGCCACTCTTGTACATACGGCCGAAGTGCATCAGCGAGTAAATACCAGCAGCGAAGGAACCGTTCAGCCAACGACGACGCTGGGAAATGAACTCGGGAGCACCTTCGGGCACATCGGTTTCACCCTTGGAGGCCTTGACGTACGTCAAATGCCACTTGGAGCCTGCCTTGGCAACCAACTCGAAGCATAGAATTCGATCCTCGGCCAAGAACATGTTCTTCTTGAAAATGTTCATACCTTCAATACCCTTCTTACCAAGCTGTTTGGACAGGGTGTGATCACCGTGGAAATATTGCTCGAGCGGACGGCCCATGATCGCACGGAATCGATACGCCGAAAACGCACCGGGCAAGACACTAACATAACCGAACGAACTCTCCAGCGGTTTGTCCAAGATATTACTGATCTTGTACTCGAAGTTCTGGGCGGCCACGAGAGGGTTGATCAGATTACGCCAACCCTTACCCAACATGGCGTGGATTTCACCACAAGCACCACCAAGATCCTTGTCGTTATAGAAGGCTTCCCAGAGATAGAGCAGAGACTTAGGGCCTGGTTTCGTACCAGCATCTAGAAGAATACAGACCTCGGGGTTCAAAATACGGCCGAAGGCATTGAACAACCAACGATGCGAGTTGATCTTCTTGCTGTTCTTCTGCTTCAAACAGAACATCATCTGCACAGGGGGAAGTGTGCTAGGACCGTCATCAGTGGGGCGGATAAGCTGTTGGCTAGGTGTGACGGAGAGCTGGGTGGTGTATTCGAACTGAATCATTCGTTAGTCTTCTGTTCGAGGCCGTTTCGCCTGTGGTCCACTCACGATATGAGCCAAGGTCTCCTTTCCGTCGACATCACGCTTCATGACACCGTCCTGGTACACACCCACGGTGGCAAGAACATCTAAAACGTCCTTGTCGCAAGGGTCGATACCGTCAAACACGAGCGCAACCACAATCTTCTGCCACGCGGGACCACCCTTGTTCCAGAACTCGGATTTCTTGAGGTTCACAATGTCGCGAATGTTCTGCATCACACCGTGAAGGGTACGCGCTGTGAGGTTCTTGTCTTCGTTGTAGTAGGTAATGGCGATAAGCAACTCGGTGTGACGGTTGTACATGGCGGGACGCAGGTTGTAACCATTGTGGAGGGTAAACTCATTCGGGTCACAAGTAGCCGCGGTGTCTGAAAGAACGAAAAACGCTTGTTAGTTTCTGCTATGGAAGTCGCTCACTCATCACGTACATCGCATGTGGGTGAACTCCTCAGTTCCGCCCTCCACATCGTTCCGGTACTTGGCCTGAATGGCGTTCTGAATTGCACTAGGCACGGGGTAGTCGACACTCAAGACAGAGCCCTGGACCAGCTTGACCTTCCTGGTGGCATATCGGCGCAGACCGCCGCCGCCAGTTTGGGTGCCTCCAGGGGCTTGTCGCTGGCGCCATGCCTCTGTGGATGATGTCTCGCTGCGAGCATAGGGCGACGCGACGCGGCCAGGGACACCAAAAGCCGCAGCGGGGCTTTCCTCGTGGCCGGAGTAAACGGAGCCAGCACTGTAGGGGTCGTTGTAGGAAGGTGCAGAGTCCGCGGCATAGGTCTCGGTCAAACTGTATCCAGAGGCCCGACGCTGGGGAGAGGGCCCACGGGAGCTAGGGTCATCAAAGGGAGTCGCAAAGGGGCCCTGCTGTTGAGAGAGCAGGCCACGCGCCGCATCTTCGTCCTCGCGATACTGCACACGGTCAGTTGAAATGTCTTGCGACGTCCACGATCCGCTTACTTGCGATGCAGGGACATCCTGCAGACGATGATTATCATCGTAGCTCGGCGAGTGCGAGCCCGAGCCTTGGTAGGCCATGGTATATTAAGCTAGAAGGGACGCGAAGGGGGTATCAGAGGTCGAAAGGGTTGAAAGAGTCGAAAGGGTAGCAGAAAGGGTGTAATGAAGCCACCAGGGCCAAAAAAAAATGAATACGTGCAACGAGGGGAAAGAAAAAGCGAAGGGGGAAAAAGGAGAATAGAGTGAGACTAAGCAAAAATAGACATCTCTAGCCCCGTCCTGGTTAGCCTCCTCTTTTCTCTCGTTTTAATCTTTTCTTTCATTTTCTCGTTTTAGTAGTTAGTCTGATTCGTCTCTTATTTTCCCGGGCATACTCCATCCCTTGAGGTCACAGGTATGGAGTCTCCCGTTCAGGGACCAAAGACCCTGACTGGTCCCTGAACCGGATTCCATACCAGAAACAATGATTTGGTGATTTGGTGATTTGGACTTCACCCTTTTTGCCTCTTAAGTTACTGCTAAATCTTCGTCTTTTTTTAGCCTCCTCCAGATCATCCACAACCTTACTGTTTCTGGGGCTGGATGAACAACACTAGAACATCCGAACCCAATAAACAGGCTCCACTGGTGAAACATTCGGTGAAAAGGGACACTTCATTCTCACATTCTTCAAACCATAACAAACTGCCCAGCTGTCCAGGGGAAGGTATGTGATCCACTACGACGGTATTGGTATACTTACACTAGCCAAATTTGCCCCCCTAAATTTTGTTAAAAGTGGACAGGTCCCCTGCAATAATCTCAGACATTTAGCGCCATGATCTCCCCTAAATTTATTTCGGGATCTGCCAAGAGCCCCATCCTATTTGTTAACTGCACTGCGCCTCTCACTTACAACCTGGATCCAAGTTAGAATTTTCGCCTGACCTGTCCAGCTGTACATATATGTATACTGTATGGTATATACTCCATGTTTGCTGATCAACGGTTATATCCGATGTAGCCTGTTACAGATTAATGACCAGAAACTCTTTTCAGGCGGTCAAAGCTTTGTCTTGGCCACTCGGATTGGTCTTATACGTCCTTTGTAGTCATGTTTCTTCTTCCATACAATATCACATCTATCCGGGGGGATAAACCCAGTAGGAGACAATTTGGTTACTTATCCTCCACTTTGCCTCGTGGAACCCCCAGCAAGGATATATCTTCATGTGTCCTCCGTGCAACAATTGTATATATACTTTCTCACCGCCTGGCTCTATCAGCTTCACACTTCTCCTATCCTAGTCACACAGATGTCTAACCGCAGTATTCATACCCAAAGACTGACCAAGAGAAAAAGAGTCAGTGTTGCATGTAAGACTTGTCGATCACATAAAATCCGCTGTGATGTGAGGTCAACCTCAGTGTGGCACTTGCCGGGGCCCGTCGAGAGACCGGCCATTATGAGAATGCTCCAGGTAAACCAAGGTAAGCCCAGTGAGCTTGATAGAAAGTCGTGCGCTGATATCGTTCGAAGCACCATGGATATTACAGGAAGCCTTGGATACCTTGTCCAGTCGATAAAAGACAATTCCAGCGTGACTACAATGGGCCTGGTCTCCCGTCCATTCAACGAGCAGTCGACTGGTGGATTTTTTGGAGACTCGTCCACGGTCGCTTTTATCAAGCAGTTGCAGAATACAGCACCAAAACCATTGGCCCCGTTGCAGGAGTCCTCTCTTCGTCAATTTGACCGGGAAAGCGCGGGGGATTGTAATACGTCTGAATTACAAGAATTACTCCCACCGCGTCCCTTGGCAGATCACCTTGTCGACTGTTATTTTTCGCAGATCCATGTTCGGTACCCATTTGTGCACAAAGAGGCATCTCGCAGCCTTATGACTCACTGTGGAGAAACAAGGACAGCCCTTCAACGCGATCAACAAATTGCCTGGGTCTAGGAGACGCCAGAGGGAATCGCACGACCTTCTACTATGGGTTGAATGTGATCTTCGCTTCGGGCTGTCAGTTTTCTGATATTATTCAGCATGAACGAGAGGCAATATCCGAGGCCTTCTTCCACACATGCAAACCAGCTCTAGATGTAGACTACCTCGAAGACGGCGATCTTGCCTTGGCCCAGACTCTCCTGTGGATGGCCCACTACCTCTAAGGCTCCCGAATCCCCAATCGCCTCTGGCACGTCGTTGGGACGGCCTGCAGGCTGGCGCAGAGTAGGGCTGCATTCCGACCTTGGAAATGAGCGCCGATCATTTGCCAAGATTCAGATTCGGAGGAGGGTATGGCATGCTTGTGTGATGCTGGATCTGTAAGAGGGTGAACCTTTTATTGGCTGAATTAGCTGACAGAGATGTAGGGAAATCAGCATCATCCTTGGTCGCCCAGTCATGATATCTTATAAGCCATCCACACCTCTTCCAGAACTGATCGATGACAGTTATTTAGTAGTGGACTCCACGATTTGTGAACAGCCAGGGAACATTCTCCCATGTCGAGTGGTCCATTGCAACTCTGAATCTGTATGAACTTCTCCGAAGGACGTTAAATACGCTCTACGATAATGTCGGGAAACAATGCGAAGAAAATCCTGCCGATCTAAGGCCACCGGAGACGCTGCTCCAGGTTCAGTATATCACACAATTGGACGCAGAGCTTCAGGGTTTTCGAATCAGGGTTCCATGGCCGCTTCGTTGGGATGTCCCATTTTCTGAAGCACAGCCCCAATTTCTCAGAGAATAGTATCTACTAAAGGCGAGGCAAGTTATAATCAACACCTTGTCCGTCAGTGTCACTAACCATGTCTGCAGGTTTTTGTACCTGAAGCTTCTTATTTACAGGCCAGTTCTCTCGAAATCATTACACGGGATTCTATCCACAGGAACCGAGAGGGGATTATCCGGGGCTGGAACCTGTGCAAATTTCACCATGGACTGCTCAGTCTTCTGCGTTCAGTCCGCCATTGATCTTAATGGCTTGGTACATGAAACTTGCTACACCAATCTAGCCAGTGTTTGGTATTACAACGTTTTCTGTGAGCACAGTACAGCGCCTCTTATTCCCAAGCTGACTTGATCGTAGACTAATTCACAGCTGGGTCTATCACGCTCCTTGCTGAACTATATCCGCCCATTGTGAACATCGTGACCCGCGAAGCCTTGGAAGTGCCCTGGATAGGGGCCCTGGATTACTTGAAACCGTACAGCATAGTAGCAGAGCGATGTGCTGAGAGAATGGCGATGATTCGATCGAAGTGCTTGGTGGCCATGTATGGTGAGAACTCGTGTGTCTTACTTGGCTCGAAGCTAATTTGGGGTAGAACAACTTGATCAACCGCAATAATCCAATGAACAGCCTGGGTTGGCATCGAACACGACAGGACAAATGCCCTTTTCGGGAGATATATTCCGTGACTTCGACTTCAATGCTCAAACGTTCTTTGATTCATTCTGGTTTAATTTGGAGTTTTGACCCTCGCACCCGGTTTCAAAATCTCAAAGTTGAGCATCAAAGATTGAACTTAGCTGGATTGATCTCTATATTCAAGTCCAACTGGAATTGCTCGGGGATGCACTATTTACAACGGATTTGTGTAAAATCCCCGAGAAAGACGACGATGCTGTCGGTCTCATTCAATGAAACTGCATGTCCTAGAATCCCATCAGGTCGTAGAACAGGTACAGCACCACTTTTTATTGAAATGGTGTACGCGGTATGCACCGCCCAATCCTGATCTATAGTATACATTACCAATCTTGGGAAGATCGAACATCTGGCTTCCCTCGGCGGCAACTTGAGCTACCAAGGTGAGGAAGTGGGATAGACATACCTGTAGAGGGTCCACCAGTCAACGGACTCAATTTCCAGAGAGAAAGGCTCCATGGAGCGAATGGCTTCTCCCTTCGCCTGTTCCTCTGTAAGCTTACCTCCATACTTGGCAATCATCGCAGATGCGCTTTCAGTAATATACATGTAGTCACTGTCTCATTCCCATGGAGGTGTATTGATAATATATGTACCCGACTCACTGGCTGTCAAATTAATCCTTTTGGAATTATAGTACATATCAACACCAGGGACAAAATGAGAATATGAAATATATATCAATCGGCCTGACAGTCGAAATATATAGTTAAGAGTTTTCAATGAATAATCCACATAATACTCCCTGTGGCAACATCAATCCTGAAAGTTACATTTAAGCGAAGTAGAATAAGACCAATTATTATAATCCTTAAACTAGTTATGTCTGTACTGAACGAATTCAAATCCGAAATATCGCCAAGGCTGTTATCTAAGATCTGGGACCCACTTAGATCCACCCACAGTCCTTGATTGGACAGGTTCTTTTGTTGAGTCCACGGGTAAACTGTAGTATTTATAGTCATACAAAGAAATAACTTCAATGCTTATAAGGAACTATCTAGGATGTAGCGTATCTGGTAGGATCCCACAAGGGCTGCGTGCACCCTTATGTACAGGTTATGAACCTTGCATGGGAAGGCACCCGCACCCCTTCTAATCTGGCTGGGAATCAAACTTTTTAACATAAATTTTAGGGTTTTGATTAGGGCTAGCTGGTAGTAATCTTAGGGAAATGACATACTGAGGGCTGCGTACATGCACATAGATGTTACAGATTGATGAAACCTGTCGATGTCAGCCACTTATAAAAGTGCCCAGTCGAGACTACGCCATGTAATCTTGGAACATCGATAATCCGAGAGTCTGGACTCACAGCCCCCCAACCCTCGTCTCTCCCTTTTTCTAAGTAAGGCGAACATGGGATGAAACAATCGTGGTTCTCTATATTAAATCGTAGTTAAATATCTATTCTAAATGCTATTCTACGTTCGATCTTCCATCTTCTGTCTTTTACTCCGTATATTTAACATTGTTGTACCTGACTACCCCGTACCCGTGGAACCTCAGGCCCACTCCCGTGACTTGGGCCCCCGTTCTCTCTCCCGTCTCTCTCCTCTTTGTTCTTCTCATTTCACCTTCGACTTTTTGCCATATACGCGACTCCAGTTGTCTTTGATCTGGGTTCGTTCCAGACGATGGTTATCGCCTAACGCCTACCTCCCTTTATACACTCGTTTCCCGCCTCGACTGGGCTTTATGATCTTGTTTACGCTCACGACTTGACGCCGATTGAGCCACACTCCTTTACTTTACTTACTCTGCACATTCCTTACGCCGTTGACCGGCCTTGTTGATACCTCTCTTGTGTTGTTTTCGCCCATCATGCTCGAACCTATCGATTCCGCCTTCTCCCCGTCTCGCTCTCTCTTCAAGCGCTGCGTACCCTGTGGAAACTCCTCCCCCACCTGCCCATCATGCCCTGATGGCTCAATTTGTACCATGACCACCCAGACCTGTGAACAGTGCGCCACCACAAAGTGTATTTCAACAGGGACCGGTGGTTCCCAGCCATCCTCTGGTGGCAGCGATTCCGGTGCCATTGCGGGTGGTGTCATTGGGGGTGTGGCAGCGATTGCCCTCATTGTATTCTTGGTGTGGTGGTTCGTTATCCGGAAGAAGCGCCAGGAGCGCCAGGAGGCAGAGAAGAACAACGAATTCTCGGCTGCTCGCAGTGAACGACAGTCTATCGCCTCCACGGTCCTAACCCGTGCCTCCAACGTGATTCAAATCGCCTATATCCCCGGTGTCACCAACCGTTCTCCGCCAGAAACCCCGGCGTCTCTCGTTCCCCCCGTTCCCCCTCTTCCTGGTGCCACTCCCGACCAACACTTCTTTATGCCAGGCGATCTCCGTGATTCGTCCTGGACGACCACCACCGGTCACCAGAGCATCTCTCCCACATTGCGTAGCAGTGTGGCAACGACAATCTACCGCAACGATGCCATTGTCAGCGCCGTTCCTGCGCAGCAGATTCAACGCTCTCGGGCCGCCGTGGTTAGCATTCACAATGGAGGAGCTGGGGGCAACACACCCGGCGAAGATTCCCCAGTCGCGGTCACGGTGACCCCCGCAGATGCACCTGCCGTACCTGCCATCACCCCAGCGCAACTCGCCCGGGCGGAAGCCGTCAAGGGCAACAGCTCATGCGTGGCTCGCAGTGTGACAGCCAAACCAGTAATGGTGCGTGGTCCTTCACTGAAGAAAAAGGAAAACAAGAACCCGCCTGCCACCGACCGTATCGAAGAAGTGTCCGAGCCAAACACTAGCAAGAACACGAGCCGGGCACCATCTGCCACGGACAGCCAGCAGATCAACCACAACATTTCCACATTTGATGCCTCCTCAGATGAAGAGGATGATACGCCAAGGTCAGCCAACTTGGACACAGACTCTGCACATCGCCAGTCGGCACGTCGAACCTCTGGCTTAAGTGATGGGCGGAGCTCCACCGGGACACCACCTGCCCGGGTGGAGAGTCCATTCTCCGATGCGAATGAGGTCAAATAAGGTTCCTTTAGATCAGCTGGGCGTCTTGGTTTTGCTTTGTCTTTTATATTCTGATTCTTTGTATGTATGCAGCCTTCTACGGCTTGGTTTATACTTTTGGTCAACTATTCCCTTATGCCCTGTACAGCGAGTGAGGCACACAGACGGAACGGTCCTTGAATTTATTCTCTCATTTATTCCCATTTGGAGTATCACATAATATGTACAGACTATAGCTCGCAGTAAATATTTTGAAGTTGACATATATGAAACCCTAGCTACCCATGTATCATCTGGGACTGACAGGTTCATTATGTGACCTTCCAAAGACGACCCAATATATTCACATCATAGGGTATCTACAACAGCAAATAACCAGCCAATGCCGCTAAACATCAAACCACACTCTCCTCCAACCCCATCCCACGACCAATCTTACGAATCAAAGCCCGTTTAAGTAGAGCCTCACGGGAAAGACTACGCGTATGCCGCGACCAAGAATCAACACCAATGACACCCCGAACCAGCGCAGCCTGCAGCGCATAGAGTGCCTGCTGGATACCCTGCTCCTCAGCAACGAGATCATACAGCTGCTTCCCGACGACAGTAGGTGCAACCAAAATATCATCAATGGGAGGAAGACCGGCGGGCGTATCACTGGGAGCAGTTGAAGCTGAAGGCGCACCGGAATTCTGAACAGACGTCGAGCGAGCCTGGGCATCGGCAATGGTAGCATCAGCACGATGAATAGACTGCTGCAGAACAGTGGTGTTGGACTGTAATGTCGCGTGTAGAGCATTCAAGTTTGAAACCTCGCCTTGCAGGGTAGCCATAGCAGCCTGTAGAGAGCGTGACTGCGAGACAAGAGACTGGGCTGCTGTATCGGATTGAGCGGCGTTGTTGCGGAGGATTTCTGCCAGGGATTGCGATACAGCGTGCAGCAACGCATCTTTCTCCGGGTTTGGGGGAATTGGGGGTGCAGGTCCTGTAGGTGCAATTGATGGAAGCTCGACTTCGAAAGGGGAGGTCAGAAGGTCTTGAGTTTGAGCTTTGGGGGCTGGAGCTGCTGGTGGTGGATGTGGGTAGTTTGATGGGTAGGGGGAGTGTTGGGGGTATGGGGGTCCTGCTTGTTGCTGGTGTGGTTGGGGAGGGTATCCTTGTCCTTGGTAGCCTGGAGCAAGGGCTTGTATTGGTGTTTGTGCTTGAGGGACTTGTGACTGGGGCAACTGAGGTCGCGGTTGATATGCCCGAGGAGAAGACTGGCCTGGCACATTGGCAGAGACGTGAGGTGGGACTCCGCTGTTTCTATAATATGGCGTCACACCCTGGGTCTGTGGGGGTGACATAGGCCCCGGTGGGCCAGGAGGCGGATAGTACTGATGCGGGCGGGCTCCCAGACTAGGGGTTTGGTGTGATAGCGCTGCTTGACGAGGGTCTTGCTCTTTCGGTGGTGGTGGAGGGGATCGATATCGATCATCCAATTGTGATGGCTGCGGCTGTCGATTCTCCCCTGTTGCGCCTGGCTTCGGTGGAGGCGGTGGCGGTGTCTGGCTTACAGTCTGAGCTCGCTGCGGCTGCACATTTGTAGCAGAGCTTCCGACACCGGGTGGAAGAGGAGGTAATGGCGGCGGTGTTTGTGTGTGTGCCTGGACTGGCTGGGACTGGGGCGGTTGTCTATATCGGACAGGTGGCTCCTTGGCGAAGACATCCTGGAGGATAGACAGCAGGTCGGCGATATTAGATCTCTATGGACGGGTTAGCTTGCTTGTCGAGAAGCATCCTATGAACACTCACATCCCAAGCTTCGGCCCAGTGTGCCAGGTAGTGATGATACACCTGCCCCTCCAGCGTCACATGCTGTCCAACACGAACAGCCATATCCTGCGTCGGGGTCACATATGCAATGGGAGGTTCGCGTGGGTATGTGTTTGGAATCCATAGCGCAATGGGGAATCGGTATGTTGTCCCTCGGAAGGTGACCGGCAACGTGCCCACGAGGTGCAGGAGGAGGGCCGAGAAGCCTGTTTCGTATGCTGCAGGATATCAGATCAAGAGCGCTTCCAGCTGATTGTATCATTTGTATCACTCACTGTACACATCCGTTCGAGGGGAGAGCGAGGGGTACTGGGCGAGCGCGTTGGCGACATCGTGGTAGGTCCGATTCGGGTCTTGGTAGGTCTGTTGCGGGTCGTAGTGATCCTGCCAAGTTAGCTTGGTGATGATATCGTATTGAGTTGCATACCTTGGTCAATACACTGTAGAGCCAGTTGAGTGTCCGCTGAGGGACCGCCATGGTGATGGATGGAGGTGAGTCGCGGGGAAGCGGAGCAAACACCGCGGTCTTGGCTCGAGTATACTTGCAAGGTTGCCATCTCAGCAGTTTATCTATCCAGTTTTGATGGGTTGCAGTATACTACTGTTCTTGGGCCTCCAATGTATGTTTCTATCAGTCAGGGGTGGCTACAGGGCACCTGGGCATACTTCAACGCATTATACATGACTGACATGAACCAGGCCAAGCAAACAGAAGACACCACACTTCACTGAATGTTGGCCACAAGATGAACAGCAAAGAATCCTAGACTTACAGTTCATAAGATCAGACTGCTACTAATCCATAGCCCCGACCTTCCACGTTGAAAGCTCCGGAAGATCCCCCTAGCGCTTGAGCCTAGAGCCCTGCTGCAGCCTCCAGTTGGACGACCTAGAATTTGTCAGATTTCAAGCTTCGTCTCAATCAACTCCAGATACGACTCCGAAGCATTCAGGGACATCTAATCCGAAAATCTGTGGAAGTCATGACGAAGACATCCCAGTCGCCAAGTGGCAGACAAAGAACTCGCGAACTTTAGCGACTCAAGCCTCGCAATCGAACGAGTCAAATCACCGATATTTCTAACTCGGTTGATTTCCTGCAGCCATTCTGCATCTATCTGTTGTCTGGGCCTCATTAACAGAATGCCCCTTTGTCTCACACCTTAATATTGTTCTCTCCACCTGGTTGATATTGTTCTTCATTCCATCCGACAATGCCTCATCAGTCTCTCAACATCACTATGGCCAGCTCTTCATTTATGTTCATTGTCTGTTTCGGCTTGGGGTATTCATCTCTTTCTTTATATCTATATCTTTTATTCCTGATCATTTTTATCCTCGATCCCTATCATGCATACTCTTCACGCTTCAGAACTTCCAGTGTGATCTCAACTGCTTCAACATGGATTACGGTCTCCGCAGCTCCACAGACCCTTACCAACAGGATGTCATCATGCACTATGCAAACGGCACGGAATTTGAGGTGCCAATGAAAGCTCTGGATGTCTTCGTCATGTACAACGTCCGAGTGTGCATCAACTACGGCTGCCAGCTTGGAGCATCAATTGTTCTACTGATCATCCTTCTGCTTTTGACACATTCTGACAAGCGAAAGTCCTCGGTGTTTATCTTGAATAGCATGGCACTGTTCTTCAACTGCCTGCGTCTGCTATTCCAAGTCATTCACTTCTCCACCAAGTTCGAAGAAGTATACCCCTACTTCTCTTACGACTACTCCGCCGTGCCGGCGAGTGCATATGCCATTTCAATTGCGGCCACTGTCTTTCAGACCCTGGTTGTGGCTTGCATTGAAGCATCGCTTGTGCTTCAAACCAATGTGATTTGCTCGACTGTTCGTCGCCGATACCGACACCCTCTCCTAGGGCTCTCGATCCTGGTGGCCCTGTTCGTATTTGGTTTCCGCTGCGCCTGGATGGTCGAGAACTCGATTGCCATCATCAAAGTGATGTACATGGAATCAATCTGGTGGATTGAGAGCGCAACCAATGTGACCCTCACCGTCTCCATCTGCTTCTTCTGTGTGATCTTTGTCACCAAGCTCGGAATTGCCATCAAGCAGCGCCGTCAACTTGGCGTGCGCGAGTTCGGCCCCATGAGAATCATCTTTATCATGGGCTGCCAGACCATGGTTGTTCCAGCCATCTTCTCAATCACACAATACTACATCATCGTCCCGGAACTAGCGTCCAACGTCCTCACCCTGGTGGCCATCTCACTCCCCTCTCATCAATCTGGGCCGGCGCTGCCCTCGAACAATCTCGACCGCCTCGCAGTCAAGACGCGCGCCGACGTAACCTATGGCGAGTCCTCGCTGGTGGAGCCAACAGCACATTGAGTCCCACAACCAAAGACAGCCCAACCGATTTGACAGCCACAGCCGCTGCTCAAACTCTATGCTACTCAGATCGCACTGTGAACAAAAGTGGCTCAGGGAGCTGCAGGGACACGGATGCTTTCTATGGGATTGCTGTTGAGCATGACATTTCTGTCGATCGAGTTCAGAGAAACCATTCACTTGTCTGATATGGACGGTTCAGTCATTTCAAACATCCTTCATCGCAATCAGTCCAACAACACAGAGAGATTTGAGACATATTTCCATTCTCTGTACACATTTCTCAGAGCCAAGCCTCGCATGCACATTCTTGCACTTTATGTGTCACTTATATTTCCTTTTGTCAATGGTCTTTCTTTTTCGTTCTGCACAATGACCACTCTAGGCGCATCTTTAATATCAATTTATCGCCCTTTTAAATATTTTTGAGCATAGACAACAGAGCTATACATATAATGTAAGAGCCTACGGATTTAACTACTTAACCCTCCGGCAATTCAATCCATGGCAGATGTCCACTCCACATAACAGTTGTTAAAGAATGATCCTGTTTCATCTATCTACAGTCTTCTCAACTTGATAAGTGCCCCTGTAACCAATAAGCCACTCACTTTTGTCTTATACTCAGCCGAGACTAGTTCTAGATATGGATCGATAGAATACACAATATACGAAGAAAAAAAGAGGAACTCGATTGAGATAGGCACTTACCTTGGCCAAGGATAGCTTTGCTTATCGAAATTAACGATATAACGATGTAGTATCCGTTTCCACCCATCTGATAGGAACTAATCATTCAAAAAAAACCAGGGGGGAAAAAAAGGATTATGTACAGACAGAACGCTCTATGTATAGACCACATGTGCGCCAGAACAGAAAAGACAAGAGCGACAACGTTAACAATACCCAATGCTAATTCAATTGCACGTAATTGGCTGATATAATGTTAGCGATGCACTTCTCGATCATGGATTCAACACTTACCCGGAAATTGGCCCTCCCGACCGCCGACACGCCCAGACCACCACTCATTTGTGTTGTCGGTGCGTTGGACGATTTCAATAACATCACCAGCTGAGAATCCCAGATCACCGTGTGCTTGGGCCTCGTAGTCGTAAAGAGCAGTGACGGTCTCGACCGGCTTTGCGCTGAGGTGAGATGGCTTCGCCCGTGGAGGGGGCGGGGCGGGCTTGCCCTTAGCGGCCGAAGAGAAGCTGCCTGTCGGACTGGCACCAGCAGACGAGTAGGGTGGTGGAGGGTTTTCGTCCGCGGTAGAGCTAGACCGGCCTCGGCCAATAGAGCCCTTGCCCTCGCCCTTGACAGCGCTCAGCTTCGAGCCAGAGCGGCGGACGCCTTGAGTCTTGTAGTGCACGATACTGAGGGCTTCGGCACGTTCCTTCACATCGCCTCGCTTCTGCTCAAAGGCTTCTTCAACGTCAAGCTGAAGGTTGAAGTAGCTAATGTTCATGCCTTGCATGCGGTCGTGGAGAGTGTAGAAGACGTTGAGTTGCATGTAGTAGAAAGATTGGAAGAGTGGGCGGATGAACTCGGCCTCAAGGGCAAACAACTTGGGCAATTCGTCCTTGAGCAGATCGTTGTAGTAGTTGAACTCCTGTGTGGCGACCTCGACATCGTTTTCAGCCTTGTACAAAGCCTTTTCGTCCTTGATCGATTTGTCCTTCTTCTCTTCTAGCTTCTTCAAGGTAGCATTGCGGCGGTCAAAGTCCAGCTTCTTGTGATCACGCTTGACGGCAACCTTGCGGATCACCTTGATTACCTCGAGGAGCTGGTCGGCAGGGCTGATAATGCGGCTGTCGATCATCTCCAGCTCGGGGGCCAGGGCCTCCTGCAGCTCTTTGACGATCACTTCATATTCTTCACAGGCCTGAATGCCTTCGGCGTTTCCTTCGAATTGGTAGGAGGTGGGATCGGAGGCGCGACCGGAGATGGGTTTGTAGATCTCAGCAACTGCTTTGGAGAATTCGATCTGGTGGTTCAACATGCCTAAAAACGCGTCAGTGGAAGGTTCTTCCATACGGAATTCAGATATTACCGTTGATGGCTGCAAAGTACTTCTTTGACTCATCGTGGAGCTTCTTGGTCTCCTTTTCGAGCTCATCAAACCGGCGCTCGGCATCGGTATAGACAGCATCCTTGGTGTGTTCGCCAATGTTGAACTTGACCTTGAACTGCTGCGGTGCACGCACAATGCTCTTCTGAAATCCTTTGAAACTCATACTGCCGGAAGCCTCGGAATGGGAGAGTGAGGAAGTTGCCAAGGCGGGGTGACGGGCTTTTGGGCCAACTTTCGCTTCTATGACATAAGACATTCGCGATGTGGCTGTACCCGAAGTATAAGTTATTTGCACGCCTAATTATTGTGGCGCATTACTACATCAGGCACCAGCGTTAACTACTACGGTAGTAGTGATCGCCCCGGTGGCTGTTCCGGGGCTGAGTTCTTTCGATCTGCTTGTTTTTATTGCAGCCTTACCCGTAAGTACCAATTACCCTAGTTCGATTGTTATTGGCCATTTCTTTATTATGCGGGTTGACTTGGCTAAACGAAAGAATACGCAGCGTAACCTGCAGGTTGTAAATAAGTAGCTAGCTAAGATTCTAAAATCAGTCACATAGCACATGAGTCAAAGTATGACTTCAGATATCAATATCTTAACAATCACACCTAGTTAACGTTAGTAGCAATGTTACGCCTGAGGCATCTCGGAGAACCGGGGAAACCATCCTAATTGGGAATTCACCGAGGCGTTTAGTCATGAGGAGTTTCCCGGACATTAGTGATAACAAAAAGTCGGGGTTGCTTTCTTTCTTCATCCCACTTGGTATCGGACTTCATCCTCAAAATGACAAGTGCTGCTCCTACTGCTTGGAGACAGGCCTCGGCCTTCTCTAGGCGCCTTTCAACTTATGGCTATCGCGCTCCTCGCCTCGCCACCCAAGCCCGTTCTTATGTTTCTGGGACCAAGGTCGGCCAAGCTCAGGTCAATGTCGAAACCGCCATCAAGGAGGAACAAAAGTCATTCATGAAGCAGGCTGGTGTTCCTGCTCAGGGTGTGAACCTTCCTGGCACGACAACCTCCGGTGATGCCGCCATGAGTCCTTCCGCCGGTATTCTGAAGCAGGCCACCGTTCTGGACCAAGGTACACGACCTATCTACCTCGATATGCAAGCCACCACACCGCTAGACCCCCGAGTTCTCGACGCCATGCTTCCATACCTCACCGGAATCTACGGAAACCCGCACTCGCGCACACACGCTTACGGCTGGGAGTCGGAGAAGGGTGTTGAGGAGGCCCGTGGACATATCGCCAACCTGATTGGCGCCGATCCCAAGGAAATCATCTTCACAAGTGGTGCGACAGAGAGTAACAATATGTCATTGAAGGGCGTGGCGCGATTCTTTGGTCGCTCAGGCAAGAAGAAGCACATTATCACCACCCAGACCGAGCACAAGTGTGTTCTCGACAGTTGCCGACACTTGCAAGATGAAGGATTCGAAGTCACCTATCTGCCAGTTCAGAGCAATGGTTTGATCCGGATGGAGGACCTCGAGGCAGCTATGCGCCCCGAGACTGCCATCGTCAGTATTATGGCCGTCAACAACGAGATTGGTGTGATCCAGCCGCTCGAGGAGATTGGCCGTCTTTGCCGGTCCAAGAAGATCTTCTTCCACTCTGATGCCGCACAGGCTGTTGGAAAGATCCCAATGGATGTCAACAAGATGCACATCGATCTGATGTCCATTTCCAGCCACAAGATCTATGGCCCCAAGGGCATCGGTGCTTGCTATGTGCGCCGTCGCCCACGTGTTCGTCTCGAGCCTATCATCTCCGGTGGTGGACAGGAGCGTGGCTTGCGCAGTGGCACTCTGGCCCCGCATCTGCTCGTTGGCTTCGGTGAGGCTTGCCGCCTTGCCGCTCAAGACATGGAGGTAAGAATACCCGTTCTCTTGGAATTTTTCTTTGCTGCGATGATTATACACTGTGAATAAACATCTGTCTTTGGAGATGTTTGGGTGGTAGCTCCGTGTTTATACACGGTACTCAGCGTCGATGATGTCAACCGCAGGGGTAATGAGTCTGCTGATGATGACCTTGAATTTACCTTGTCTTTGCATGGCAACACGCTAACATGTTGATTCGCGAATAGTACGACACCAAGCACGTTGAGCGTCTATCGAAGCGTCTGACCGAGGGCCTCCTGTCTATGGAACACACCGTGCTGAATGGTGACCCCGACCACCACTACCCCGGCTGTGTGAACGTCTCGTTCGCCTATGTCGAGGGTGAATCCCTTTTGATGGCTCTGAAGGATATCGCTCTGTCTTCCGGCAGTGCCTGTACCTCCGCCTCCCTAGAGCCCAGCTACGTTCTCCGTGCCCTGGGTAGCAGCGACGAGAGCGCCCACAGCAGTATCCGTTTCGGTATTGGCCGTTTCACCTCCGATGAGGAGATCGACTACGTTCTCAAGGCCGTCCAGGCTCGTGTTTCATTCTTGCGTGAACTGAGCCCGCTTTGGGAGTTGGTGCAGGAGGGAATTGACCTGAACACTATCGAGTGGAGCCAGCACTGATTTCTTTTCTCTGGCCATATTAATCACTTTCGTTTCGAGAAAAATGCCCATTAGGGACGGCGTTGGAAGTGTAACAACATTGGATTTGTACAGATTGAGCATAATCAACTCAGAATTTACTACCTCTGCTCTACTATGTGTAAGATTATCCCGATCAAAGTCGATCAGAGTGTAGAGATGATTCCTGTTAGGACGTAGTTGGCGCCCTGCAACTTACCATAGCCTTCGCCACTGATGCTCGAGGTTAGACCAAGTATATGTGCCGAATAAAGTTTGTCCACTCATTACAGCCCTATGATGACTGCATATTGGATGCTTTCAGAGATAAGTTAACGTGGCTCACTTGATCTTAGCACAAACTCCAACGTTTACCTGCCGACGCGCCATTTATCCGACTGGAATGGCGGGGGGTACATCTGCCTATAAAAGCCCTTTTCACTCACCGCGAAAAAGCACCAGTCGAAGATGTATCAATTGTTGTGGATTTTCCTCCAAGCTGCAAGCAGTGCCGCTACTCTGGTAAACCGCTCACCAGAGCTTCAAGTAGTAACCTCCAGCGGCATCGTGAGCGGGATATATAACAACACAGTCCAAACAGTCTGGGGATTTATAGGAATACCATACGTCGAGCCCCCAGTAGGACGCCTGCGCTTTGCACCAGCACAATCCAAGCCCCCAGCCAGACATCCGATCGATGCATCCTCCTTCAGCGATCCATGTCCACAGGTTTACACATACTCCAATGAATCAATCTGGAGCATTCTTCCATACAAGATATGGAATCCAGCCAACATGTCCGAAGACTGTCTTTATATTAACATCTGGACGCCTTCTTCCAAACATCAGGGTAAGAGGGCGCGAAACGCGGCAGTAATGATATTCATCCATGGGGGAGGGTACGGCTCTGGTTCTGGATCGGTGGCTTTTTACGATGGAACAAATTTGGTACAGGACAATGAGGATATCATTGTTGTCACTTTCAAGTAAGTGAGTCGTGTCTGTTTGTATACATGGCTAAGACCAGGGAGTTATCGGCTCAACGTCTTTGGATTTCCTAATGCACCTGGTCTGGATCCTCTGAAGCAGAATCTAGGATTAATGGATCAGGTATGCCATACGCCTCAAAAGCGAATGATACAACTCACATAGTTAGCGACTGGCGGTCGAATGGGTCCATAAGAACATAGCCAACTTTGGCGGTGATCCAAAAAGGATTCTCCTTTTCGGACAATCTGCTGGGGCATCGTTGGTTGATATGTTTTCCTATGCTGTGAATACCACCGGTCCCCGGATCTTCTGTATATTGTGGAAACTAACGAGCTTGGGTTTGATAGTATCCAGACAATCAACTTGTCAGCGCATTCGCCCTACACTCCGGCACTGCGCCATTGTTGATAACACAGCCTGACCATAAGGATTGGAACGACTTGTCTATTGCTGTTGGGTGGCTCGGGGGCGAAGTCTCTTGCGTGCATGAGACGAGTTCCAGCCACAAAGATTGTCGAGGTAAGGACCCAGGGGAACTACAACTACAACTTGTATCCGATCGTAGACAACCGAACTGTGTTCTCGGACTATGCTGCCAGAGCTCGAAAGGGGAAACTAGCACTCCTGGTATGTATACCACAGTAATCTCTTATCTTTTTTCGTAACACTCACAGTGCTTCAATAGCCAACATTAGCTGGGATCCACGAACATGGATTCTCGGCAATAGTCCCTTTGAGTCAAGAATCTGTTAATGAAATAGACGTCTACGAAAATGTCCAAAAAGCCTTCAACTGTCCACTCCATGAGACTGTAAATTAAGAAACAAACCACCACATTAGATCGGATATAATGCATTCTAGGATGCGACTTGACCGGAATGTGCCCACTTGGAGGTATCTATACCGAGGGAATTTCACAAGTCTCAGCCCAACCACCTGGCTCGGAGCCTATCACACTGGTAATGAGATGAGACTCATTTCCGCGTATTAGTCGTATTTTGATGATGATAGCCAAGATACCCATTGTGTTTTGGGACTTATAACCTATCAAAGCTACAGCTCCATCTGCGGGAGAGGCTGACGCCAGCAGATACATCCAAGGTCCTCCCTCTAAAACGTATAGCGATTCGTCAAGTCTTACGAGTATTTCTTAGGAGCATGGGTCGCCTTTGCCAAGAACCCCCAAAATGGACTCAGCAAATATGGATGGCCACAGTTCAGTTTCGATTGTCAGACTCTCCAATTTTGTGGTGATCGTCCATGCTGATCGTTGACAGAACCAACTTTGATCAATCTCGCCCTGGACAACACCACTCAGGTTGTGTTTACATCAGCTAATATCCCAGTGGGATAGTTATTGCAATGAAGTTGGCAAGACTACAGACATCGGGAGAATCAAAGATGGTAAGGGACAGATAGTTCTTGGGTGTGATTTATAGACCAATCTATGTGATGACATAACCAGTCATGTGACCCCAATATTTTGCACACTTTGATGCCTGGCAGATCAGGTGTCGACGTCAAAATCTGCATCCGGCGGGGTGTCCACTGTGGATTGCCTCGGAAGCAGATGAGCACGAGACGATGTGGGCAGCAGGACAAAAACATCAGATCAGATAATGCAAGAAGATATGTACAGCCAATATACATCAAAGTAAGCTCAAGACCTGACGTTGACCCAACATGACCCCAGACGTCGAGTATGGAGCAGCGTGAGTGATGGCGAATGTGCTAGGGATTAAGCGAGAATGTCCCGAATTCGGCGCAAAGGCCGCATTCCCACCTCCCAGCCGTGTCTTGGGGGCTTCCGGTTCATTGTCTAGCACCCAGTCTACTTCTCGCTAAGAACAGACCCGCTGAGGAGCCCTTGCGCGGGCACCCATTGCTGCTTGGCATTTTAGCCTGGGGGCGTTAGTTACATGGGCCCATATAAAATGAACCTGGTCTGTAGTCGACTTAGCTGGTCCACCTCCTCTAAAACGGTCCCAGGGGTCTCTAAAGCTCTTTTGCCTTGTTCCTATATCGGCTCACTCTCTTAACTCCGGCTTAGAAATGCCTCTCTTACGCTCCCCTTATGTCTCCCGGTGAATTACGTGCTTACAAGTCGGACATCCCACCGGAAAACTCTGACGGGGATAGTTACCTAGTTTATGTCCCTTATGGCTACTCCCCGTACTGTACCTTGGTGAAAATGAATAACCTTTCTTCTCCGAGTTTGTTCCGTCATCATCCGTACACGTCCTGGGGTACTCTCGCCACCTCTCCGGGTGCCTGACTTGTAACTTCTCTCTCTCTCTTCTTTACTCACGACATCATTACGTTCTTGAAGACATCGGCATTTGAACGGGACTGAGATCCGGACGTGCCACTTCTGTCCTCGGCACTTCTGCCTCTTCTTCTGTCTTACAATCACCATGCTACCTCCAGTGCCATCACCTGCTGATTATGGGATCACTCCCGACTTTGGGTTCCTCCCCTCAGAGCCTCCACTGGAGGTCCTCCCGGATCCATACTATGCCAAGTGGGAGGCCATCGTGGGGAACTTGCAAGCCCTCATCCTGAGCAAACGGATCCGGTCCATAGTGGAGCGCCTCCCCATACTTTCTACCGAGCACCTCCAGACAGATGCTGAATGGCGTCGAGCATATGTGGTACTTGTATTCATGCTGCATGGGTTTGTCTGGGGTGGTGATCGTCCCGCAGAGGTACATTAGAGTCCCCCCCACTGGTCACGCGATGAGCAATACTGACACCAAACAGAGGATTCCACCACAGCTCACAGTGCCATTATTCAAAGTCTGTGAACGGCTCGATGTCCCCCCAGTTGCCACTTATGCCGGGGTTTGCCTCTGGAACTATAAGCCGATATTTCCCGACGAGCCGGCCACCGACTTGGACAACCTGGCTTGTCTTCAAACATTCACTGGGTCACTGGATGAACAATGGTTCTACCTCGTCTCTGTTGCCATCGAGGCACGGGGAGGTCCTTCTATCCCCTTGATGCTCAAAGCTATTACAGCTGCACGGGCAGGAAAGAGCCAGATTGTGACCGAATGCCTGCAACAGCTGGCTGAAACCATTGATGAAACCACCGAGTTACTACAACAGATGTACGACAACTGTGACCCATACGTGTTCTACAACCGCATCCGCCCATATCTGGCCGGAAGCAAGAACATGAGTGACGCCGGCTTGCCCAATGGTCTGCTATACGACGACGGCTACAACCCCGAATACCGACAATACGGTGGAGGCAGCAATGCCCAAAGCTCCCTGATCCAATTCTTCGACATCGTCCTCGGTGTGGAACACCGACCAACCGGTACAAGTCGCGACAGCGAGGACAGCGGCAGATCCCGCAACAGCTTCATCCACGAAATGCGCACCTACATGCCCGGCCCACACCGACGCTTCCTCGAGCAAGTCGACTCAGTAGCCAACATCCGCACCTTTGTTGAAACCCGACGCGGAGACTCAGCCCTCTGCATTGCCTACGACGCCTGCCTAGCCATGCTGCGAGTCCTACGGGACAAGCACATCACCATGGTATCCCGCTACATCATCATCCAATCCCGCTGTGCGCGCCAGCCCTCACAATCCAGCCCGAGTCGACCGGCAACCAACCTCGCCACCGCCACACCAACCGATAAGAAGAAGCTGCGCGGGACAGGTGGTACTGCCCTCATCCCATTCTTGAAGCAAGCGCGAGATGAAACTGGCGAGCCTGCTATTGACGCATGGGCTCGACGGCTACTCAGCCATGGCCCTGTTGATAATACGTTTGCTTCACTTAGTAAGGTTGGCGAGCAGCCGGATGGACATCTTGAGGTCGTTGGTCTTTGCGGGACATGGACTGCCGAGGAAAGTGAGGGTGGCATTTGTCACTGGTAAAGTGGATGTTTTTCTGGTTATTGAGCGACGCATCTGGGTAAATCTGCGTACATGGGCGCTATGGTGTTTGGGATTGCATTGTATGATTTGTGCTGTTGTACAGAGTAGACTTGATTTACGGCTCTTATTGCATTATTACTCCACTTAAGCTGTACTATACATGTACCTTGAGCTGTCAAATAAGATAGAGCATGTCTAAATGCTTATTTTCATGTAGATCCATAGAAGCTGCATAAACAAACCTGGCAGGCCCTGGAGATGACGCGTGAAGCGTCATCCCACGGGATGTGATGTCATCTACGTCATCGATCATGACTTTGTGTACAACTTCATGGAAGAATGCCCTGGAACCATGTGGCGCATAGGGATCTGATATCTATATAAGGGGCTGTGCTTCCGCCTGCTATTTCCTAATCTTCACTTCAAACATCTCTACTCTCAACTCTACATCCACCATCTACAATCTACCATCTACATCTACCATCTACATCTACCATCCACATCTATAATGTCTGACGGCAACTCTTCCACCGGCCAGTCCTACCTTGACCAGGCCACCGGCCTCGCCCAGCGTGCCGCTGGCGTCATCACCGGCGACTCATCCACTCAGGTAAGCAACCACTTCACAACCCAACCCATCACAACAACTAACCCAACCCAGAACAAGGGCGAAACCAAGCAAGAAGTCGGCAAAGTCAAAGAAGACGCCTCGCACACAACCGCCAAGGTTGGCTCCGTCGCGGCCGACCCCAACACCGGCGCTGTAGCCCGAGACGACCCCAAGCGCTCCGCTGGCTCCTGGGACCAAACCCTCGGCTCCGCCAAAGAATCCGTCGGCAACATGATCGGTAACGAGAACCTGCGCAAGGCCGGCGAACAACAGAACGCCGCGGGCAAGGAACAGGAAGCCAAGGGCCAGCTTAAGGACTGGGGTGAGGGAATCCAGAACCGTGCCCAGGGTGCGCTTGGTGCGGTCGGTGCTGCTGTTACTGGTGACCGTACTGAGGAGGAGAAGTACCGTGACCAACATGATGAGGGCAAGGTCCGTCAGCGTGGTGCTGAGGCTGATATGAATAAGAAGGCTTAAGTGTAACTTGAAGATTTGGGTTTGTGATTTCGGTTCTTGCCTCTATGGCTGTTTTTATTATGACTTTTACGATGGCTTAGCTGTGATATCCAAATTGATTGCCATTTCTACTTGGTATTTTGATCAAACATGTAGCTTTTGATTTTGATAGAAAGAGTAGATATATCGAACTTGAAGCAAGCATAGCCGAAGTAGGGACTGGTATGTTGGAATGTTCACAAAATCTGATATTTGTATAAAAATGCCTGAAAAATCATTCTGATGTGGAAAGTTCTACGAGGAATGATTCCTTAGGCCCTGAGGAAGTCGAAATCCCTTTTTTCTTGCCAAAATGTTCGCGATTTGCAATTTTTGACCAGGCCCTTTTTGAAATCATAACATACGAGAAAGTAAAAACAGAATGAGTATATCTACGAAATATGTGTCCAATATCAAAAACAATCGCGGGATCAGGGTTTCAAGTGACAAAATGTTCAAATCGGCTTAGTAGACCCCAAACACCACACAGAATCTAAAACAATATCCCCAGTCAACCCCTACAGGGAAATGGGACTTTCCACATGCCACCATCTCCTCCCGTCCTTAGGTAAATTCCCCTTGAAAAGATCAATCTTCCACCCAGTGATGTGGGTTCTTCCTAGGTGCTTTGGCTATCTAGGTACGAATGACCAATTGGATACCATTTGCCGGAATTACTACGGCGTTCTATAAGGATGAGGGGGTGGGAGACAAAGTATGCAGGCGACACCAATGTCGAGATGCCCTGTAGTCAACATAATCGCCTCAGATCTGCAGCCGATCTTCAATCTATCACATACATCGGTGTATTCCGAGCAAGGAATAAAATATCCGAGGTGAACGTGGACTAGCTTCCCCGCTGGCATCTGATCACCATCCCGAGGTTGATCGGTGAGACTAAACTAACAGCCTTGGAAGGTCTAGAGTCATTATGTCACGTTGGGCATGGCTTGCATGGAGGGGCCGAGTGCTAAGCATTTGATATACTCTGACTTCCCCTAACATTTTACTACTATACTACTACAGTATGCACATCACCATGAAGTTCACGGCAGTCCTCTTCTTCCTAGCAGTATGCAGCGCAGAGCACCATCACCGCCGAGATGGTACGGACTATGGCATCAACCTAGCCTCAATCTCAAGCGCACTGTACATACCCACTCTCGCACCATCAATCGAATCTAACACCATCTAGAGAACATATGACCGCAAACCAAACCGCCAGCGCCAACTTTGCCAACATCTCCTCGCCGCCCAAATCCCTCATCCCAGAGATCCTATCGGTAGTGCCCGTCTCGGTGATCTGGGAATTGGTCAACCCAGCCCAGCGCAGTTCACTAGCCAGCCAATTCAAGGCAGGGAGCACACCAGCCTGGTATAGCAACCTGCCCACCGACGTGAAGAGTTACATGTCCGTGGTGAGATCGCAGATCTCCGGCGGCGCATTGACAGCCACTACGGGTTTAGCGTATGCGACAGCGTCCGCCACTGCGACCGGAGCCACTGAGTCCGGATCGACTGGATCTGGAACTGGAAGTGCAAGTGGCATGGCATCGACTTCCACTGGTGGCGCTGCACAGGCCACGGGGCTCACCGTATCAGTGATGGGGGCCATGGGCGTGCTTGGGCTGGCACTAGCTCTATGATCTATTTTTTGTTGCTTTTTTAATTGCTTTTTTTTGCTTTTTGTTCCAATCCCTATTGATGCGGTGTATCACAGTGAGGAAGAGCTGAAGGATCCGCATGATTTGCATTTAGTAGACGACTGTGATGAGAAATGAGACCAGAATTGAGCATACGAAATCAGAATCCAGAAAGGTGTACTCCAAAATACAGTGGTGTCACTATGTGCTCAAGAGTGAAATGCCTTGGCGAAACGAACCATGGACGAAATGAGGCGCAAATGCAGGTCCCTCACATGCTCTGAACTCGCAGTTAATTAAAATTAATATGGAAATCTGCATGACGAGGTGGTATCTCTCTCGACATGTCGGATCTCTGCATGGACCTGCGCCTTGGGAGCTTACCTCGCCGATCGCTACCTAAGAAAACAAGTTCTCCGGACAATTCGCGAATCAGAGAACTAAGCGAATCCCACCAAATCCCCAAAAAAGGAGATCAACAGTCGATCAGCCAAAGAATGAGGTCCGGGGTGAAACCATGCGGGGAACTCTCTCGTATTGCCTTTCCATTCACTGCATGGTACAGGTGAACTAACTAATTCACATGGGTTTGACCTTGCCTCGGCCATCGCACATCACCCGAGACCGTGTCAATGCGGCTTCAACGGCGTCGGGGGTTTTATCGATTTGGCAAAAGCGAACTAACAACGCTAAGTGCCTTGGTCTAGATCGAGCAATCTCGTTTATAAGATAAGAGGGAATAGTGTATAGCCATACCTTGGATTCTCTCTTCTTCATCTATCACAATGCGTTTCTTCCGTCTTCTCCCTCTGGCTTTGGCTCCCCTGGCTCTGGCAGCCCCGGAGCCCCGGCCCAACCCCGTCGCTGCACCAGCACCAGCAGCCTCCGGTCTGCTAGAGGAACTGCCCGACATTCTCAGCGGAGTGCAGGGTCTTCTGACTACCGATAATCTCAAAAAGCTGGATACAATTCTCGATGGGGCGGCCAAGTTACTCGCCTCCGACAATATCGATGTCCTGCAGGATATCTTGACCAACGCCCACAGCCTGCTCACCAAGAGCTTTGTGGATAACACCACTACCCTGATTGGGGATGCCACGCCGGTATGTACTTTGTATGAAAACCGGATTGTATATAAGTTACTAACACACGCTAGTTGGTGGAGGATGTCTCCAAGCTGTTGGGTGGTGTGTTAGGGTCTCTGTAGTGCAACGAAGGAATGAATCACGAATTTTACTTATTTTTGCATTCAATGGAATATTTCATCTTCAAATATCTTCAATAAAAGATAGTAATTAATAAACACAAGCATATATCATAACGATCGGGTATATACAGAACAGAATAACCATCACACCACATTCAACTTCTCCCGCAAGCGATCCTGGTAGAATTTCAGAGGATACGCCCTCCACTTATTCGGCATCGCCGGGTAAACCGCAACAGAGAATCCCATCCACGTGCGATAAATCGCCCGAGTAGCCACCGTCGACCGAAGCCCATACGCATCCCGCAGCTTCGGAGGCAGCATCTCAATGGTCGACACCCGCAAGAAAGGCTTCATACTCTGCACCCAGCGCGGCATCTCAGTACTCTCTCGCAGATCCTTGGCAAACTGCGCCGCATCAGACGAAACCGTCAACTCAGACACCTGCCGATCCCAATACGACCAGAACGCCTCACGAGTCTCAGGCCAGGTACCAGCCGGCACACCCAGACAGTTCATCAGCAGCGTAAACTCGCTATACGCCCGCTGGGCACTAGCATAATCGACCCGGCCGTAGACACGCTGATAGAAATCCGTCGCAGTAGCATACAACGTAGCAGCCATCCACAACTGCAAAGCCGGCTGCTGTGTAAACCGGTTCGAGCGCCCACCACCGAGAAGAGGCGGGTCGCCATTATGCAACATCTCAATCAGAGTCTTGCGCTCAGCACGCGTGCCAAAGACCAGACAGGAGATGTAACTGATATGCGCCTGCAGGGCATCGATCAGTTCCGTCGCGAGCTCCTTGTGTCCGCCTGAAGTCTCCGCGCGGATACCAGGGAGCGCCGCCTGGAGGAGGAGGGCTGCCCCTGAGCCAGCGAAGAGGATGCCCTCCTGGAGCATCTTGGGTAGGACTTCTAGTTGCTCCAGGGCGTGCAGACGACCGGAGTCGCTGGTGATATGATTGGCGGTCGCGTCTGAGCCGCCATTGGAGATAATTTCATTGTTGAATTCGTTCTTCTCGGGCTTTTCGTCCATGTGGGACACAGGGGATGAGGTTGAAGACATGGTGAAGGTTGACATGCAACTTACTCCAGGGCAGTAGGAGAGATGACAATTGTCTTTTTAATAAATGGACCCCGCAAACTCTGACCCCAGACCCGAGAGAGCTCAACAAAGACCAAAGAGAAGGCCAAACCGCGTCGATCGTACTCGGCCCATGTGAATAGTGTCGTCTTTCGGTGGAGAAGCCGCGGTTCGCAGGAGATCGCCATCTCCTGAATGTCGATCGCAACCCATTCCTGGCGTCATTCGGCCAGAGAAGGGAATCCTCCTCCGACACTAGCCCTTTTCTTTCTTTTTTTCCTCCTTTATTTGCCCTTTTTTTGTCTCGCTTTTCCTGAATGGAACCGACCCGCTATGGGGTTCTGGAGAGAATGGAGTCGGAGGGTCGGAGGGTCTGATGGCGCAGGCTTGTTTCTCCGCTACTTATACCATGTCTTCCCCTAAGTTGAAGGTCACTTGAACATCATGTCTGACAGGCCGGCCTACCTCAGCTCTGATGATGCCAAATACTCCCTGGGTATTCATCGGGGTCCATTGTTCTCCAAGAATGTCGACGAAGGCTCCAAACTCGCCCAGGTCGAGTCGGCCGGGGGTCTCTCATTAGCGACGAGAGAGCTGAACAGGAAAGAGAAGTTTGCGCGCCATTGGAAGCGATTCTGGTGTCTGCATCTCTTTGTGACCATCATCTTCCTGGCGATTTTCCTACCAGTCTTGTGAGTCCATCGACCTGAGCGCATGCAGTACATGGACTAACCGCATTAGCTTTCTCGTGGCCATCCCCGCCATTTCGCAGATGGTAGTCGACAAGTCCGACCTGGTTCTCGTCAATGCAGCAGTACTGAACCCGCGACCAGATCGCATTCAGCTAACGCTGCAGTCTGCGCTGGACCTGAAGATCGCGCTGCCCGTGCGCATCGAACCAATCACCTTAGATCTGTTCGTGCGTGACGCTGGCCCAGAGAATAAATGGGCAACTGCCAGCCTGGATGGGATGGTGGTAAAGGGGAATACCACGCTGGGTGTCAGTGATGTGTCGACACCATTGACCAATTTGACCACCTGGGTGGAATATGTGCACAATGTTGTGTTCAAGGAGACGACGCCGTTGTCGATCAAGGGCACGACCAATTCGTATCTGGGTGTACTCAAGTCTCCTGTGACCATGGACAAGGATGTTGTGTCTCCAGGTATGTCAACACCATCCATGCGCTGAAACGAAGCTAATGATCTCCAGTTCTCGACCAATTCAAGGGCTTCAGTATCTCCGACAGCGGTCTCATCCCAGCCCGTGACGATGGCACCAATCTAGTTGGCAACGCCACACTCCCCAACAAATCAGTCCTAACCCTCGACATCGGCACAATCGTACTAGACATCCACAGCGGCGACCTACTAATCGGCAACGCCACGCTGAAAGACGTAACCCTCTACCCAGGCGACAACACCTTCCCCCTAACAGGCGTGCTAGACCTAGGCCTAATAATCCAAAACCTAGGCAAAGTCCTCGCCTCCCAAGCCTCAGCCCTGAAATCAGGCAATCTCGCCCTGGACACGATAACCAGAACCGTCACGTGGAACGGGACACTGGTACCATACTACACAGACGTGATGAAGCAATTGACCCTAACGGCCAACGTGGCACTCGCCGACCTGCTCAAGAATACAATCCACAATTTCCTAAACGGAAACTCGAATATCACGAGCCTGATCGGCTCGCTAGGCAGCGACAGCGGAGGCAGCGGCCTCCTGTCAAACCTGACAGATAGTAAAAGTGCCAGCGATACAGCCAGTGCTGCTCTCGCCGAATCCTCATCGCTATCATCGAAGCTGAAGAGGAATGATGCCGTGCGGGATGTATTCAAAAATGAACATCCCATCAAGCGGGATGCGATTATTGACTCGCTTGCTGGTCTCTATATGGAACACCAGAAATGAGTCATTATCCCCCTGTTTTCTAGTTTATGTTTCTCTTTCCCCTTTTCTCTTTTGGTTCTGTTAATAAAGGACTCGTGTCCGTGTACACGATTGCGGGTCCGGTGATGCCTAGACGATACTTGATTCCCAGGCTGTGGCCATTGTGAATATTCGATTTATTTGATCGATTTGGTTCTGTTTGGAGTTTGGTGGATATCTCTACTATATTTACACGGTTTACGCTGTGTTGCCCTGTCTTGCGTGATTTGACTTGTTTCAGGTCTTTCATCAATATCTCTAGAGATAAAGATAGAATGTCCTTTTGCCCCTGTCTCATGTCTGCTTATGTGTGGCTGTACAACGTACAGTACATACTTGGGCTACGGTCTAGACCAGTTCGCTGCATATAATACATCAATTATATCCATTCTAGCGTGCTGGTATGTTCGACAAACTCTAGTCAGCTTGGCAAAAGTACATGTACATGTACTTCGCCCGGGTGATTCCACGGGTGTATGCATCGCTAACACCCGAATGGACCTCTTGGTAACCAGTTAAAAGTCGGAGTTAAAATTATAGAAAGAGACGGCCCGAGAGGCTCTATATCCTACAGTATGTTGGATGCCCAAGGCGTCCTGTTCTTACGTGTATACGAACCTCATGCACCTCGTACTCGTACTGTGCTAATTTAGATTTTAACTTTGTTTTTATTTCTCTATTGATATTGGATGATTATTGTATAATCCTGACAGGTCCGAGCTGTCTGTAGGTTCTATCTAGGATATTGGTGCATGGATCCTCAACGCAGCCAGTAGCCACGTCGGATAGCAAGGAAAAAGGCTGCGCCTCTTGTATAACATCCTTGACATAATGATTTGGCGGTCGGGGCCTCACGCGGAAGATGTCTCGTGCATCGGCCTCTTCGCCAGGGTAAAGGGTTTGAACGGTAGGAATATAGAGTTTAGGATCGAAACTGATGAGAATGAGGGCTTGGTGGTCTGAAGGTAGTCCAGGGCAGGGGACAGAATAGATAAGGGAACGCTCATCTGAAATGCCTTTCACGGATGAAGTGCGTGCGTCTGGACAGAGAAGATGGTGCAGTGCAGGCGGGGCGTTGTCTGGAGGCCACAGATGCACACCACGACACTCGAAGCGTTCTTCAGAAGCTTCAATAGGACGACCATCTTGGTCCATCTGTGTCGGCTGGAACAGTTTATTGCGAGGGCCTTCGATCCCTTCTTCGTCAATGGGGGATTTGCGCTTCCGTGATACTGTACGGAGGCGGATTCGGTCTCGAGACCGCACACTGTCGCCAATTGGAGCTGGATCGTTGACGAGATCAATAAAGGTCGATGCACCAAGGTGGTAGTTGCGGTGCTTTGTCCGAACGGCAATGAATTCCTGGCGCTTCTTCTCGTCGGCGTCGCTCTCATACTCAGCGTGATAATCGCGACGTAACCGTTTGGCGGGTCGTTCATCGTAGGGGTGATCATCGTCGAGGTCATCGTCCATGGAAACCCAGGACGGAGTTTCGACTGTACCATCTGACAGAGGCGCCAAAGCCTCTTCAGGCGTGGGTAGTCTTTGTGTATAGTAGGTGCGGTGGTTTTCACTCCCTCCATGTCGCCATTCCCGACGACATTCCAAAATCACCGGTCGTCCGGTCGTTTCATCCGTGCGGATAGAAAGATCAGTCCACATCTCGTTGATAGGACCTTCTTGGTGCTCACGGCGCCAGAAGCGACCGTTCCATTTGCGGCCAGCTTCGCGAGGGGCATGACAAAACCAGTGGTAGAAGGAAGAATGTACCTCGGTGTCGTCTGAAGCAACTTGCGTTGACACCGCGTAGAGGTGTTCCTGATACATCTCAAAACACAATGTTTGTCCCAGGTCACCGTCGACAACTCGATCGAGTGGAAACTCAATATAGAGACGAGTGAGGAAATCCAAGCCTGTCACCGACCATATCCCGTCCGAGCCTTCGGCCACTGTAAAAGTGCCAAACCAGATGTAAGATCGGGTATGGCGTACAAAGAGAGGAGCCCCGGCCGGGATGGTCTGCGACAATAGCACGCGTCTGGCTAATCTTTGTTTGGCCCGGCTTTCCGTATTAACCGCCCATAGCGTATCCTCAGTCGCAGTCACGCCAGTCTCCCGAAAAACAAGAATATCATCACTATAAGCGACCAGCGTGATCCGGCTACCGGGACATGGGTTGGTAGGGCTAACATCAAACCGTTCATGGATGTAGGGGAGGTAAATCACGCGTTCGGCAAGGTTGTCCCCATGCACGTCCAACAGGCGAATCTCTTCTTGCCAGCGATAACAAAGAATGCCTTGATTGTAAAGAAAGTCGGCCCCATAGCCTAGCACAGCGACAGAGTAGGGGTTTGCCGTGGCGACAGCCTCGTTGATATCAAAGCGATGACCGACAGCCTTGCGGTACCCAGACCGGGCCGCCACGGCTGCCTGACCTTCTTTGCTGTAGAGTAACACTTTCTATCATATGGATGTAAGCTTGAGGTCAAGATTTAATGGATATGCAGCCTACCTCGACGGTCTTGCGGGCGATCTGCTCACTTTGCGTTAGTGCGCGCAGGGCGCGGTTGGAGCGGCTGAGATTGATAAAGTCACGGTCGTCCAGCGACGTGGCGATTTGATAGAAGACATCGAAAGGGAGAGTATCCAGACTCTGGGGCTTCATGGTAAACAAAAACAAAAGTGGAAGGGAAGAATTAAAGGCACATCATTACAAGGAATGGAAGGAAGGGGGCATTTATGAAGGAGGTGAGGGTGAGGCTCAAGGTGAGAAACCGAGCAACCCCGCTGGGAAAGAGCCTCAAGATCACGATGTGAGATAACTTAGGGGGCTAGCTTTGGCCTTGAGGCTCTTGGGGGCTGAGCCCCGAAACATGCGGCTCGGCCTAATATGACTGAGATCGGATTACGCGGGGATATACGATCTCTTTCAAGATTGTTTCAGGGTCTGATCGCCTGCATGATCTGCAGAGTCACGCAATAGTCATATACTCCTCAGTGTGACTAGCTCCAGGGCTAACTATGACTGGTTGAATCGTCAGTAGAAAATACATGTAGAAGAGCCTCAAGTGGCAACGGAGATTCTCCCTTCCGAACCCCGAGCTATTCTTAGGTCAGGTGACGCGTGGTGCCGAGGTGGTCACCTGACAGGGAGAAAGTCGCTGCCTGTTGGTACTTCAGGTACAGTTACAGCCACCGTGAGAGGTACAGTTCTAGGTACATTTTCTACTCTGATCTACATCATGTTTACCGCTATAGATCCGTAGAATGTTAAACTGCCCGACCATTGACGTAACTTGGGCATGTATCCTGCAGCCCTACAGGTGGATCCTTTTCCAATTAGAACACTGTACTTCGTACTTTATCCTACAATATTGGAGTTGGACAAAGAATGGGTACAGTGCCGAGTGCCCAGAGACTTGCAGTAGCCGGGCGTTGCCCTGAAGTTGTCAAGACCCACCCAGAACGAGTCCTTTTAAACTGTTCTTGCTTTCTACTTCTCCCTCCACATCAATCATCAAATATCAAACAATGTACCATCCACCTCCTGGTCCTTATGGACCTCCTCCTCCTGGACCACCGCCGTGGGGATATCAACAACCCGGGTGGCAACCCCCGCCTCAGCCCTACCCTCAGCCCTACCAACCCCATTATGGCTACCACCCCAGTCAGAGCCATCACCGATCCCAGAGTCAGTCGCAATACCCAGGTGCTTATGCACCATCGGCTCATCCGCCATATCCTCAATATCCTCCACAATCTCCTCTCCCCTACGGACAGTCGCAGTCACCGTCGCATCTCCGTGCGCCTCAAAATGGTAAGGAGAACCCCCGCCAAGCACACAGCGTCGCTCACCTAGTAAACAGGCCGACCTCGGGCGAATTCGGCCAGCTTGCCGCCTCCACCACCACAGACGGCTCAGCATTTCGGCCACGGCGCACCGTCAAACTACAATTTCCGGTATTCAGCCTGTACCGGTCGGCGCAAGGCTCTATTAATCGGAATTAACTACGCTGGGCAGCCAAATGCCCTCAAAGGATGCATCAACGATGTCACCAACATGTCCAATTTCCTCGCACAGCGATTTGGATACAAGCGGGAGGACATGGTGATTCTCACGGACGACCAGCGCAACCAACTGAGCATCCCGACCAAGGCCAACATCCTCCGGGCCATGCAGTGGCTCGTCAAGGACGCCCAGCCCAACGACTCCCTCTTTGTGCATTTCTCCGGTCACGGCGGTCGCACGCCCGATATGGATGGCGACGAAGATGACGGATTTGACGATGTCATCTACCCGGTGGACTACCGCGTGGCCGGTCACATTGTGGACGATGACATGCATGCGATCATGGTGCGTCCGCTGCGGCCCGGGGTGCGATTGACAGCAATCTTCGACTCGTGCCACTCGGGCACAGCATTGGACCTGCCGTACGTCTACTCGACGCAAGGTATACTCAAGGAGCCCAACTTAGCCAAGGAAGCGGCCCAAGACCTATTCAGCGCCTTCACCTCCTATGGCCAGGGAGATTTCTCCAGCATGGCCTCTACCGCCATCGGCTTCTTCAAGAAAGCGGCCAACGGCGGCTCCGCACGCGAGCGCACAATCATGACCAAGACATCGCCCGCCGACGTAGTGATGTTCTCAGGGTCCAAGGACACACAGACCTCGTATGTGGCGTCGCAGACTAAAAGTTAATGTTCTAAGAATATGAAGCTAACCCCCGTAGTGCCGACACGTTCCAAGATGGTCAAGCGCGGGGTGCTTTAAGTTGGGCGTTTATCAAATCCCTGCAACAATGGCCGCACCAAAGTTACCTGCAATTGCTCAACACTATCCGGAATGAACTCGAGGGCAAATACTCGCAGAAGCCGCAGCTGAGCTGCAGTCATCCCCTTGGTAGGTATTCCGTGTGACCCCAGACCCGACCCCAGACCCCAGCTGACGATCGCAGACACCAATCTTCGCTTTGTGATGTAATGAAGTACAACCAGGTACATGAATTAATGTAGCAAATGAATCACGAGAGCCCAGTGAATCCCGAGCCAGTGCGGAGTACTCCGTAATGTCAGAAGTACAGTACAGTAGTTGGTAAAATACACCTAACAAAGGAAAAAAGGAATTCTCCACGATTTATCCACAATTGGCGCTCATTTGTGGCTGTGGCCCGAGGTGGATCCCGCAAAGTTAATGAACTCGTATTGCCGTGCTACATGCACAGGACATGAATATGCATATGAGTAGTAACGGAGTAACGAGTACTGCATGCTAGCCAGATAGCTTACAGAAGATCAAAGAGACATGGCGTGGCTGTCTCAAATGTCTCTCCGATCTATAAAAAGTACACAGAAACATACAGTAGCGCCCCTGAGCGGGAATCGGACCAATCAAATCTCCACTGCGAACAGTTCCCGAGTGGAAACCGTGGATTTACTCGACTTGCCCCTTGGTAAGTTGTGAACAAACCATGGGACAATTAAAGAAAACATAACCTTGGAAAGAAGAAGAACACATAAGAAGGCTCGTAAGCGAGAATTTATAGATCGTGGCTTCGTTCGGCCGCGTCATTGGATGATGTTGCAGATCCTGTATGATCTGATAGGAACTCCGCTGTCTCCGGGAGTCCACATGGGAGTATGAGCAGGTAAACATGCCACTATTAACTACTCAACTGCTCAACTGTTGGAAAAGAGTACAGAGTAAACAGTAAACTTAATACAGTAAACAGTGTGAAGACTCGAATTAAATTACAGTCATCTAAGTGTTACACGGGACGGAGTAGTTGGACTAAAATATTCGATGTCTCTGATCCACTTTTGGTCTTTTTCGGAACTCATGAGATGCGCTTTTTTCTCCCTCTTTTTCCTCTTTCTCAATCTTTCTCAGTCTCACTCCTACAATGTTCTCCTCTACAAACAGCTCTTACTCCTCTAGCATCTCCTCCGGCCCTCCCTCCCCATATCAACACCCTCAACCCACTTCATCACTCTCGCTGAACTCGCAGCGCCGCCGGAACCCCATGCCTGCCAAGTACCCCCGGTTTTATGCATCCCCGTTGGACGAGGGCACCGACTCAACCCCTCTACAAGTCTATGGCCATGAACAACGCGAACCCTCAATCTACGGCAAGCCAACCAAGCTCCTCCACCGGGTATCGCACGCTCTAGGCGATATCCGCGAGGACTTCACGCTGCAGTTGGACCCCCTTAAGCGCCGCTCGACCGTCTTCTTCGAGACACCAATCTCCCCAGCAAGTCCAGAAGTCCCCATGACCTCCGCCGGCCCGCGGTCGCGACCCATGTCCATCATCTCCTACGACGCCATTGCAGCTCCATCCAGACGACTGAGCCAGCGACTGACACGCCGCTTGTCGGTCTTTTCTTCACGGGGCAAGCCTGCTGGTCACACTGGAGCTAGCATCTCCTCGCCTAACCTTATCGGTTCCTCGACTCAATATGGCAACCGAAGCCAAAATTCGTTTATTTAAGAATGAACTGAACTCGATAATAAACTAAAAGCTAAAAGCTCATGTTGCCGATCCCCCAGGACGGAGAACTGGGGGATCGACCATACATACCATGCGCAACCACACGGGAGAAGGTGTTTCGGATATAATATTTCATTTTGGGCGATTTGATTCTCATTCTGCATTTGCCATCTTTTACAGCGGACAGCGATGATTTACATTATACACTCCTTACTCGCTGATTGTTGTATCTATTTCTGCGCATAGCTCGGTGTTTTAGGGATGCTTTGAACTTACAGTAATGTTTTGTTTCTGTTCTTTTTTTTTTTTTTATGGTTCAATACCGACATCAGAATGACATATCACTATACTCTTAGAATAGAGAACCTCTAACCGAACGCTAATTGCGCCACCATGCAGTAGACATCGAACTCCCAAGCCAAGCATTACCGGCCGGTGGACCAACGTGCGTCAGCCCGCAAACGCCTCCATGAGCAAATAAAAGTCTCACGAATGCGACCGTCCATTCGTACTTCTACATGAAATAAAACCTCGTGGATGCCTCGCAATCAGATTACATGTACATATTACCGCCACGTATATACGCTAACACTTCTATGGAAACCTAACCTCTAGCGCGATGCAAGGTGCTCGGAAGGTCCTCGGACATCCACTTTATCGTCCCACACGGCTCTTCCTCGGTTCTTCAATGGGCTGATCGTAGTGGGGGTTGTCTGAGATGTCTTAGATGGGCTTACTGCATTGTCTCCATTGCATCTATATCCCGTTCGTATTTTTCGGTTCTGCCTACGAGTGGATGGGATTGTTTGGTTGGAAACATGGACGAAACATTATTTGTCGGATTAAGCGCGAACACTTGTGAGGGGCTGCTCTTGGTTATTCGGTTAAGTTAGTAGGTGCAGGAGAACAGTGCATGTCCCCGCGAGCTTCCGAGATACACAATTTCGAGTCGGGGCCGAGATCACGTGTATCATAACGTGGGACTTGTGACTATTACAGCCCTAACTGGAGATGCTATGGATATGGAAGCCTTCGTTGAGCCATGATTGAATGACTTTCTGGTTTACATCTGTTATTCCAGGAGCAGTCTCTAGGCTGAGAGAATGTCTTCGAGTTGTTTGAAATGGGATATTGACCCACTACCTGCTTACGAAATAAGGTCTTATTATTGCAACATATGCGTAGCTGGCACAATATCTAAACTAAATCACAAGAATCACACCACTAAACACCAAGAAGACAACAGTGATAAATGTCTAGTTCGATGAGACTAGAAGAGGATACTAACCAAAACGATTCTAGTGGAGTCCATATACCAAGTACTGGCAGAAGATTCGTCATGGTTCTTCTATTTGCCATTACCCCTTCCGATTACACGAGCAAGCACATCATGCAATCTATCCTTCCTATAAGCTTCCGCTTCATTGCTTGACCTTGTTCTGGTCTCAGCCTTTCATGTCCAGTCGTCAGAGGGAGGATACAGACAAGTATCCTCTCCCTGGATGAAAAAGGTTGGATCATGAGGCTGTGCTGTCTTTCCCCGGATTCCCCGCCTTGGGTGGTGAAGGACTTTGCGCCTGAGCTGAGCCATTTAGCAGCTGAAGTGACTTAGCACGCGCGGTTTGTTTAGCGTCCGACATGATATCGCCGAGAGTGCTGCACGGGTCTAAGGTTAGTGTGAGGGTGGAACGTAACACTATAGAACTAAGAGGACATACTTTAAGCGGGTAATAAGCAAGTAAATATAACGGATAGAAATAAGTTGATGTGACTGTTGAGCGAATAGGAAAGTGGTGGGACGGCTGTAGTATTTATACGTCAAATCATCATGACTGCCTTAGGTGTATTAGAACAGCGTATATTCGTCGTGGAGACCGTGGTAAGAGATAACCAGAACAGCCGATACGTAAAGCGTGAAGCAATCATAGATTTAGGAAGTGACGGCCCTATCACTGCCCACCTTAGGAACATGGCAGATGATCATGATCTTTAGGCATAACCAACACCTAGAGGCCCGAACAGCTATATCTAGCTGGACTACACATTTCTCACATGCTTATAGGGCTAGAACATAGTTGTTCCCGGGCGTAATAATTGGATAATAACCCTCTACGTGTTCATCGCCCATATAAAACTTTCGTGTACGTCAGCGAGGATGGCTGGATGGCTGGATAGTTGGATGAGAGCGTTTCGTATATGACTTGGCGCGACGGTAATCCGTTTCTCGCAACCAAGTACCATCATGTCTCCTGGAGAGAAGACCGTGAATGAGGCTGCTGTGATGCGATTCCTCGCGAAGAGTACTATAGTCCCCGTCACTTTCGTTCTTCACTCGGACACAAAGTAAGAGATGTCCTCTTGGACTGAGCCCATAATTATGCTGAACCATATCGCATACCGAAGAGACATGCACGACGCTCTCGGTATACAAGGCATTTCCCAAAGAGGTATTCAGCCCTCAGACCCAATCATCGACGAAGGTAGATTCGAGAAGCTATATGCCAGCTGGTTGGTTTACTGGACGAAGAAGAGACGGGTGAGATGGAACGATTGGTGTGAAGAAGATGGAGATGGAGACGAGGATTTTGCAGTGGGACCCTGATAACTATACTCTGGTTTATCATCTGGAGATAAAAGAGTACAAAAACGGAGGAAAAGTAGGGGAATAGACCCGCTATTCATAACAAGTTTATCTGAAATTAGATTCATTTGTTGAAAAGATGCACTGTATCTCTCTGTGGCCTATTTCTCTTCATTATATTCGAGATGCTCCGCTTCCTCGGCCGGCAAAACTCCCCTCTTGACAGCGATCTTCACAAATTGCTCATCTTCCCGCTCGATATACTTTTGGTGGCGCGTTCGAGAGATTGCGTCGGGTCTTGGGTCGCTCCCACAGCGAAAGCCCTCCAAGATGCGGGAGACAGCATACTTATACATCAGTCCTAAACCACACACACGGGCACAGACGCAATAGGCCTTTTATAACCAAAATTGGAAAAATGACCGGGAATATGCAAGTCCTCGGCTAAATCCAATCGCGGTTATACTCCGAAGACCGGGGATGCGGGGAATGATCAGCAAGCGCCTAGAAACCCGTACAGGAAAATACAGGCGACTTTTTTGCTTGGATTAGATCAGTGTGGGGGTATATATTAAGTCGAATGAGGGGATTCGAATTCAGCGGTACAGGGTATGGCTTATGATTGATTGTTCTTAGTGGCGGTTCTGGGTTTCATTTTGGCTTTAACGCTGGGATTGGTGGGTTGGTGTTGATCTGGGGTAGGCTTGCGTCACTTGTTGGGGGGAGTGGGGGTTCAAAGTTATTCAGACTTGCTTTTGGCTACAGTAACTCGGATAGAGTAGACGCTGACGTTGAGAGAAATTGGTATGGTGCCGATCTTGTGCTCTACGCTGCTTGTCTTCGCGTTCTTTGTCTACCAGGGATAGGTTAAATCCAGATGTAGTCGCCCGATGTGGGTTTTCTCCCAATGTCTATGGTGCATATAGAAATACCAGTGGCCCACTTCTTTTGGAAACTGTCGACCGTTAAACTGGAGATGGCCTATTTCGGTTTGTCAATTAGGCCCACGGAGGAGTATATTTTCTTATACATGTATTTGTTCTTGTAGTGCGTTATCTTGTATGAACAACTTGAGATTCGCTTCGTTTTGGTTAAACTCCACGGGGTAGAGCGAGGGTAATAAGTATGGGAAACACTTACTTTATTTAACTATGCTTCAAGTCAAGTTCAGACCAATCAGACATAAATGCACCAAATAGATATCTGGGAGCCTCTCCCCGGTTAAAGGGAGATAAGACAAAGCCGAGGCTCATGCACATATTCCACAGGCGAATCACAAGCCACGCAGAAAATCGATCGAAGCAAACTACATTCCTGAAGACCTGCATATACAAGAAACTTGAGTATTAAAATGCTTCTAAGAGTAAGATGATATTGCATGTCTCGTAAGTAGTTGTTGGTATTAGGGCTGTAAGCCGTGAGTGATGAGAAATATAAACCGTGGAATCCTGGTTGATATCAAACGCCAGATTGGTCCAGAGGCCTCCGAATGATACGGACCCTGGAGAGGCAGCAACCCAATGAAAGGTGTGCCCGCAGAAAAAGAAAGAAAAATCAAAGCCCACCACATGATACGCCGAATCCAAATCCCATGTTTCTAGTCCACAGAGCCAGTCTATAGACATGAATATGCTGCGATGCGCAGATTTCCTTGCGGGTCCCGCCCTTGTAGCCGCGGTACCCAGTTCATAGAGTCACGCTCTCGAGGTCGCGCATGACAATACCCATCTGGGCCCGTTTGGCCGCCTCGGCCACAAGATTAAAATCCTGCAAGAAGGGCGCTGTGGCCGTAGGACCCCCGAGACCATTTATCTGGTGGGGGTAGTTCTCGGCCGAAGCAGGCGCTGCATTCAAAGGCAAAAGGCCTTGAGAGTTGCCCGCTGCGGGGGCGATAGGTAAGGCAGCCGAGTTGGAGGCGTTGCTTAGTGTCTGTGACAAGGGTTGCATCGAAGCGGAGGTTTGCGGGGCACATGTAGAGGGTTGTAGCGAGGGCGAAGAGAACACCTGCTTTGTCGCATTCGTGGCAATCTCCAAGGTAGATTGGGCCTGTGCGGTCATAGTGGACTGGTCGGTGGAAGGAGCGAGGGTTGCTGCAGAAGGAGCGAAGGAGGCGGAGGAGCCGACAAGAGGCGCTTGGGGGTTGTTGGCTGGGCGTAGGGTCGAGTCCATGACGTCTAACGGAAGAGATCCACACCGGGATCGGTTAAAGTAGGTCGCAGAGGGGTGGTTGAGATTGAGAGGGAGAGTCGATAAAATGAAGTCGCTATGGATGAGACGCTCGGGCGACCGGATCTAGGACGGATTCTGTAGGCGACAGACGGTGGCAAGTAAGGAAGTTGAAGCCGCTTCGAGTGCAGAAATGCAAAGCCAAGGCAGTTTAGCTCCGGAACAAAGTGACGGAGTGATGGTCTAGGATAAAAATATTGGAAAAAGGCACCGAGCAACAAGTGAGAAGAAAAGAAGAAGAGAAGTCTCAGGGGTGCAGATGGCAAACCTCAATCGGCATTATCATCTCCACAATACGGTATGGTAACCTCGATGCATCACGTGATGGTTTGCAGATTTCCGATTTCCGATTTCAGTTGCATTGAAGTGTAGCCTCGAATTACTACTATTGACAGAGTGAATATTAAGTGAACATTGAGTGAGTTCGAGATCCAGATCGAGTCATACATTTGACCTACATGTACAGCCGAGTGATCTGATCCTTTACAAGTGATTTACCATACTCCCCCACCTGGAGATCAGTCCACATTGGTGGCCTGAGGCAACAGCCCGCTGATAATCGATAAGATCTTATTTTTTGCGATTTCTCCCTCTTCACTTCACAATGGCCGACTACGAATCAGGGAACCTGTTCGAGGATCCTGAAGGGTTCTACCCTGAAGATGAGCCTCCAACATTCGCAGAGCACCACATGCTCTCAGGGCAGACCGTGCGCGTGCGTCTGGTTGGCAGCCATCCCCTCTATGTACGATATCAACAATAGGATCGAGAATTCCCGACTAACCCTGACAGGGAAATCTGCTTTGGAATGCCGGTCGAACGAGCTCTCATTACATCGAAGAGCACACCGAGGAATTGATCCGTAACAAGGATGTCCTCGAGATCGGTGCTGCGGCAGGCGTCCCCAGCATCGTGAGCGCCATCCAAGGTGCCCGCACCGTGGTCATGACCGACTACCCCGATCCCGATCTCGTGGGGAACATGCAATATAATGCTGAACTATCGACAAGCTCAATTCCTCCCCGATCAGACGGAAAGCCTCGTCTCCACGTCGATGGCTACAAGTGGGGTAGTGATGTGAGCAAACTGCGGGCATACCTTCCACCCGCGGCCGATGGCACTCCTTCGATGTTCGACGTCCTTATTATGGCGGACGTGGTTTATAGTCACCGCGAGCACCCGAACTTGATCAAGACCATGCAGCAGACTATGAAGAAAGAGCCCCAGTCTGTGGCCCTGGTCATCTTCACGCCTTATCAGCCTTGGCTGTTGCCCAAGACCGAGCAGTTCTTCCCGCTGGCGGAGGCGAGCGGCTTCACGGTCACGAAGATCTTTGAAAAGGTGATGGATGATGTTTTGTTTGAAGACGACCCTGGTGTAAGTCATATCTCTCAACCCGGTGATATCGGAACTGACCCTTCATAGGATGAGAGACTTCGCCGCACTGTGTTTGGATATCAGATCCGATGGGCTCAGGATCAATTGGAGGAGGATTCCAAGGCTTGAATGCCGATTTTATACCCAACTTGGAACGATGACATGAAATCATGACAAAAGTTCAATAGATTTTAGATTCAATAGAAACTCGAAGTTGTAGATCTTCACTTTTGTGCTTAATGCACCTCTAGTCATACTTTTTAGAGGAATCCATGACTATATATCACTTGAATCAATTGATACAAAAGTTGAATCTCCGAACTGCGGGTCACATGGCCAACCCCGCATGAAAAAAAAGTCCGCCAGAACACAACACTCAACCAACGATGCCGGTAAGTCGAAGTCCCCGATAAAGGTATAATTAAACTGATATCATCTAGCTCGTCATTCTAACGGGTTACCCGTGCTCCGGCCTCACTTACCGTGCCAACCAGCTCGCATCGCTGCTCGAGAAACACCAAGATGAATTATTCGCGGCCTCCGAAGCAGGCACGCCAGTGTCATTGAAGTCTCGATACAAGGTCCACGTTGTCGCTTCTCACGATTCTTCACACCCGCGCATTGTATACGATCATGCCCGCACAGAGAAGGAAGCGCGTGGTGTAGCTTATGCGAGAGCCAAGCGCGTTCTCAAGCGGGACAGCATTGTGATCCTCGACGGAATGAACTACATCAAGGGATGGAGGTACCAGCTGTGGTGTGAAGCAAAAGCTGCGCAAACAACCTGCTGTGTGGTATGATCTCAGAATCTGTATAATGTGTTGCGGCAATGGCTGACAGTTTTGGCAGGTTCATGTCGGAACACCCGTCGACCGATGCGTCGCAATCAACGACGCCCGACTGCGCCGACAAGCTATAGAGAACCAAGATCGAAGCGCACCAGACGCGCAAACTCCCGAAACCAGCGAGACTCCGGCACCAGCAACCGACTCAGAATCCGCCGCAGACAACGAAGAGCCATACCCAGCCGACCTACTCAACAACCTCATCTTCCGCTACGAAGAACCCAGCACCCACAGCCGCTGGGACAAGCCCCTCTTCACAGTCCCGTGGGATGACCCGCAACCTCCAGTGGCAGACATCTTCCAAGCCCTAACAGGCGTGGTCCTCCCAGCCACGGAAACCGAAGCCACAGCCCCAATCCCAAGCCTAACGGACTCCCTGGCAAACACCACCATCTCCGACACAGCCAGCATAGCGACCGGCACACGAACCATCGGTGGCAGTCGTGGCGGCGTCTCAACTCGGCCTAAGATCGTCCCCCACCAAGCAACCGTGCAAGCAGTAGCCACAGACTCGAATGCGATGTACGCAATGGAAAAGAAGACATCAGCCGTCGTATCTGCAATCCGTACATTCACCCAAGCAACTCCATCCGCCGAAGTCGCTCTAGCGCAGAGTGCGCAGGCTGACGGAATCCCAATTGAGGTTCCGGGGTCAACGGTACCAGTCTTTATTCCAGCGCATGTTGCTATGTCCGGTACGACGGATGAACTCGCAGGCGCGGGTGGTATTTTGGCTTTGCCGAAGCTGCAGAGATTGCGGAGGCAGTGGATTAGTTTGAACAGAGCTTATATTGGTCGTGGACATGGTGCTGGTGGGCCTGGGGCTTTGACGACTGATCAGGTTGGGGATGCATTTGTGCGGTTCCTTAATGCTGAGTTTGGGGGTGGGGAGACTGCGGACGATGAGGATTAGATGTTGATTTGAATGAGTGGATTGACCTGTTTAAAGATGGATTTATATAGATATTTTGTTCATAGCGCTAGATGTACTCAAGTAGAGTTATGAGATACGAGTTTATGACCGATATGAAGTTCAGACATATTAGAGCTACTTGTTTAAAGTCATTCACGTGGAAGTTATCAAAATCAAAACTCATTCGAATCGAAATACAACAACGCACAATCTATCAAAATCGACAACAAAAACAAGTCCAACAATCAATGCTGAACACAAAACTCTACCGTCATTCTTCTGCCACCCCTTTTGTGACACGATCCCCGCATGCTGTTCCTCCGCATAAGTTCGGGTTCTCCAGTGTCCTTGGAGATGGTTTATTGGGTCTGCAAAGCCCAAAAATCTCTCGGTAGCAGATCTCCATATGATGAGCCGCAGCGATCGGGGACAGATCGCAAGCGCCCAAGCGCGGGCTCGGGGCCCGCGCTGGTCCTATCCAGTTCATGGCTCATGGCCGTCCGAATGATCCAACGGATCAGAGATTAGGAAAGAAATACCTCGGTCGAGGGCATAAACGGGGTTATTATACACCACGGTCCTCGCGAGCAATCACACTGGTTCGTCCATGTGTAGAAAGTAGCCTGGCCGGCAAGCAGCAAGGCTCAGCCGCCGCGCAAAAGGAAATAAAAACGGTCCTCCCGTGAATTTGTTCAAATCATATCAACCGCTGTTCGCCTTACAGATGGAAAAGGCCCAGCGGCATCTCGAACACCCTTCACGCGGGCAGTCCACTCGGCATCTGGGAAACAGCCTGGCTGGCCTCGATGTGGCGGTAGTTCAAGCCCAAAGTAAACAGTTCTTGGAGACCGGCGTTGACACGCTCATGCATGGAGGTATCCTGGGGAGTGATGTTGGTCAACTCTTCCAACAGGCGCACGCGGCACTTGTCGTAGTTCCGCTCAGCAGTCTGGAGACGCTGACCGAGGCTCGCGGAGGCCTGGGTAGCCTTGACAGAACCAGCCTGGGAATGGACGGAGCGAGTGCGCTTCATAGTCGGAGCGGGAGTGGCACCGGTGACTCTCCTCTTACGGCTAGCGGGTTCCTTCTTCTTGATCTGACCAGCGCCGGGTGAGGTCTCGGGCGAGCTGTGACGCTCGGAGGTGGCATAGTCGTGGACACGGCGCATGTGGTCATAGAGGTTCCATCTCCGGGGGAATCCATTGCCTGGAACGGCACGTTCGCATCCCTCCCACAGGCAGAGATGGGGGTTATCTCCGTGGCCATGGAGTCCGTGGGCTTCACGTTCGTGGCGGAAGAGACAAGCGTTGGACGAGAAGCGGAGCTGGGCATCAATGCAGGCGGGGGCCTTGCAGCGGTAGGGCTTCAGATGGGAGTCTAGGTACTTGCTGTTTGAGGGAGATCCGTTAGCTGGGGCTCAGATGAAACCAGAATGTCATGCACGGGAGAACTTGCTGGTAGGCGCATTTTTGCGTGGTGGGTGGGTGACTGCAGGGTTTCTCTCCGGTAGCGAATGGGCAGTAGTATTTTCCATCGCTGTGGGTGGACATGGAGTAGTAGTGGTGCTCCCGCGGGTTGCGAGCCTCGACACCTTCCTTGGATCGCTGGCGGACCTGCTCTCTCACGGGGAGCGGTTGGAAGAACTCTGGTTCGACCTTGGGCTGAGTAGCTGGCAGAGCTGAACGGCGGGATTGTCTGGTTGGTCTAATGGTCCTACGTGATTGTGGTTAGGTTTCTGGTCATATCATCTCTTATATCAGCTTTGTCGACACTCACCTGTGGAGGTCCCTGTCAAGAGTGTTGGGAAACAGGGGCTCTGCTGGGTTGATTCCATGGGTTCCGAGGGGCGAAGTGGTGAAATCTCCGAGGAGTGAATCGTCAGGGGCCATAAATGAAGGGAATCCAGAGTTAGAGCAAGAGGAAGTGACAGAAACATCATTGCTTGCGTCGGTCAGTGGTGGGGAGACTGGGACAGTCTGGAAAAGACCTGATGAAAATTGATCCATTGTGGTTCCTGGGTATTGGCCGTCATGCATCATGGGGGTCCATGATTCAGGGCCTGTGATATAGTGGCCGTCCTCGGTGTGGGAGCTGTGCCCGATGGAAAGAGCATCATCTGGAGTGCCATTCCTGTGGCAGACATCATTTTCAACAGAAGAAAAGTCCAGGAAAGAGGTATAGAGATCCCGGGACATTTCATGGTCATTCATGTCTGGGACTGCTGGGAAGTCCACGCCGGAATACATCACATCATTTGGTCCGACCGTGGGGGTCATCAGCTGCTGAGACAGCGAGAAAGAAAGCATGTGCACCTCGGAAGAGTCTTGCTTAATGGGCTGGTCTGAGTGGTTCAAAGTCCAGTCTTTCATGTCCTGGGGATTTCCATGGCTTGTAGGAATACTTGAGCACATCGAAGAGCTGTCATGGCTCGACAATTCATCATCCTGGATTGATCTTGAGGCAAGATTTGAGATTCCTTGAACCATGGAGGTATGCATGGACTGTGACATTGAGACCCGCTCAGGGTCGTTGGTCCTTGGAGACATTGTGGTTGTGATTGTGATATGAACACTGTAAGAAATGAGTCAGTGACCTACTCCTTGACGTTCAATATTGAGAAAAAGCAAATAAGAAAAATAAAGACAAAGGAAATCTCCATGGTCCAGAGTGAAATGGGACCTAGTAACAGTCAGTAAATGAAAAGTCTGGCTTCAAGAGTTCTTCAATATTTTAACGCACCAAAGCCGCGTGTGCGAATTTGAGAATTCCTAGGCCGAAGGGATTGAAGGATCCTGGTTCAATTCGTCGTGTCTATGTTGTAAAGCCCGGGTCTGGTGTCAATCCATGGAGTAGTAAGTGGTGCCAGGTGCAGAACAAAGGTTCATGCTGGAGCTACTATTTGTTGAAACATCATCATCCGGGTAAGTCCAGGTAAGTAACTGTCGCTCATTTTCTTGTCATGGCCAGATCAGGTATACAGGGCCAGGTCCATATCAATGGCCTTGAGAATGTTGACCTTGGGGAGGTTGAAGCGGATGCTTCTCCATTATCGAAGTGCAAGCACATTAGCTTGAGAGAATCCTTGGTTGTTCCAATAGGCAAAGTGGTTCCATTATTGTTGAGATAGCAACGTGGCCATAGTAGCATGAGAATTCCAGGGAAATATCATTTCTGTCCATAAAGTGGTTCATTCTAGGGGCGCTGTTTCCAAAGGGAGTGTAGGGTCCAAGGGTATATCCATCCACTCTTCACTCCAGGTTTGGAGCAGAGGCAAGGTCAAAAAGGAGAAAAATCCAGGGTAGTAATCCAGTGGTAGTTTGTCGATTGAGAGTGCACACATTAAACACATCTCAGAGAGATAAACTCAGCGGATGCTGAGGGCAAGCAGTCCTTGGCAGGACATCCTGTTTGGGTCGCCAAGATTGGCAAAGTCCATGGAAGCAGTAGTGAAGTCCGTAGGTCCTGGGGGCATGGTTGTCGAGATCCTTGGCAAGAACAGTTGATGGAGATACAGGTCCAGAAGACAAAAGAAAAAGCGCATAGGAGAAGCAATTGCAAGGAAAATGTGACGGGAACTACCTATTGAGTGTTTGTCGAGAGTGGGCAGACTAAAAAAAAGCCTGGGAAATAACAAGAAAGCAAATCCTGTCCGGGGAGTATGTGGCAGTGAATCCTTGTGGCAGACTTGATTGCATCAAAAAACCAGGGAGTCTTTGAATTGAAAGGCCGGTCCAGGGATTGCTGAGTGTTGTTGTAAGGGAGTATATAAAGTGTGAGATGATATGAACAGTCACAAAGTATATGTTGTAAAGTAAAAGGGGTATCCAAAGTTATGGAAGAGAAGAAAAAGAAGAAGAAGGAAAGGGGATCAGCGGCTTTTTAGCACACAGTCAAGCGAGAAGCTCGGACTGTGGACCATCAAACACGACGTGTGCCAGACACGCATAGTACAGCCTGCGTTGGCACTATTAAGAGCCAATGCAGCAGACTGGCTGTGATGGGCTTTGCATATGGGGGTGTTCATTTGGCTGAGTGGAGGAATCTGTTCTAGCGGTGAGACCGGCTCGGCGTCTTGATTGCTTGGCAATGGATATGATTGGTGAAAGCGCAGGCTGACGCTGCATGATGATGTCTATATTGGTCGATCGGCAGGTTCCCTTGTCGCGTGTTGATGACATTGCCATGATTGTCGCTGTGTTGTGTTATCGGGTGGTTGTGAGCATCCCACGTCCCAGGCGCTACGGGAGTGCTCATGCGGCGTGACCGTACCCCACGTCATTACTGGAAGTGAAGCAAAAGAGAATCAAATAACATAAAATAGAATAGAAATTGTAAATTATAAATCATAAAATTTTGAAATGAGAAGTATCTATTACGGGCCAGCGGGACGGGGCGAGGCGACCCACGTTGGGCAGCCATGCAGCCATCGGGCGCTTTTCCTTTTTTCAGTCAGTCAAATTCCTCAAAAAGTGTAAGAGAAAATCATGAGAGATGATAGGATCAGAAAAATGAAAGATGGAATATGTTTTCGTTCAGTAATCCGAAGATTTCAGGTGAACTATGCTTTTGATATTGTTGTTCATCATCCAGGAGGATGTGGGGGAAATTGAAGTGGGAAGGATCAGATGGCTTACCTGTTAGCGGGACATGTCGGAAGATGAGTTGGCAATCACAGGCATAACTGGATTGTTAACTGGTCAGAAACGGTCAGAAACATTGTGATTGACGGAAGAAGTGAAGTGTGTGGAAGAAAGGAAAAGTTTTTGAGGACGACGGGTGGTCACGTGCATGGGTTTGCACTGTTTGTACTCACTTCCTCGAATAGGAAACAACATCACACCCGAAGGCTGAGACCATGCGCTGTCGTTTGACGTCTTCCCTCCACATCTCATATCTGTCATACACCATGAATTGGACAGGCGGCCAGCTGCAGCGAGGTTCTAACCGCTCAGGCCTGCTGACAAAAGCCCAGAAGCAGAATTTCGCCAGGTCTCGATCAA